CATTATATGACACATGTACACAAATTTTAACAAACTGGTGGACAGTAAAAGAGGTTGGTATAATAAAACATAGCTATAGGAGATAGAGTATTTACTGTTTCCCCAAAATGGAAAAGTCAAAAGTAAAGATTGCTAGCTGCTGTGTGTGTGTGTTTTATATTTACTATAGTCTTTTTGTTATACATCTGGTATGTGTCTGACCTAAATCTGACTTTGTGACACAAGTCTAACTGAGGTGTCTTTTTTATCTTCTTTTCTCTTCTCACAGACTGTCTGAAGAGGACTACCTTCTGCCTCCACTCTGCTCCATTCATCTTTTATGTTTGGTTGGTAAATTATTGAGGAAACATCGTATTACTCTCAGTTAAGGTAAAATCCTTCTGTCGTCAGAAGAGAAACCAACTTTTGAGAAAGTGCACATCAATGTACGAATTTCAGATAAAAGAGCACAAATATAAGACACAGATATCATCCAAATCAATAGAGTATGTGGTGTATGGAGTTTAAACATGCGTGAATGAAACAAAACGCAATCTAGGTATATGTTTGATGAGGAAATATTACAGCTTAGATCAGAACATAGCAGAATATGGCCACTTTAATAGCTAAATTTCATCCATTGTCCTAAAGCAGATAAAAAAACATTCCACATTCAATTAGACAATAACAGACACATTGTATTTACATATCTATTTATTGGGAGTGTTACCCTCTTGTCTCCATGGAAATGTTATTTTAGTGCCTGGATTCTTCCACATGATGGTATTAAACTTTTAATTGTTCAAAACTACCTTGAAAAATATGCATTCTTACTGTAAGTGGGCTCAACTCTCTACAGATCTGGCCTGTAACCTTGCCTAGCAGTTGTCATCATGGAAATAAATAAGTCTAATACCATACTGTGGAACATTCCATGCAAAGCAATAACTGCTCCATGTTGACAAGCAGGTGATGGACCCTCCACCAGAAAAGTTACATAGTACACTTTAAAAAACAATCTACTAAAATAATTAATTTCTTCCTCAAACTTATTTCTAGAGAAAATACTCCCAAATTTGACAAACAGTGCTCTAACATTTACAACAGAATTGCATTTTCAGTACTCATGCAGTGCTTTCTTCATAACTCACTGAAACATCTAATAAAGGCCTACTCACTTCTGGGTCAGTGCTTTGGTGTAGTTCAATTTTCATCTGTATTTAAGGAAAACCGGGGTGATAAATGTCCACTCATCCATAAACACACAGAGGAGAGGACACTATAAAAAAAATCTATATTTCTTAGATGTGTAAAGCAGCCAGAGAAGATAGGTCAATGCATATTGTGTTGTACTTTTTCTTTTGTTTGTTTCTTTTTTTGTTTTTTTGTTTTTTACAGTTCACTTTTCAAATCCCTTTTCACATATATAATTTCTTTAGCAATAATCCTTTCTTTTTTGTTTATATTGGTGTCAGACTTTTATCCTAAACAGATTTATACTTTATATACTTTATTATTTTCAGTAGCTCACTTAAAGATGCTTACCGGCAATGTATACTGTAGTGTCCTTGGGCAAGACACTTTATCTGCCTTTCCTGGAGTGTACGCATATGTGAGTGTGACTAGGCAATAGCAATAAAATCATTTATAAATTTTGTTGTTTATGGCAATATTTTTCCATTTGTTATAAAGCCTTTGGCAGCACTGAATATGTACACATACAGGATCAGTATCAGTAGAATAATCCCTCCACTTTTTAGTATTCAATAGCTACAAATATATGGCTACACTTTGATCAAATGTTGTACACTAACTTTTAATATGAATCTTCCATAAAGTTACATAAGCCCATGTCCTTCATCTGAAATTATGACATTCAATTTTCCCTGTACATTACACAAGGGGGCTATCGCTCGATTAAAACATATCGTATCATCTCCACTGAGCCCAGAAGACACTCAGAACAGTAATCAGTATCACTCCACAGCACCAGCTCTTTGGGGACTGCACCAATCCACTAACACCGGTATATTTCTCTCCAAAGACTGCCTGCTTCATTTAATAACGTGTCCTTGAGAGAAGACAGAAAGAAAGACTACAAATTATTATAGATAATTGTTTTTCTAATTGGCAAAATGTTTGTCATTTGTTTGTGATTATAAGACTATAAAAACTATAAAACTATACAGATTATAAGACTTTGTAGTTCTAGCTCGCAGTCTGAACATTTTGAATAAGGACAATATAGAAGAGATGAATGGAAAACTGGATACAATAAATGTTTGCATGTTTCCTGGTATTCTCTCAAAGATTATGTTTACCACTGAGCAGATGTGGTTAGTACTCATTTACTTTAACTTAACTTTTTAAAGAACTGCATGCTCACCATTATGTAACACATAAGCCTATGTCCTGTCACTAATCATGTCATCTTTGTATCTTTGTTTTCCTTATGACCTCTTGTACATAGTTAAGATATTTTTTATTTCTTAATTGTATTTTATTTTAATTTACTTGTACATATACATTTATATAATTATGCTTTGATGGACACTAGTCTTAATATTTTAGTTACTTATTTAGAATTTATTATTACCATTTATATATTTCTCTTTCTCTCTTCTCTTTATTAATTTTATTATTTAATTTCCCTTGTGGATCTATAAAGTTTGTCTAAGTCTAAGTGTCTAAGTTTATATATTTAATTTTTGTGAATATAAGATTGTCTGCATTATTTGCAGTGTTGACCTGATAATTAAATCAACTGCAAATTATAAGATGTTGTGGTGACAGTTACTCTTACTTGATTTCCTCAAATACTGTTTACTCTTAGTTGAGTAATTTGAGTAATTTCTTGGACTACAACAGTATTTTTTGGCTACTCTTCACACCTCTGCTCATGGTTTAGCATATTTGTTTACTGTACAAGGAAATATAGAGCCTCTAAACAGAGAAAACACAAGAGTAAGCAACTATTTAGAGCAAAATCAACATTGCTTAAAGCAAGCTGTTTGAAGATTAATAACATAATCTTCTTATTCCTCTCGAGTGGGTGATCCAAAAACTGGTCGTCAACACTCACAGCACTGACCAGTCCAGCAGGAGGCCCCGTGGACCAGAGGGGGCCTATTAGCACTTCTTATAACAGATGTGAAAAAGTGAGAGCACCAGAGACGGACTGAAAACTGGGCCAATATGTGATGTGCTGCGGTATGAGCCAAATATCAACACATAGAACAACTGACCATACGTTTAGAGACTTGGTTGTTTGTCATCTTTTACTGTCTCTTTTGTCTTGTCATAAATATTTACATTCAGTGCTGAGTGCCTGTCGAAAAAGTAATTGCTTCTTTCATTGTTTATTAAATAGTGGCAATTAACCTTTCCAAGTGCTTCTGTCTTGATGTATTCTAAAGTAAAACTGTCTTATGTGAGCTGGATAAATAATATAGAAGGTATGCATGGTGAGTTTGGTCCCGTATACATCATCTCACTCCCACCTTTCAAAACTTGTGCTAGTTGGTGAGTCTCACTGGAGTTCATGTATCTCTGTCTCCATGCTAGACCAAGATTTATAGACATGGGCTCCAGTCATTGACTAAGATAAATGAATCATGTTACACTATAGACAGATGTGCATAGCATTGTCATACATGTCATTCATTATGCCAAATTTAAGAGATTCCTTGGTAGGCCACACTGCAAAAACTAAAAGCTAGTCAAGTTAAGATTACTTGAATTAAGACATTTTTATCATGATTTGAGTAAATTTCACTTGACAAGTAAAATGATCTACCAGTGGAACAAGACTGTAGTTAAAATATGAAAACACATTTTGAGGTAAGAAAAACAACAACTCTTTTCATTAAAAAAAAAAAAAAAAAAAAACTAAATGTAACATTGCTTGAGTTAAAAAACACACTTATTCATTGGTAGATAATTTTACTTGTCAAATTGAATCTAAAGTAAAATGTTCTTAATTTAAGACATTTTAACTTACCTAGACATAGCTTTTTGCAGTGTAAGCGACCATTGATCAAATGCCACCCATATGCCCGAAGTCTAGCCAGCATGGACTTTTCCCTGTTCTCAGAAGGACTCCTTATCACCTCAACAGATGTCTTGAACACCCTAATATGTTAATTATTGTGTGGTGCCTCCTGCAGACATCTTATTAGAGTGTGGACTGTTCTCCAGTCACTCCCATAATATCATTAGTTCATAAGGCACACTTAAGTACACCCCAGGTTTTCACACAAGGGGCCATTCGTGAATCTGGTGTAATGAATGGTGGCTGAGTGAAGAAATAAGTAGAAAATAATCAGATCAATTTTACAATATACTTTTGTTTTTGTATGGTTAAAGTTACTCAATGACAGGGTATAAGGATCATTTTCTGTTTCTTTGAGCTGTAGGTCTCTGGTCTGTTTAGGCTCAAAGGAAGAAATACGAAATACGTTACGTCTAAGTTTATTTGACTTAGCTTCAATATTATTTTAATATTGTGGAGGTGTTGATTGCAAGCTTGGTCAACCAAAGTTTAAATCAAGAATGCATTTCAATTTTGATTTGAAGTCAGAGGCATAGGCTACAGTGATTTTAATAAATCCATTAAGCACTAATTTAATCTATGGGTACACTGCAGCCCATACGCTTGATTGTCTCTTTAATTGAGCAGAATATGAATCGTTTAGGATGTTCAAAGTCAAAGTAGTTATAAGGTCAATGCGCGTTGATAAAGGGCCAATTACAAGAACACCGTGTGCACCGGTCAAGCAAATTAATATTAAGACTACCAGGCTATAAATCCATTACTGTCTGCGTAATAATTTTATGGTTCAGTGCTTTTGGAGTTACTGCGCCTCACCAATCATAAGCTTTCGTTTGCGTAAAGAAATGCATAAAGCGAATCTCACAGATTGACGGGGTGCTAGCTTTATTTTTTGACATTTGTGTATCTTACGTGTGCGTAAACTTCAGACCTCTCTTTGATGTGGAGTGACAGAAAGTGGCTTACTCACCTGTCAACGCTGATGACACACAGGGTCATGATGGAGGCAGTGCAGCACATTACATCCATGCCGATGAAGATGTTACAGAAGACTTCTCCAAAGAGCCACTTTCCTCCGGTGAGATCTGTGACTATGACAAATGGCATCACAACTATCGCAACTGACAAGTCCGCCACTGCCAAAGACACCAGCAGATAGTTGGAGGGCTGCCTCAGTTTCTTCACAACGCACACGGCAATCACCACCAGCGTGTTCCCCATGACGGTGACAGCCGTGATCATCGCCAATAACACCCCAATAATGATCTTCTCCGGGCGCCCGAAATCCAGCAACTGTTCCCCGCAAGACTCGTTCCACATGGCGGTGGGACTAATGGTGACCAGGACGTTGTACAAAAGCTGCAAAGAGCCATTGATAACTTCGGAAATATCCTCTTTCTTGTTAAAAGTGAGCTCAATTCCAGAAGTATTGAACATTACGACGGCACAATCCCGGTGGCGATGTAAGGGACGCCTCGCCAGCAGCGCGCTCTAGTTACGCGCATATTTGGTATTTGTCCACTCCGCTGTCAGTGCTGTGCTGTTCAGCGGATTCACATTTAGTTCACATCAAAACCTCCAAACAAAAAAACAAAACCAAAAAAAAAAACAAAAAACAAAAAACAAACAAAAAAAACTAAACAGGATCCATGAGCGGAGAAAGTGCGAGACAGGACACACAAGCGCACTGCAGACCTTGGAGGAGAGAGAACTTTGGAGCGGAGAACAGGCTGTGTGCGTGCGTCTCGATTGAAGTTGATGTCTCCCAGTGCGCCTCCAAGACAAATGTGGACAGAACGGGGGAGGCGTTCAGGTCTCCAAACCGCTCCTATCCGTGTGACGCATCACTTAACGCGCACGGACAGCCCACATTTGAGATCATATATGGAACTTAGGTTGATCAAGTAGCCTATAGATCTATATGGAGTCTACATAAAATAATAATAGGCTATTCAAGTTGCTGTAGGTTTGTTTTACGTCACAAGCACGTAGGTCTACATCCAATCGAATATTTATCTTAACATTACTGGACACTGAGGCTACATTGTTTAGGAAAATATTAAAATCAACGCACAAAAATAATATCTTTCCCACGTGTTTGGATAATAGAGATATCTTGCCTTATAGTTGCATGTGCCTGTTAGTAGGAGCTTCATGGTTTAAAAATAGCTGCAACCCAAAGTAGAAACCAAACCAGACAACTGCTCTTTTGACATTTTGATTTGACTGATAACATGCTTGATGTGTTGGCTTTTTGAAGGACAAATCACACGGGAGAGGAACTTTGGCTCCTTCATTACAGTGGGGCCGGACATCTGTGTATTTGTCCCTACAAGCTCAGAGGGGGCTCTGCTGTTCCCACAATCCCATTTGGCCAGTGATTCTCAAAACTGTGGTGTGGGTCCTGTTGGTACAGCCTTCTAAAATTGAAGACTACAGTTTTAATTTTAAGTGAAACGCAGAATCATTCACCTGATCCTGTTGTAGTTTTGACAGTTTAGTCTTGTTTCCACCTGTTTTTGTCCCTTTTAGATCCTGGTGAGACTTTATAACTGGAAATCTAAATATTTGCCTATAGACTTAAAAGGGGACATGTTATATAAATTTTACTTATGAGCAGTGTTTCTCTATCATTATATTTCTCAGATTTATCTTTCATTGATTCACGCACTTTTGAGTAAACCTGCCGTGTGTATTCAAGCCTTGAGTGGCAAAAATATTGCTGTTTTCACCTACCCCCTCCTCCCACAGCCCTGTTCATCTTTTAATTATAAAAATTCTCCATATATGCTCCATATATTTGGGGTTCCAAAATGCCATGTATACCACTGTTCAAAACCATGTAATTGTTATACTCATTACATTGGACTGTTTCTTTTAATATAGCTGTTTCAGTATTACAATTTACAATAAAATGTAAATGTAAATAATGATCTATGAATATGACAGTTTCATACTAAACCACAAAAAGTAATAATGCCTTCTTTAACATTACACCTGATCTCCCTCTGTCTTCGGAAGTTTATACCACAAGACCATTTACTCATTCTGTCAGACAGGTCACATAAAATATTCCCATTAAGCACCGCTGCCTAGAGCTTTCTCTGTCAAGACAAATGTATGTTTAAACCAGTACATGTGGTTTACTGGGTGGACCATATTGCCCGCTCTTGAGGCTTATGCAAATTGGCCTGTCAACATCTCTTTCCTGAGAGGGTCTTAATGAGAATAACCAGTATGGATAACACCTGCTATAAGAGCAATGGTAAATGGTAAATGGTCAGATTTTTATATAGTGCTATTTTCAGGTGAGAGTTATAACTGATTGGTAGGGCATTCAGGCTTTAAATGTCTATACAATATGCATTTTGGCATACATTAAATGTTAGTGGGGAATTTATAATACAAAATCATGATATTGATTTTAGGCTGACATTATGGGACAACAGATGAAAGTTTTTTGATTAGTTCTGTACAAAAATGTTACAAATACCATATTGTTTAATATAGATATCATATTATATGCTACTAGATCTTGTTGTCACCTTTAGTGAAATGGGTCCTGTTTGTTGGTGTTATTACAATTGAAACTGATAGTGTGGCATACTTTTAAACAATACTGAGACATTGTAAAATAGTTTGCTATCATATAAACTCAGCAGATGGTAGACTGCTATTGGTATTTCGGCTGATAAATGCAGGCTTAGTGTCTCCCAGATCATGGTACAGCTGGCCATTGACAAAGGCAAAATCTAAACATATAATCAACATGTGACCTCAAAAGCTTGTATCTTAGCAATATCCTGTCTGCTGCCAAAATCTCAAGTAGCCTGTCCAGATGTTACTAAGTCTGAATCCAAAAACAATTCCCATGTGGTCTGAACCATGTCTGTGCACAAGCTTATAGTATCAAGTGAAAATGACAAGCCCGTTCTTCTCCAAAAAGTATTTTATTTCAGCATAAGTGTCCAATGTTCCCATCTAAAACACATTTATTTTGATTCTTGCATTGTTCCACGGTGATCGGGGGGGTAATAGCAAATTTTAAAAAATGAAGGTAGCAATAATAAAACATAGTAGGTCATAATAGCCAAATAAATAAAATGAGGTAAGTAAGTTTTTATTTACATAGCAGTTTTCACAAACATATTTCACAAAAATGCTTTACAGATCATTCTTCATTCACTCCATCCCTGGTGGTGGTAAGCTACTATAATAGCCACAGCTGTCCTAGGGCAGACTGACGGAAGCGAGGCTGCCAATTTGCACCATCTGTCCTTCTGACCACCACCTTCACTCATGCACATACCACTTTCATACTAGAAAATGTGGGTGAAGTGTCTTGCCTAAGGACACAACAACAGTTTTTGTGACTGGCGCCGCACTGTGGTACCTGATTTTCCCAGTGGCCTCCCATCCAGGTACAAACTAGGCCCAGCCTTGCTTAGCTTCTGAGATGCGAAAGGATCAGACTTTGACAAGCCGGTATGGCCACATCTAATGAGAGCTTCACAAAAATAGTGCTCCTTGTGTACCCCAACAATTATCCCCAACCTCACTTCTCCACCCTCCCAGGCTACCACCCTCCCTCCCTGCACACACCCTATATGACCCTTTGCCCTTTATGTGGAGTGTGTGTCCCTGACTTTTTATTGTTGTGATGAAATTACCTTCTGTTGTAGCCTACATTCTTTTTTGCCTTATTATGTTTCATCATGTTTGTAAATAGCACATTTCCTTCCAACAAAACAAGCTGAACAATATATGTGTTTTCTGGCTTTTTGAGAGGGGGCAATCTCTTCTGTGACTTTTGTATTTACATTTTAGGCAGGTCTATAAAGTAAGCCTATTGTGTCCATGACTGTTGGCCATTGCCTATTGTGGCAGAGGCACCAGAGAAAGAGCAGAGAGCAGTTCTAAATGCGGAGGGTGAACACACAACTGTTTTTAGGTCACTAGTCAGCCATATTGGCAATTAGCCTTAAAGACTTGAAATAATCACAGAAATGCTCCCAGAGGTATAGAGATGAGGACCTGGAGCTCCCATTTGCTTCAGCTCCAATAAATTACTATTTGAGAAAAGAACCGCATTTACCTATAAGCAAGTCTTTGCTGCAATACTGGATTAGGCCTTTACATAGTAAGTCACTGTTTGAAGAGGTTTTAGTAGCAAAAGGCTAAGGGAAAACCACACACAGAAATATTTTATCATGCTAAAAAATACTTTTAGCCTTAGTATTTTACTGATAGTTCTTTCCTTCTGGCTAAACCTTACTGTATTATTCACACAGCAACATGATGTGTCAAAAGGGAAATTTAAACATGGATATAAAAATTATTGTTAACTTATTATAACTAATAGGCCTATAATATTTATATAGATCTAAATGTGGATGCTGTGCAACTTATTCTTACCAAGGCAGATGTTATATTCAGGAGATATAATCAGCAATCAGCAATGTTTACTTGTTGAAGGGAAAAAAACACCTCAGGGAGCTTTGTGTGTTATAGTGGCCCAGCATTTGCACTGTCTGCAGCTTTCATAATATGATGTAAAAGAGCGTTTTCTCAAACAATATTAATTATTTTCCCTTGATCCAAAGGGTTTTGGAGCATAGGTTTTAGCAATTGCCTGTACTGTAGTTTTAAATTTTGTTAAATAACAACTGTGTTTAAAACAAATAAAAATATGAGAGCATGCATTTTACCAGAAGAAAAAAAATATTAAAGCATATAGCCAACCAATGTTTATATTCATTTTAGTAGTGAAAGTCCACCTCTGCTTTTCTCATTGTGCAGTCTTTCACTGAATTGTTTTGAGCTGTTCGGTTTGGTTGTTGGTTGGACACAAATTCAACACCTATTGTTTGGCCGAATGAATATTTATTGGGCATTATTGATTTTAATTATGTTTTGTATATTTGGGATTGTGATTTTTAAGCCCCAGTGTTTGTCATTATACAGCCTTTTACAATTGTTGCTATCTTTTCGATTTCTTAGTTTATTTCAGTGCAATCAAGAACATCAAGAATAGCAACAATTAATACAAGTGAATCTACAAAAGGAGGCCCATTGTTGTCCCAAATATTTAATTCCAACATGTCACAATTCTGTAAGGGCGGCACTGGCAGTGTTTAAAGCATGGACTGTATATAGGCTTTAACTGACTTTATACAGTCTATGGTTCAAAATGTACTGCAATAGTATACATTGTTAAGAGCAATTGCTTTTTAACCTCTTTCTACAAACTAAGACGGCTGTTTCTTTTATACTGTTTTAAATATAAAAAATAAAGTATTGTTGGTGAAAATTGTGTATGGTGTGAACCACTGTAAGAATAGCGGCGTCTTTGCAGCAGCTAAATGTGGATCCAATAAATAAACATGCAACATTAAGTCTAAATGATTGATTATGCATTCATTTTTTCATTAGAGGGAGACACATCCTCTCTTCAGTCCACACAGTCTAAAACGAAATCATTACAAGACTGACAGCGTTGTGAACCAATACACTTTTTGGCAAACCACTACATCCTCCAATCAGATTGATGTGTTCGGTGGGCTGCTGCTGTTACGAGTAAACTACGGGAAATATCCGGTGAAACTCGAGGCTGGAAGTGACCGTGAGAGGCGCCTTCTGCTGCTGTTTAGAGGTAGCTACTGGTTCATAAACGGACATTGAAAGTGCTAATTACAAATACTACGTAGAAATTTGTAACTGTCTATAAAATGTATTTTATTTAGTGTTTTTTTCGTTCTCTTGAACACGTGTTTCACAAAAATTAGCTAGCTTTTGAATGTACGCTACTTAGCTAGCTAGGGTTACCGCTAAAACTTTAAAGCTAAAAAATTCGCGCTAAAACGTCATTTTTGTTTAAGGTCATTGAAAGCACATGCATGTGAATATGGTGAACTATGAATTTGGCATAATCAAAAGTTAAAGTGCAAATGTGCAGTCCGATTAAAAGAAGACCAAGACACCATTACAGCTGTTATTTAATTAGCTTTGACAACTTGTAACAAAAATGTATAATCTTTAATAAGAATGCCCTGTTAAAATTATACAGATTTCAGACGTAACTATTTATGCAAGCTGATATTTAGTTTACTTTTGGTGTGTAATTCCATATTTTATCTGATGTTATTTTGTGATCTTTGGAATATCAATTCTTTCTTATTATGCTTATGGTTTTTACCCTGCAGTGTGCCTGGATTTCTGCTTTAGATTAGATGGATCCAAAAAAGACTCCAGATTTTAGTAGGATAACCAGCACCCCTTGGTTGGGACGTGGACGAGGGCTGCAGCCTGTGGAGCCAGCTGTAGGACGTGGTAGAGGGTTTCTACCTTTTACTGAAGAAAGTATTGTAGAACAGGCCAAAACAGTTCCTGCTCTTAGCGACAAACTACAAGAGCTAGGTGTGACAGGCTTCACAGAACCTGGTATTGGACGGGCCAGAGGGCTGCTGGTTCAGCCCTATGGAGGGGCCCGGGGCCGGGCCAGGGGACTGGCCTTTGCAGGTGGAGAACCACAGTTAGGAGTTGCACAAGGTGCAGTTTTACCCACTCTGCAGCTCAAACCTGGACCAGCTCCTGTAGAAGAACCCAAAAAGCAGGAACAGGAAACAACTGTAGGTAAAACTATATGCTTGACTTATTGTGCAATCAATTATTAATACATTTTCTGTGGACAGGAGGACATACCACTTCAAGGCCAGGGATCCACTCTTGTCTCAATGTTTAGGGGAATAGGGATTGAGCCCTCATTGTCATCATGGGGAAGAGGATCCATACCAGTGGGTCTGTATAACAGCGTAATTCAAGGCTACAATTTAAAATTCCACATTTACACATTTCTTCTTCATTGCTTATTAAACAGTCTGATATTTTTAAAACTAAATCTTTAAAAAAAAAACTTTCGCATGTATTTAATGTGTTCTTCAGGAAGAGGTTTTGCTGGAGAACTGGATAAACCTGCACAGCCGTCATTCTCCTCTCCACTCTCCAGTGGGACAAAAAGCCTGGGCAAACCAGAAGAGGCCCTAGGTCGTGGCAGCAGGTTGGTTCAATCAAAAAGGGGTTGGTTTTCATCACACCTGGAAACCCAGTTAATGCTTTTCATGAACATATCACAGTTTGCTTGGGCATCAGCGGATGATGGGGCTTGGCAGAGCAGCGATGCCACAGATAGGAGCTGGACGAGCACAGCCGTTTCTGTCTGCTGCTCCTGGCCGTGTGGATCCAGTGACTCCAGCTTTACCTGCAGTTTTACCAGAAACACCTCCACAAACACCTTTATCTCTCTCAGGTGAAAGCATTATTTTTTAAAGGCTAATTTAGTTATATGTTGTTGAGTTTTTTATTTTAATATATCTATATATTTAGAAGAGAATGTCCGTAAGAGCCCACCTATCCTGGAATCAGCAAAGTCTGAAGTCAGAATGGAGGCAATTGGGTGAGCACAGTTTTATTTTACCTTCTGGAAAGCCATATACTCACTGACATTTTTGTTAATGTTGCAATATATGATGCAGTATAGGGTAGGAGAATGTTGTTATGTTTTATATGTTGTATATGAAATAACAACAAGTTAGTCTTTATAATAATTGTTAAAAATAAAACTAAGGTAATGTATATGTAGGAATGGATGGATAGCATACACATTTATTTGTAAATATTGAATGGGGTTTGAAGTAAGTATTTTTACTTCTTCTCACTCCCTTTTAAGCAAGCAGTGTCTGTTCTTTGTTTTGTTGTTTTGTATATGTTATAATACATATAAAAGTAAAGTGAAAATGTAGAAATTTCTTTTGTGCATGAAGGTCTTTGAATGACATCTAATTTTTCTCCTTCTGTTCCCGTATGTTAGCGAGCCTCTTCCCAAAATTGGAACCAAAGGAGTACCTATTACCATTGGCTCAAACCACATTGTTGTACGATGCAAGAATGAGGCAGTCTATCAGTACCATGTTACATTTGTGTAAGTATAGCTCCTTATTTATTCTCATCTTTTGGTCATGCACAAGTACTAACAATTTCTTTTGATATGTTAAGCCCCAATGTTGAATCCATAGCCATGCGTTTTGGTATGATGAAAGATCACCGCTCAACCACAGGAGAAGTGGTGGCATTTGACGGTTCTATCTTGTACCTTCCAGTGAAACTGAATGACGTAAGCCTCAGAGTAACAATGACATCACAATATTTTGATAACATTAAAATCTTGTGTAGGTGGTCCTCCTCAAAAGTCTAAGGCGGACGGATAATGAGGAAGTGCAAATCAAAATTCAGATGACAAAGATCTTGCCACCAAGTTCTGATTTGTGTATTCCTTTCTACAATGTAGTGTTGAGAAGGTAATTAACCTATAACTCTATACTGTTCAGTAACTTTTTTACACATAGAAGACAATACTTTTTTTTTTCAGAATTATGAAAATCATTGGTTTGAAGATGGTTGGACGTAATCACTTTGATCCAGAAAGTGCTGTCATTCTTGGAAAACACCGGTAACTCTTTAATATATAAAAGAAGAAATTACAGCATTCTATGTGAATATCTAGTGTAGTTATTTTTTGTGCTCTTTGTAGACTTCAGGTATGGCCAGGTTTTGCCACAAGTATAAAACACTTAGATGGAGGCCTGCTTCTCAATGTGGAAGTTATTCACAAAGTGTTAAGGAACGATTCTGTGCTGGATGTAATGTAAGTTAATATACACATTAGACACATCGCACCTCTCATCAACATTATTATTATTAATTTTAACTCATACTAATTATTATATGAAAATATGTAAATGTTAATTCAATCATTTCTGACTTGTTTACATAAAGATTCTTAACAGCATCATAGTCTATCCTATTAGAAAACATAGCCTTGTGAAAATAGATGAACCAAAATCTCATCATGACTGCATGTTGGTCTTGCTAGATAGTAGTCATATAGGAATATTCTACCACAAAACACTTTTTTTTTTTTTTATTTACCTCTAAAAACAGCACTATAAACTTTCTAAAACTAAAAACGGCCTTTGCAGGAATGTATTGTATCAGCAAAGCAAGGAGAACTTCCAGGATGAGTGCACAAAAGAGCTCTTGGGTAGCATTGTGATCACACGCTATAATAACCGCACATACCGCATAGATGCCATTGAGTGGAATAAGTCACCCAAAGATACATTCACTCTGACGGATGGCACCAAAACCACCTTTGTTGAATACTACAGGTGTGTCTTAATTGCTGTGCATTGAGAATAATCTTTTCAGCTTTTTAATTGGATCTTTCATAACAGCAAGAACTATGGCATTACCATTAAGGAGATGGACCAGCCTCTGCTCATGCATCGCCCAAAGGAACGCTCAAGGCCAGGAGGAAAGGTATTTTTATTTTCAAGTGTGTTATAAATAAAGTTAAAAATTAAGTGAATTGTTAATATTATATGGAAGATATAGTATACATTAGAAAATTCTTACTTTAAGTTACAGTAGTCTCAAAGCTGGCATAACTTGAAATGTAGCACCACATTGCCCCCTTGTGTTTGAAGCTGAAACTTTTGTATACATACATTTTTGCATATGAAAATGTATGTCATATGTGAAATGCTAAATGTCTAAAAGTCTGTACATGTGCAATAATCACTCAGCTAATTAAAATTAAATAGCACTTCTTTGTGGCACTTTTGTGAGTGGGATATTATGAGTTTGTACTTCAGGCTCAATTAGGTGGTCATGTATTGTTTGTATTATGTATGACATAATGTGTTTATAGCAAGTCATCACTGGGGAGATCCTTCTGGTACCAGAGCTTTCCTTCATGACTGGTATTCCTGAGAAAATGAAAAAGGACTTCAAATCAATGAAGGTTAATGTAGTAACCTAGAAGAACAGAATATTATGTATATTAACCACAGCATTCTTCAGTGTAAATGTGAAATTGCAGGACCTGACGAAGTACATCAATGTGAGCACAGAACAGCACACTCACTCGATAAAACAGCTTCTGAAGAAAATCAACAGCCACCCAGACAGTCAGAAGGAGCTTAATAAGTGGGGCCTTGAAGTCAGCTCTGAGATTGTCATCGTAAGACTATGTTTTCCCATCTAATACACGCAGGAAATATGAAATATTCCTTTTTTTTTGTTTGTTTGTTTACATAGACACGCTTGCATTAGCATAGTCAATGAAAAAAAAAAATCTAGTGGACCACATTGTGATATATTACCTTATCTTGCAGGTTAAAGGAAGATCTCTACCCCTTGAGACAATCTGTTTGCAGAGTTCATCTTTCACTACAGGGTCCGATATGTCCTGGTCTCGAGAGATTGTCCGAGATCCCTCCATCAGTGCAGTACGTAATGCAACCAGTGCTGAGCTAGTTTCTCTAAAAAGTGCTTTGTTATAGTTACTCATTACTTCTCACCAAAATGAATTATGTTGAGTGTGTAATGTGTAATAAATGCTCTCAGAACCAGCATTATTTTTAAGCTATTTTCCACAGAGCTTAAAGCTATATAAATATATATATATATATATGTTCAGATTTTTATAAATAATACACCTTATTTGTTAATATTCTATATTTAGAAGGCATCAGTCACCACATTTCCACCTTCCAAATGGATTATTAGAAATAATCTTGTGAAGAGAAAAAATGATCACTGACTACTAAAATTTTTAGCTGCCTTCCTACACTTTTTGATACCACAAACCTCAACATGACTTCAGCGAATGTGATAATTTTTTTAAAATGCATGTTTGAACCACCAACCTTGCTGGTAAAAAAGGTGGTACAGTGGCTAGCACTCAAGCTTCACAGCAAGAATGTTGAGGTTCGATCCTTGGGTTGCCCAAGCTTTTCTGTGTGAAGTTTGCATATTCTCACTGTGTCTGTGTGGGTTTCCTCCGGGCACTCTGGTTTTCCCCATGAACCCAAATGCACATGCACCATAGGTAGGTAAAAATCCTCTAGCTAAGGTAGTCTTACAGCCAAACTGTTAAATACATCACAAGATTTAATTGATCTATTATAGCTAAATATAAGGTTATTTCAGATCCCTTTGAACACTTGGGCCATCTTCTACCCTCGCCGCTGTGCTGAGCAGGCAGAGGAGCTGGTGACAAGTTTCAGAAAGGTGGCAGGACCCATGGGCATTAGAGTGGAGCGCCCCATTCATATGGAGCTCCAGGATGACCGCACAGAAAGCTATGTAAAGAGCATCCACTCACAACTCACTAGCAAGGTAAAGACTGCCATTGCAAAAATAATTTTCCTGAACCATTGTTATATGCTTGAAATCAAATGTAAACTTTGTAGTTTTGTTTTTTGTTTTGTTTTTGCAGCCCAACATCCAGCTGATTGTGTGCATTATGGTTGGCAACAGGGATGACCTTTACAGTGCTATCAAAAAACTTTGCTGCGTTAAAAGCCCAATCCCATCTCAGGTCTGTTACATCAAAACATTGTATTTAGATAACCATACAACATCAGAATTGTTTAATGGTGTCTTCTATTTTAGGTAATCAATGTTAGGACCATATCTCAACCTCAGAAACTGAAGAGCATTGCCCAAAAAATTATCCTGCAGATCAACAGTAAACTTGGTGGTGAGCTGTGGACAGTCAATGTCCCTCTGGTAACTGCTTTGATCCTCGCTTTTCATTTTAACAATTGACTTTGAAAATGTTTCTTCTTTTTAAAATGTATTTTTCTTTTTGGTTTTTAGAAAAAATTAATGGTGGTAGGTGTTGATGTTCACCATGACACTAGCAAGGCCCATCGGTCCGTTATGGGCTTTGTTGCAAGTGTGAACAGGTAAAACTAATAAAGAGAAGAAAAAAGGAGATACTGATGCAAGATTTCATTTAGTTTTCATTTTTTATGTCTTTAACTAGATAGTAATAAACTGCTTTCTTTCTAAGCTCACTGACCCGATGGTACTCAAGAGTAACTTTCCAGACCCCCACAGAGGAGCTCATCCGTGGCTTCAGGGTTTGCTTGTTGTCTGCTCTGCAGAAGTACTACGAGGTAAATGTATTTACACTGAATTTTGCTGTTATTGTCCCAAATAGGTTTCCAATCTTTGAGTAGCTTGATAACAGATTTTCAAAGCATATTACCTACATTTTGTAGTCAAGTTTGATTTGTCACTTTCTTGCTGCCAATCACCCAGCAGTGCTGCTGTCTCAGTCAAGCGTGATTGTTGCTGACAAGTGAATTCACACCTGCATCCCCATGAACACTGCAAAGGAGATAAAATCATACAGTTGAGTGGCGTAAGAAGTGACTTTTTATTCACAAATATCAACAAGTGCATGTGTTTGATTTAGGGATCAGCTTGGCAGTTGGTAAATTGCATTGTATCGCTCACCAAGGTCCACAGTGACCTCTTTGTATGGGTAGAAATTTACAAAAAGAGATAGTGAAGGAACTCAAAACTGTTCATCATGCTTACACATGCAGTCACCACAGCATCATGTAGAGTAGTGACAGTGCCATTGCCAAGGAGGCTTTGACATAAAAGTAAGACAGATTTGGTCTACTTGATGCAAATACTGTGGCCAACAGAGTGACTGTGCTGTCTGAGGATGCCGCAAAACAACTGGACACGGACAGGTTGTGTGATACGACTCAGTCAAAGCAAGTGATAAACCCAGCCCACTGTCTTTGAGCACTTTTCCACTAAGGAGGGGGGAGTCAGATTTAGGGTCTTTGACCAACTCCATCCTTGTGTGACTCTTATGGCAAACCCATTCATGGACATGGACAGAACTCTGTTGATCCTGTGTTAATGGAAACAAAGATGATAAACATTCAATTCCAGTTCTGGAGCCTTGTAGAGCCAAATGACTTAGAATCTTAATGAGGTTGAACTTTGGGTCTACCTTACCTGTTTGACCTTTAATTGATAGTTCATCAGTCAGTCTTGCCCTGTAAAATGATTTGTCAGAGAATGCTGACTCAGAGTGAACTTGAGTGACTACATGTCTTATGATTTACACATGTCCTAATTAGAGCCCGACCGATATGGATTTTGCTGTGGCCGATATGAAACCAATATAATGGAAGTTGGAGCTGCCGATAGCCGATATAATCACCGATATATTTAGTGATGTAAAAATTCACTGTAAATGTTGAATTGTTTAAAAAACTTAGGTTTGGCTCTGGTGGATTTTAAATTGGGTTTATTTAGGCAACATTTATTGTTATTCTGCCTCTTTACATAATATTTACAGACAGTAGGTTGACTTAATGGCATTTTTGCATCACATTCTAGACACTAGTGATGGGTATTCCAGTTCTTTTTAGAGAACCGGCTCTTTTGGCTCGGCTCACTAAAAGCTGCTGGTTCTTTTGGCTCCCAAGTGGCTCTTCAGATTGTTTTGTTGCAAGGAGGACTAAAGCACGTCTAAAGCAGGACTGAATCAGGACTGAACCAGGTCTAAACCAGGACTGAAAAAGGACTAAACCGGGACTTATTTATTTTATGCTAAACTACAGTCAGATATGCTCGTTTTTTTTTTATTTTTATTTTTTTAATCCTACGTACACGCAAATTTCTCATAATTTCGTTTTTAGCCGCTGCCGCTGTCATACCACGAATCTGCACGCGGCGTGAAGAGAAAAAAAGTGAGAGAAAGAGAAAACACGGCTCCCAATAAGGATCAGTCTCCCGTCGTTCGCTTTAAAGAGCCGGATCTAAGAGTCATTTCGTTCGCGACGGACCCATAACTAGTAAAGAAAGTAGCGCTATTAGCCTTTAGCCGTAAATACGTGCGCCGCGGTAATTAATTATATGCGCAAATGTCATAATTCACACGTCTATTCACAGCTCATTTACATATCAATGCAGGTCCAGTAGCAAATATACGGCCAACATAGTTACTTTAGAACAGACCAATAGAAAACAGTCTGTTTATGTGCGGGAGCTACAGCAGCTAACCCATAACAAATGACAAAAACTAGCTTCAGAGTCGACATATTTCCAACACTCACCGCTCATACAGGCTCCTCCTCACATTACAAATCTGCACTAATAAATGTCCTTTTAATCCAGACGCAAACCGATTGTCCGTAAAAAGAATATAATCTCAGTGTTTGGATCTGTGTCTGCAGGTGTAAACAAACACACGTGAGTGACGCGACTCTGTGGTGTGTTCAGGGACAGTACGGACACACACAGACAAATGACTCCGCAGATAAATACTGATGCGGAGCCACATATTAGGACATTTATCTGTCTGTAAATTGGATTAAATGAACAGAATGTAGAGAGTCTAAGCTTTATAACGAGGTATAACATGCCCACGTGAAATATCGGCCCCTATCAGCAAGCATATCAGCCGATATGCCTAAAGTTGCCCATATCAGCCGATAATATCGGCCAACCGATATATCGGTCGGGCTCTAGTTCTAATAATAATACTTGAGTGCTAGTAATAAACATAACAAATCATAGCTTTGCTTTTCAAAAGCAGTGGTTTTTGTTTAGGCTTTCATTTAATAACACTGCATAAAACATGGCTCGTATGTGAAAAGAACATAATTTGGTCTCTTTCAAATGCTGAAATATTTTGTGGACACCAAAAAATCTGTATCATTCGTTCATTCGTTTTTCAAAATAAAATCAAAAATAAGAAAACGAAAAAACAACTATTTTCTTCGTTATTTGTTTCTAAAACTAAAATGAAAAAATAATTCGGGGTTTTTTTGTTGTTGTTTTTTTCAGTTTTCAATTTTGTGTATAAATGAATATTGGAAAAAATGGATAACAGCTATTTCCCTTTCCATGACTTAGGGTGCTTTGGCACCGACAGTAGTTGGTACGCACCAAATAGTCCATTCGAACCAGAAGGTCTTAGTTTGGTTCGTTTTTGTTGGTGTGAAAGCATCAATCACACTTGGATCCGCACTAAATCAAGCTGACACAGACCTCAAAATAGAGGTGGTCTCAGTCTGCTTGATTCCACACCAAATGCAAAACTCTGGCACAGTCCCTCTGGGGTGAACACGAACTTGGGTCCAAACCATAGATAGTAGGTCCAAACAAACTACTCGAAAGACATCATGGGAGGAGATACGCGTCTCCACTGCATGAAATGATGTGCTATAGGCATTCGGCGACTCCAGTGCAATAACAGATTGTTCGCTAGATGCAGCCGGGACTCATTTTCGAATTGTTTTGCCAACAATAACCAATACAGAGAATGTAATATACGAAGATCAGAGCAAGTACCAATGTGTGAACATGTTGCTCCATAGTGAGTCAAAATTAGGGGTGCATACCTATGTTCTCCGGGCTCAGATGACTTGAAGTATCGAGTGATGTTAGGTGCCCCAGCCTGAGAAGTGCTTTCCCCGGGAAGAACCAAGGGCGTGTAGGACGGACCACTCAGAACAACATATAACTAAACAAAGTGGATTTGCGCTTCTGTCCGGATGCTTTGAACCACCTCGGAACCCGCCACAATCATTGAGTCTGGAGGACAGGAGCAGCCCGCCCGGACTTGTAGTCCACACACATTCTCGCTTTCACTGCACAGGTCCAGCGTGCAGAGGATGGCCCGGACCTATCTGACCAACATGCTCGGAGGACGGCACAAGACCACGGACCAGACCCCCAGGTCCATTTTGAGGAGCTGCACACTACGGTGAGTGTTCCCGTGTCTTTACCGCTGCTGCCCGAACTCAGTGCTTCTACTCCAGGCTGATGTGCAGTGAGTTGAGTTGTTTCATGAGTTCATGATAACTTGAGATGAGGACGGCCTGTGGTGTTACCGGGGAAACATTAGTACTTTTCACAATTTTATTGCCTGGTGCGGACCAAATAATCAAACTCTGGTCTGGTCCCAGTCTTGGTTCTGGTGTCAGTCCTGTGCTTGTCCAGGTCTGGTCCCGGTCTCAGTCCTGGACCAGGTCCCAGTCTCAGTCGGTTGTTATCCGTTTTTTTTATTTTGGTTTTGGACAAATAATGAAGAAAATATAAAAAAATATATAATTTAAAAAAAATTCATTTTCTTATTTTTGGTTTTATTTTGAAAAATGAATGAATGAATAATGATCCATGGATTCCAAAACATGGCTGTTTTGTTTTAGTTAATGTTGCTCAGAGGAAAAGAGATTGGAGACCTCTGAACTACAGGTCTGCACGGGACAGAATTTTCAGTCCTGCTTTCGTCCGTACCCACATTGTGCAGTTCCGCTCCTGCCCGCGCCTGCAAAGACTTGTAATTTTCATTCCCACTCCCGCCTGCATCTGCAATATTTTGACTTGCTCCTGCCCGCAAAATCCCGCAAGATGGGGACGTTCCCTTTCTTAAGCTCTATCAAACATGGAGAAGGGAAAGGAATTGTCTAAAATGTGTGTGAGATTAGATCACATCCGCAAGTTTAGGCTGCTTAAAATATTTTTTCTAATGCCAAATAAAATATCCAGCACAGATTATATATGATAGGCTTACATTAATAATTTTTATATTTTACTTTACAGTGTAAAGTAAAATAGAAATCATATCATTACACTAAATATGAGTGTAAAGTTTATACTCATTAAGTTTGCAGGACTGCAGTTTATCATCCCACCTGCCCACACCTGCAATGCGCTTTCAAAAAGGTGTCCCGCGCCACACTGTTTTGCATCGGTCCCATGGGAGTGCAGGGCTCTACCCTGAACTTTAATCAATAAAGATTAGATCCATCTGTGCAGTCATAGTACATAGAACTACGGTACCATTATTTGTGCAGGTGAACCACAATTTGCCAGAGAAAATTGTGGTTTATCGTGATGGGGTGTCTGAAGGCCAGCTCAAGATGGTGGAGCAGTATGAAGTCCCACAGATCCTAAAATGCTTTGAAACATTCCCCAACTACGAACCCAAACTGGTCTTCATTGTGGTCCAAAAGCGCATCAACACTGTGCTCTACTCCTTGTCTGCAAACACCTTTGGAAGTACAGCTCCAGGGACTGTCCTGGACCACACCCTCACAAACAGGAAGTGGTGAGTTTTAGTTTGTAAAAAGGGAAAATATTCCGCAAATCACTTTAATACGTTTGTGTGTATGCGTGTGTGTTGTAATGATACTGGTTGTTGTCCGGTTTCGTTCTTCATTATTTTTGATTGTATGAAGCATTGGTTTTCATTTCTCTGAAAATATTTTAGGGTGGACTTCTTTTTGATGGCGCACACCATACGCCAAGGCTGTGGACTTCCAACTCACTACATCTCTGTGTACAACACTGCAAATCTGTCACCTGACCATCTGCAAAGGTATAGCCTGTCACATTGTCTAATAGTTGTAGTTATATGTTTAAAATGTCTTTCCTCCACTCCAGACTCACATTCAAGATGTGCCATTTGTACTGGAATTGGCCAGGTACCATTCGTGTTCCAGCTCCCTGCAAGTACGCCCACAAACTGGCCTTCCTGGCAGGGCAGTATCTGCATTCTGAACCTGCCATCCAACTATCAGACAAGCTCTTCTTCCTCTGAGGTGCACAAGTCATGGACCAGAAAGACCTTAAATATTAGAACAATATTAGCAGCAGCAAATGATTGTTTTATTTTTCTCTTTTGAATCTTGCATGGATAAGTGTTGGTTGCAATGTACAATAGGGCTATCACCATAATGTTGGATTGTACAGTAAGTATATTTCTTATTTTTATTACCAGATTTTGTCAAAAAGTGATTACGTTTTATTGTTCAGGGAATCACGTGCTTTTTCGTTGTGGAAATGGTTTGAGCTTTGATTTCGCAGGTTTGTACAAGTTGAATTCAGTGACATACTTTGATGTTTACTGTTTAAAACAATAAATTGGATGTTCACCCTGTCTTTTTTATATATTGACATAGGTTCTATACAAATAGCTCTTGAGCTAGTAGTCAATATCCATATGACTGTGCTAACTTACTGCGTTATCAGACTGCTGGCTATTACCAACCCAAACATGACAATACAGTGACAGCTTTAATCCTAAAGTCTGGTTGGCGTTTGTGTGGTTTTGTATGTTCAGTTATTTGGAATGTATTATGTTGTAAAATGGATAAGGGCAACATAAATAAGCTCCAACTGGACATAGACTCATTTATCAGCCGCCATAAAACAACCGAAGACTAATTTCTACTATAGACGTCTTCCTGCTGGAGGGTAAACAGCTGACAGGAAGCACGACCACTTTCACCGGAAAGGAGGGACAGCTTATTGTTGCCTGAGCTCTGCGGTAATGGCGGTGTCTCGTCGCTGTTCGCAGCAGCATCAACAACAGCAAAATACCTTACAATCTCCGCCGCGAAACGCCTCAATTTCGGGCTCCTCTTCGCCGATGGCCCAGCTGACCTCGGCAGTGGGAGCCCCGGAGAATGAGAGGGAGACCACCGGAGGGATTGAGCTGGTCGTGGCCTCCCCGGACATACCAGCCCCGGTCCTAGCGAGCAGCGCCAGCTCCACCACGACTCCCTCCGGCGGAGGCAGCAGCGTCTCCAGTCCGGGCTCGGGAGCTACGAGCCCCGCCGAGGCCAGCAGCGGGATCGGCGGGGCCTTTAGGGAGCTGTTTGAAGCCTGTCGTAACGGGGATGTGTCCAGAGTGAAAAGACTCGTAGACTCGGTCAATGTAAACGCTAAGGACATGGCCGGACGAAAATCGACACCGCTACATTTTGCTGCGGGTAAACATTCGCGAAAACCGTGTCGGTGATCAGTTGGTTTATCGTCCCATTTTGAGCAAAAACTTTTATGCACACCACCAAACTCATCATTTTGCATTTGTATATCTTTCCATTATCTCATAAAGTAATGCTGGATACATATAAGTTTATGTCGTATGAAGAAGGCTCAACGAGCTAACAGGCTAAAACGCTCCTGTGTAATTTGCCTTACGTCATCTTTATTGGTGCTGAACTGGAGTGGGCAACGATTTGTGTTTTTGCTTTACAATTTAAATATTACCTAAATGTATGTTTTATGAATTACTGTCTTGAGTAGACGTTTTAAAACTATAGGTCATAGGAATAATATCGTTTGTGTTTTTTGATAGAAAAGCAGTGAATGTTCTACCAGAGCATGTTTTTTGTTTTAACACTTGATGGGGACAATCACATGCATAATTGTGTAATTTTAGAGACCTGATTTAATGTGTGCTAATATTTTTAATAACTATCATTAATGCTACTGATTCAGTGTTATTTGATATGATTAAACTGGTATGACATGTAGCCTGCATTTGTTGCCTGCAGGTTTTGGTCGTAAGGATGTGGTGGAGCATCTCTTGCAGACTGGGGCAAATGTTCATGCCCGGGATGATGGTGGTTTGATCCCCCTTCACAATGCCTGCTCTTTTGGACACGCAGAAGTTGTCAGCCTCCTTTTGTGCCAAGGGGCAGATCCCAACGCCAGAGACAACTGGAACTACACACCACTACATGAGGCCGCCATTAAGGGAAAGATAGATGTGTGCATTGGTAAGAGCTGAAGATTTGATAATAAGCCTGGAAGACAGCATTTTACATGTGGAACTAATTTCTAGTAATTCATGAATTGAATAATATAATGTATGGCAATAAGATCTTTCTGTTTCTAAAGCAATTCATTGTTACAATGTAAATTTTTCGATGTTTCAGTTTTACTACAACATGGAGCTGACCCAAACATCCGTAACACAGATGGAAAATCTGCCTTGGATCTTGCTGACCCATCAGCCAAAGCAGTTCTTACTGGTCAGTTCTTTTGAAAGGAATTGTGTTTTAACATTCATTATGCATAAAAATGTCAATAATTAAAACAATATATTTATTTTTTAGGTGAATACAAGAAAGACGAGCTTCTAGAAGCTGCAAGGTGAATTATCTGCTCATGTTACACACACTGTGCACTTAGATGGCCATTATGCTCCCTTGTGTCACTTTCATTTGACATCTGTGTCAAAAAATTATTTGCTTTGTAATTAAACACCCTTTCATTGTAATATTGTAATTTTATATAGATTAAGATTTAAGTAAGTCATTTTCTTCAATCATTCCATAGATGCACATTTAATCTTGAGTATTGCATGACTTTTGTATTTACAGAAGTGGAAATGAGGAGAAGCTGATGGCACTGCTGACTCCACTAAATGTCAATTGTCATGCCAGTGATGGACGAAAGGTAACTGGAAATTGTTCTATTATATACTGCATTTCGCTGTAATGTAATATTGATCTATTCATGTAGTTTGTTTTAGCTACCTTTACTCTAGTTTTCTATGCACATGTCTTGTATTTACAGTTGATTTGCTAGTGTTTTAAACCAGTTTAGATTTTTCTGATTATGTCTTCACAAACATTTATCATGTTTTTCTGCTTCCAATGATTTTAGTGTTGTTGTTTTTTTTTCCATTCTAGAATACAATTTATTCTACAAAGGCGATGTATACTATTGTCATTTTTTTTGCACTATGCACTTTGCTTGTGGCCTTCTAAGCAAAACATAAATGCACAGTGTATAACAGTAAACATCAACAATGATAAACACATTTCTCTAATGTATTTTCCTAAATGACCAGATTACAGAAACATTGCTCTAATCTTCAACTTTGACAAATTGCTGAAATCAGACACACTAAGAAAAAAAGAAAGGAAAGACAATGTCTAACCCAAGAATTACTAAGACACTGTCATTTTGTAATTTTTGTTTCATTTTGTTTTTCGTGTGACTCTGGCAACATTTGTCGATCAGTCAACATCCCAAAAAATGCTGGTAAGTTAACCTTGATAACGGCCACTTGATTGATGCACTGTTGTGATCTTTGTTTTATTCTTTATTTAATCCATTATTTTTTGGAACAATAAGCTGGCTGTCACTTGTTAATTGCACATCATGGACCTGGGTGATCGGGTCACTCATATCCCATCCTGATGCTCCTCTGTATGTGTTTGTTGTCCATATGGGAGGGAGACTGAGTGTGTGTGTGGGGCTGGTTCGTTTGGTGTCATGGCGACTTTTTGTTAATGGAATTTGGAGAGGAGCTCAAAACACTTGCCTGCTTTCTTCTGCATCTGTCCTCACCTCTGCACTCTCACCCACAAATCTTCCAAATCTTCCAATCACAAGCTCACAATATTTAATCTTTTTTTTTGGACATCTTTCTTTTGTAAATATAATGTGTAATGCATGGTTAAGGTCTGCATTTTGTCTGGCAACTCTTGAATATACATGTGCATTTTGTACACCACATCATTTGACAACAGCTGGTATGCAATAACAAATGAATCCCACGTCATCTGTCATTGTAATGCTATGATTCCCCCCATGGTCTTGCGTTTTGCTTGAATTTTTATTTGTGTCGATGTTGACATTGCTGCCCCTGCGAGCTCCCAACAGGGTCTGTCGCTGTGACCTGAGCATTGGTTTACATTGTACATTACTGCATGTAAATCAAACTGAATGAAGCCCTGTTCTCATTGCACTGGCACAAGCTATTCTGAAAAATCACCACTCAACCCATTTGCACTTTTGCTTTGAATAATGTTGTGGCTGATATTAATCACTCTAATATTTGGGACTAGTTGATTTTAAAACTTTGGCTTGCTTCAAAACTAATTTGCTTGTTATTAAAGTTGGGTGTGAATACATTAAGAATTGATTATGCTAAAGGCAAAGGACAGCATATGTTTTCAATACCTAACTTTAAACATTTTGCCACACCATGGTCTCTCCCACTGTAACATTTTGAGAAAGAATAGTTTTGAATTTTAAGATAACCTGATTAACTATTGCTGTTTTGGTCAGGTATTGACAGTTAATAGATAGATTATGTGCTGGATCATTCGCCTTGTGTCACAATATTCAACATTCATCTGCAACTCACAGAGCATAAGCCTGCCATTGCTCATTGCTCTTCACTGGCTCCTAATCAGCAGCTTTCTCATATGGCCATCGAAGGCTGCACACAATGCCAAACTGTTTTCATTAACACAATGCATTTTCTTTCAGTCGACCCCACTACATCTGGCCGCTGGCTATAACCGTGTCCGAATAGTTCAACTGCTGCTTCAACATGGAGCTGATGTGCATGCCAAGGACAAAGGGTGAGAATATTTTTCTTCAGCACTTTTTTCATCATGTTATGTTAACTGCTGACATCATAAACAAAAAAAATGAAAATGTGGTCAGTAATTGTTGTATATATGGGTGCAAAATTATTCTCACGATTATATTTGTAAATTTCTTAGATTTTCTAGTGATGTTTGTAATAAGCATGTATTGTAAAATCAATCAATCTCAATGTTTTTATAGCATTATATTTGGTCAATACAGTACAATGTGTTCATAATTCTGTTGTCATTGCAGTGGTCTGGTTCCTCTTCACAACGCTTGCTCCTATGGCCACTATGAAGTCACTGAGCTTCTTCTGAAAGTACGTGTTTGATCCAGTTCTAAAAATACAGTATAATTTTACGATAAATGTGTCTTTGTGCCAACTACTGTCACATCATCGGTTACATCTGTCATTTTTGATACAGCATGGGGCTTGTGTCAATGCAATGGACCTGTGGCAGTTCACTCCACTACATGAAGCAGCATCAAAAAACAGAGTGGAAGTTTGTTCACTGTTATTGAGCCATGGAGCTGACCCCACACTGCTTAACTGTCACAGCAAAAGTGCAGTGGATATGGCTCCCACCCCAGAGCTTAAGGAAAGGCTTACATGTGAGTATATGAGCATACTTAGTACAAAACGAACCAATGAATTTATAAAGGTGCAGAATAATACATTTCTGTTTATTTTAGATGAGTTCAAAGGACACTCACTGCTTCAAGCTGCTCGAGAGGCAGACATGGCCAAAGTGAAAAAGACACTGGCTCTTGAGATTATCAGCTTCAAGCATCCACAGACGAATGAGACTGCACTGGTCAGAAACAAATTTACAGATTTTTAAATCGCACTTCATTTAAAATTTTAACACTCTAATATTGTAATTTGTTTTTTAGCACTGTGCTGTGGCCTCCCCTCACCCAAAAAGGAAACAAGTGACTGAACTGCTGCTGCGTAAAGGTGCCAATATCAATGAGAAGAACAAGGAGTAAGTTGTAAAGTTTCAGTTTTTCTCAAGTGAAGAGATACATTGTGTTTTATAAATAAATTACTTTTGCAGCTTTATGACTCCTTTGCACGTGGCTGCAGAGAGAGCCCACAATGACATCCTTGAAGTTCTTCAAAAACATGGAGCAAAGGTATTTGGTTCAGTTTTAAATGTTGTACTATATACAGTATAAATTTAAAAACTGTAAATATTTGTTCTCTCAGGTGAATGCTGTAGACACACTTGGTCAGACAGCATTACACAGAGCTGCGTTGGCTGGACACATTCAGACGTGTAAACTACTGCTGAGTTTTGGAGCCGACCCCTCCATTGTGTCTCTTCAGGGCTTCACGGCTGCACAGATGGGCAACGAAGCAGTGCAACAAATACTAAATGGTAACTGTTAGGGAAAATCAGTATTGTCTTAAAGAGTCCTAGAGTTCTACAGAGAGGCAGAAAAGGTTTACTTACCAACAGTCCAGGACCCGGTGAACTTGAAATCTCAACACTGCATTAGTATTAGCTATTCAAGCCGGACTATGCTTCCACACATGGAGGTGTAATAGAAACTAAGAAGGACAGTTTGGAGACAGGCTGGCTGAGGGAAATTAAGAAGAATACCGCTTCTGTGAGACGAGTTGACCGAGCAAACTGATAATGTTAAAGAAACACAAATTCTGTAATAGATGGATGATGCCAGAGCAAACCACAGAGAAATGTCAACAATGAACTAGAGGTGTCCTTGCAAAGACTAAGCTGAGGATGCAAAATTCCACAACAGTAACTATGCTTTTGAATTGAAACCTTTTAATTGTTTTTGTAGTTTGAGACAATAATAGCCTTTTGACTAAAATGTTGTTTTTATGTTTAATGCGTGTTTTGCAGAAAATGTCCCGACACGAAACTCAGACGTTGACTACAGGTTCCTAGAGGCCGCCAAAGCAGGAGACTTGGACACAGTGCAGGTATCATATAAGTTCTTCATCCAAAACGGTACTTTGGTCAGAGAGTGAAGGAGGACAGGAATAGATTTGTGGAGCTTTAATGTCATTTTCCTGTATCTGTCTTGTTATCTATAAGAATATTTAAACATTCACACATCCATTTAAGAAACAATTAAACAACTAATTTACAAACCCACCTCTATCCAAGTCACGCAGACTGGATAGGTTAAAGGAAAAGAAGTGAAGCTACAGCACTTAGTTTAGAAATAACAGCATTTCCATGGTAACTACACTGCGCTACCAAGGACCCCTTAGTTGGCCAAGAATGCCTGAACTAAATATTAGGGAATTTGCAGCAGTTATTGTGATTCACATAACAATTATTTGATTTATTTTAACACTGATTAAACTGTTATATGTCCTTTGTAGCAACTGTGTACACCTCAAAATGTGAACTGCAGAGACTTGGAGGGACGTCACTCTACTCCTCTACACTTTGCCGCTGGTTACAATCGTGTGGCTGTTGTTGAATACCTGCTACACCATGGAGCTGATGTCCATGCCAAAGACAAGGGGTAAGAGCTTTAATTTTGTGAAAATGTATATCCTTTGAAGTCATTGATGGGTTTGCAAAATTTGCATTTGCATTTCTTTTTATCAGTGGTCTTGTCCCTCTTCACAACGCATGCTCCTATGGTCACTATGAGGTGGCTGAGCTGCTGGTCAGACATGGAGCCTCTGTGAACGTGGCAGATTTGTGGAAATTTACCCCACTGCACGAAGCCGCTGCTAAGGGCAAATATGAGATCTGCAAGCTTCTGCTCAAAGTAAGAAAATAAAAATACCACTTAAAAGGAGATGAAGAAGCTGACGATGCTAGTGGCAGATGGATGAGAGAGAAAGTAAGAGTGGATGTATGAATGTCTTGAGAGGTGTTTGAGAGGGAAGGGCAGCATACTTTGATTGACGTAAAGCTGCATCAGCATAAAATATTATTCCTAATTAAAATTCACACATTCAGCATGGAGCAGACCCATCCAAGAAGAATCGAGATGGGAACATGCCTCTGGACATGGTTAAAGATGGGGACACAGACATCCAGGATTTGCTTAGAGGGGATGCAGCGCTCCTTGATGCTGCAAAGAAAGGCTGTTTGGCACGGGTTCAAAAACTCTGCTCACCAGAAAATATTAACTGCAGAGACACACAAGGACGCAACTCCACGCCACTACATTTAGCAGGTAATGGCTTGGTCTACAATTTGAAATATCCTTTTTGAACTGTAACCAAATGATGCATTTTTTTAATGTTTCTGTATAGCTGGCTACAACAACCTGGAAGTGGCGGAGTATCTTCTGGAGCATGGGGCTGATGTCAATGCTCAGGACAAAGGGGGACTTATCCCCCTTCACAATGCTGCTTCTTATGGGGTCAGTTTCTTGAATAAAGGTCCTCATGTATTTTATCTAACATTGTAACACTAAAATCTTTTGTCTTGGCCCATCCTTTCCTCAGCATGTGGATATTGCAGCCTTACTGATCAAATACAACACATGCGTGAATGCCACAGACAAATGGGCATTCACGCCATTACACGAGGCCGCCCAGAAAGGTCGTACCCAGCTCTGCGCCCTGCTGCTGGCGCATGGTGCTGATCCCACCATGAAAAACCAAGAGGGCCAGACCGCACTAGACCTGGCCACAGTAAGACTCATCTCTTCCACTTGTGTTGGTTATGAAATAATGGTTTAGAAAGTACTACAGTGAACAGGTTGTACAAGGAAGTTTAGAATTCACTGGTTGTTGTATTACACTTAGACAAATTTTATTGATCCACAAGGGAAATTACTTGGACACAGTAGCTCACACTTCACATTGTAATAGAAAAACATATATATATAAATGGTAATACATTCTAAATAAGTAGGAAAAATAGCAAGAAGTATAGTTATATAAATGTGTATGTACAAGTTAAAATACAATAAAATAGAAATAAGTGCTAAAATATCTCAGCAATATACATCCAATATCATGAGGAGAAACAGTGCAAAGATCACATGATGATTGACAGGACATAGGGTTATCTGTTAATTAAGGGTAAGTTGTTATACAGTTGTATACAGTATGGTATGAATGTAGTCCTGTCTTTCTCACTGTATTACTTCTACACAATTACCCTCAACTACTGACAATGGGAGCTTGTACTTGCTGATAAGTTCTCTGGTATTTTCTTCAGGCGGATGACATACGGGCTCTTTTGATGGATGCCATGCCTCCAGATGCCCTGCCGAGCTGCTTCAAGCCTCAGGCCACAGTGGTCAGTGCCTCAGTCATCTCTCCTGCCTCCACGCCGTCCTGCCTGTCAGCTGCCAGCAGTATAGACAACCTGGCCGGGCCACTCACCGAGCTGGCTGCGGCTGCTGCTGCTGGGGCAACCGGAGTGGCAGATGGGGCCTCATCAGACCGTAAAGAAGGAGAGAGTAAGACCTAATTATTTTATGTCTTGTATACACTTTAGCAAATACAATTGTTGTTTAGGAAAGAGGGTAAACGCTGGCCAAGAAGTTGGTCACAACATGCTCTGCTCTGTGAACAGTTTTCTGAATGTCTCTCACTATGTTCACTGTACTGATCTTTTTTTGCAAGACAGAAAAAAATAATATATATACTGCATTTGAGATTTCTTAAAGCAAATAAACAAATGCTTTTTTAAACTTAAAATTGTCACCTTTTTACTCTTCTATCTAGTGACCATGCTGGACATGAACATCACTCAGTTCCTGAAGAGTCTTGGATTGGAGCATTTGCGGGACATCTTTGAACGAGAGCAGGTCTGTGATACAAGGACATTTTGATACTAAAATAATCTGGGTATGTTACCATGAATACTTCTTCTGTAGATCACCTTAGATGTGCTGGCAGACATGGGCCATGAGGAACTGAAGGAGATTGGTATTAACGCTTACGGCCACAGACACAAACTCATCAAAGGCGTAGAGAGGCTTCTTGGAGGCCAACCAGGTGAGAAGACTTTTTGTAGTGAGTCATCTCCAAATGCCAGCAGGGTTTTGGTGTTTGATTGGATTCCAATTTCTGACTCACCATATTAAAACTTGCACTTCTGTGGTGTATGAGTCACTAGTGACTTTTGCTATGTTTCCTTTGTTTAGGGTCCAATCCATATCTGACATTCCACTGTGCAAACCAAGGCACCATCCTGATAGACCTTTCCCCTGACGACAAAGAATATCAGTCTGTGGAGGAGGAGGTGAGCAGCTAAAGCTAAAGGGGAAACCATTTACACTTGTCAAACAAACAAACAAACAAACAAACAGTCATCAAGTAGATTAACACTATTCAGGTTGAAATGGTTTATATTTGGCTTTTCAGATGCAGAGCACCATCCGAGAGCACAGAGATGGAGGCAATGCTGGTGGGGTATTCAGCAGATACAACATCATCAAGGTTCTCTTCCATTTATTTGAAACTCCATGTTAATTATACCTGATCCACTTGGAACAATAATTTTAAATTGTATGACTTAAATCCCACAGATCCAGAAAGTTGTTAACAAGAAGCTAAGAGAACGTTACGCACATAGACAGAAAGAAATTGCTGATGAAAACCACAACCACCACAATGAGCGAATGCTTTTCCATGGTACCCATACACCATTTTTACTATTCTGTGTGCTGTTTTGTCTCAGGAAAATTTGTTTTCTTTTAATGTTTATCTATATTTTTTTAGGTTCTCCTTTTATCAATGCCATCATCCACAAAGGTTTTGATGAGAGGCATGCCTACATCGGAGGGATGTTTGGTGCAGGGATCTATTTTGCAGAAAACTCTTCGAAGAGTAATCAGTATGTGTATGGGATTGGTGGAGGTACTGGCTGCCCGACTCACAAGGACCGGTCCTGTTACGTGTGTCACAGGTGAGCCTTGCTTCAACTTCCCTTAGTACATCCTATTTAAGTCAAATCACATCAGTGAATGAAATAATAAACACCTTTTCACCTCTATCTTCACTCACAGGCAAATGCTGTTTTGTCGAGTGACCCTGGGGAAGTCTTTCCTACAGTTTAGTGCCATGAAGATGGCCCATGCTCCACCGGGACACCACTCTGTGATTGGGCGGCCCAGTGTCAATGGGCTGGCATATGCAGAGTATGTCATCTACAGAGGGGAGCAGGTAAATATTTAGTCACATATATCTGATTTTTAGTTAATATGACATATGTATGTAATTTTTGTGTTGTCTCTTTCAGGCCTACCCAGAGTACCTCATCACATACCAGATCCTTAAGCCAGAAAGTACTGCCCAATCTGCAGCGGGAGCAGAGCAAAAGTCCTAGTTGACTTCGTAACACATGGACTAGTGCTTGTTACTTTCATACTTATATTGCAAATGCCTAAAACTTTATTTAAACATTATCAGTGTCCTATCCAGTAGATTTCATGGTGACCAGTGCTTCAGAAGGAAATGCACTGTATTATACTGCTTGTGGTGAACACATGTCAGGTTTCTCTTTTTTGCATAGGCTGCATGTTGATGCAAACGCATGCTTGGCCCAATAGTGTACATGGGTTAGTTTTTTGAGTATCCCCTCGCTGCCTCCTCAGCAAGCAGGAGGGTGCTTGTACAAACATTATTTAGCAATTAGATACTCACACCATCTCATGACTTGTGACTGTAGAAACTCACTGACTCTCACTCGTTTTTCTATGTTTGAACAAATACTACTGCCCCATTAAACATGGGTCACTCATGGCCTTCAGCCTAACACTACCCAAAAGACCGTTTGGGCCTACTTCTTAATTGACTGACGATCACACTATGTTAAGACTACAATTTTCAACTCTATAGCATCTGCTGGCATTACAGCTATATGCTGAAAGAGTAATAACGAATAGAGCTGATATAATCAAAATGTTGAAGTAGCCTTTCTGTTGCCATGATTTTGGTCACAAATGCATCATAAGGATTTGCACTTTACATAGAAACTTATTTAAGTTATTAAATTAGCATATTTGCAAGCAAAAGATATCTGTACAGGTTGTGTAAATGGTTGTGTATAACTGTCGCTGTTTAACAGTATCACTACGTTTGATTGTAAATTACATCCGAATTTTCTTTCATGCCTTCTTGACTATCCCCCATTTTTTAAATAAATGTCCCATTAACAACTTTGTGTTTTCTTATTTATTTTTTTAAGTAAAAAAAACTGCCTCATCTAAATCCAGGTAGACACACGAGTAAACGTTATCCCCCATTCTGTATGTTAAAATAATACTATCGTAAATAATCCCCCCCCCATAAAAACTACAAGATAGTCGCACATATTTTACGTCATCGTCACCTGATTTGTTCTGTGCTGAGCGAGTGTTTCGCTGTCCACAGAAGTGTTCGGGTTTTTACTCTCCTTTAGGTTTAGATGTCACTGTCTGCCATGTAAATAACGGCGTTACGGCTGTTATGAATACTAAAATATTTTGTGTTTTGCTACTTTTGCAACTTGTACACTTGAGCAACACTTCGGGCGGTTCGTATGAGATCACAGTTGATGCAAATGAACCAATCGGAGAATTCAAACATTTTTGGGGCAGCACGGGTTTCTGGTAAGATATGGCAAAATAAATTCGGTTGAGGTTCTAAGACTGACCTGCAGATTCCATAGCCTACTTAATATGGCCGATAAACTGGTACTTGTTAATAATCCAGTCTTCCATGTTTTGTCTTTCTCTTTCCCCTTCTTAGTCCTCCTTTGCCTCATACACAAGCAGAGCAGTTTGACCTGAGCTTCGACCAACGTCTGAATCTGGCCTATGTGGGCTCTGTGCCCCATCGAGGCATACAGCAAGTGCGCATTCACTGGATGCTAGAGCTTGTTTCTGCGCAGTAAGAAACATGTCACAAATAATACATAGATAGGGAAGACCCCTAAAAATAGATTCTGAATCATGGGGGACTGTTGGAGTTAGAAATAAATACAACCATGGATTATTTAGGGAATAGGTTTACATATCACAAAATGATTAATTTATTTACTTAAAATATAATTATTGTTTGTTTTATTTTAAACCCATCTGTGATTTGTATATGTTCTAGAAAACTAGGGGGGAAAGTTCACTATAACTTCACTAAACTTGATGAGTTGATTGATCTGTTATGGACCAATGGACTGCAACCAGGTACAGCAAAAGGAAAATGAAAACATTAATCTTTTTTTTTTGGAATAGCCATATTCTATTTGCATTTCAGGTTTCGAATTAATGGGTAGTGCCTCAAACTTCTTCACTAACTTTGAAGACAAATCTCAAGTGGTTGAATGGAGAAACCTGATTTATGAAATTGCCAAGAGATATATTGGTGGGTGGATTATGGTAATCCTTTCTGTTCTGCATTTCATCTCATACAAAATCTGCTCTGATTTTGACTTACAGACATATATGGCCTTGGAGTAGTATCTCAGTGGAACTTTGAAACATGGAATGAGCCCAATAATCATGATTTTGATAACGTCACAATGTCTATTCAAGGCAAGTCCTTTTTTTCCCTTTTTTTAGAAGCCATTAATTATTTCAAAGTTATTGTAAAAGGACAAGTTGTAATATTTGTAGCGTCTTGCAGGATTAATTGTCATCGTTGTAGCAGTAGTAGTAACTGCACACTTTGAACCTACTGTGTAGTGGAAGTAGCATTAGCATTAGAAATGTAAAGGGGAGCAGCTATGGCAGTTGAAATAAGAGTACTGTAAGAGTAGTACCAGTTCTTGAATAAGTGGTAACAACACCACTAATGCTCCACAAAAGTAGTAGTCATGCCTGTAATGGCCATTGTAGGAGTAATCATTGCAGTAAATTTGATATTGTCAAGTACGCCTCTTGTTATAACTGAGCTCTCTTTAGGGTTCCTGAACTACTATGATGCCTGTTCAGAGGGTCTCCATGCTGCGAGCCCTCTTCTCAAATTTGGGGGTCCTGGAGACTCCTGTCACATGCCTCCACACTCGCCATACTGCTGGGCTATGCTACAGCACTGTTATAATGGCACCAACTTCTTCACTGGCGAGAAAGGGGTCAGACTAGACTATATCGCTCTGCACAAAAAGGTTCATAAATAAAAGCTTCCTTACTTTCACAGTAAAGGCTATAACTTGATTTATTACTTGACTAAAATGTTAATTTTGTAAGTAGTTTTCATTAGATTATTTGACTTATTTCAAATTAATTGGCTTGGCATTGAATGGACTCAGATATGAATATCTTCAAATAATCTAGGTCTTATAAAATCTAAGGTGATGAAAATTACACAGAAAAGTATTTTTGCTGCCTTTTTTCCATTTTCTTTTTGTTTATTTGTCATACTTTTATCGACTTCACTGACTATCTTTACTTATTTTTTAGGGTGGAGGATACTCTTTTCCTATCCTACAACAAGAAATCCAGACAGTAGGAGAGATACACAAGCGCTTCCCTAAATTTCAAAGTCTCCCGATCTACAATGATGAGGCTGATCCCCTGGTGGGCTGGTCCAGGCCTCAGGAGTGGAGGGCAGATGTTACCTATGCTGCAATGGTTGTCAAGGTAAAATGGAAATTTAGAAATATGAGCAATTTTATATTCCGATCAGGCATAAGAAGTGCACAAAGACCACTTACATAAATCAGATAATTGCAGTTTTATTTCATCTGCAGCACTTCTTTAGCATCACGTGACTTTATGAATTTTCCTAATGGTAACCTTGTTTCATTCAGGTTATAAAACAGCACCAAGACCTATTGTCAAATCCAAACAACACAATAAACTACACTCTTCTCAGTAATGACAACGCCTTTCTTAGTTACCACCCGCACCAGTTCACCCAGCGCACCCTCAACGCTCGCTTCCAGATCAACAACACACAACCCCCCCATGTGCAAATAATCAGGAAACCAGTTCTCACTGTCATGGGACTTCTGGCCTTGCTCGGTAACTATTTTATGTTTTTAATTATTATTTAAAGTTATCAAGATATAAAGTCTCATAAAAAAGACACATTTGCATTTACTCATGCACATGCTGTAAGGTGACAATTCTAAAAACAACTGTTCCAAGAATTAATCTTAGCTACCAAATATTTTAAATATCAACATACTGTATATTATACTGTATATTTTTGTATTTTTTATTTAACTATTAGATTACATTTAGCTTCTATTTTGAATAATTGAGTAAAATGAAAATCATGGAGGGTACCTCCTTTACTGATTTAAAAGTTGAAATGCTGATTGTAATCTAACATAGGGGACCATATTTGATCCTACTTTTTCTTACAGGAGACACTGAGGTTCTGTCTCAAGCTTCCCCCACTTCTGAAACATTGGGAGTTATAGCGAGCACCCATAAACCTGCTGTGTCCTGGGGCTCTGACAGCTTTCAAACCTCAGTCCTGGTTTATAACAGTGATGACAACCGGACCTCAACTAGCATTGATGATGTTACTGTGACAATTAAATCACTGCCAAAGCTAAAAGGTAAATTGTACCTTCTGTCATTTTTTAATACTTGAGTTCATTTACATTCTATTCTTTTATATTGTAATTTCAGAGCAACTAGCAAACTCTATACAGTTTGTCTTACTTCAAGTAACATATTATTTAAACATTATTATAAAAAAAAGAAAAACAGTAACACCTAACAAAAAATGTTTTTGAATACAACATTGTAGTCATGCTTTGGCAAAACTTTTCAGTATCTTCACTGAAATTAAACATATATCTCTGTATATTTGGCCTCAGATCTTGTATACGCCACATTTTATATGGACAATAATTCCACCAACTCATATCAACTGTGGCAAAGCATGGGCAGCCCGGACTTTCCCACACCTGAACACTTTAGAAAGCTCAGGACGTCACAGGTAGTACCCTCTTTCTAGTAACAATGTACTTAAAACACAACAAATGTAAGTGTATTTGACCTGTTTCTTTCAGGAGCCTGTGATTGGTGGGCCCTTGTCTGTTCCTCCAGGAGATACACTGGCCCTAAAAGCCAAGTTGTCCTTACCCTCTGTCCTACTCATTCATGTCTGTGCCCGCGCCAAAATGGCTCCAGATCAGGTGATACTTTTTTTTTTTTTATGTTAACGGTACAATGTTAAAAAAAGAAATATTTCACTGTTTATGTAATCCAGTATCTTTACTAGATGTAGGTATGTTATGTATTTGTAGGTAAATGGATTGAATTTCATTGGTATCACTAGAGGCCAGGTATTAATTGTTTGGTCAGACCACTGCGTGAACTCCAAGTGGGTATAAATAAAAAGATACTACTACTACTACTTTCTAAACAGTCACAGTTATATCAAGAAAGATTTTTTTTCTTTTTTTTAATATAGTTGTTAATTTGTACTTTCAGATGCATTAAAACCTTTGAAGTGGAATTTTCTGGTGATGGCAATGAATTCAAAAGAATCAATGTTCAAGACACTATTTTCACCTCATATGTTAATTCTCCTGGTAAGACTATTATCCAAATGTATAAATGTGTGTGTGTGTGTGTGTGTGTACACATATATATATATAAAAAAAATGTGTTTCTCACCTTCCATGGTGGTAGGTCTCTCACCCTCATTCAGCTCAGGTCCTCTACCAGAGGCCTGGGAGCTTGAGAGTTCTGCACAGTATCTTTGCTGTTCCCAGTACTGCACTTTTCTGGACTGAGATGTCCATTGTTTTTCCCGGTATCTGTTGTAGCCACTCTTCCAGTTTGGGGGTTACAGCCCCGAGTGCTCCGATCACCACAGGCACCACTGATGCATTTACTTTCCAGGCTCTCTCCAGCTCCTCCTTGAGCCCCTGGTATTTCTCTAGTTTCTTGTGTTCCTTTTTCCTGATATTACCATCGTTATTGCGATGTCCACCACCACGGCTCTGCTCTGTTTCTTATCCACCACCACTATGTCTGGTTGGTTCGCCATCACCATCCTGTCAGTCTGTATCTGGAAGTCCCACAGGATCTTGGCTCGGTCATTCTCCACAACCTTTGGAGGTGTTTCCCACCTTGATCCTGGGGTTTCCAGCCCGTACTCTGCACAGATGTTTCTGTACACTATGCCCGCCACTTGGTTATGTCGCTCCATGTATGCTTTCCCTGCCAGCATCTTACACCCTGCAGTTATGTGCTGGACTGTCTCAGGAGCCTCTTTGCACAGTCTACACCGTGGGTCTTGTCCGGTGTGGTAGATCTGGGCCTCTATTACTCGAGTGCCCAGGGCCTGCTCCTGAGCAGCCAGGATCAGTGCCTCTGTGCTGTCCTTCAGACCAGCCCTCTCAAGCCATTGGTAGGATTTCTTGATATCAGCCACTTCAGTTATGTTCCGGTGGTACGCCCCATGTAGGGGTTTGTCCTGCCATGATGGTCCCTCCAGCACCTCTTCCTCTGGACCCCACTGTCTGAGACATTCTCTGAGCACCTCATCTGTCGGGGCCTTGTCCTTAATGTACTCAAGGAGCTTGGATGTTTCATCCTGGACAGTGGTTCCCACACTCACTAGTCCTCGGGCCCCTTCCGGCTTGCGTACAGTCTCAGGGTGCTGAATTTGGGATGGAACCCTCCATGCATGGTCAGGAGCTTTCGTATCTTAACATCTGTGGTCTGTATCTTCTCCTTTGGCTAGCTTACGATTCCTGCAGGGTATGTGATCACTGGCAGGGCGTAGCTGTTGATTGCCTGCGCCTTGTTCTTGCTATTGAGCTGGCTGCATAGGATTTGCCTCACTCTTTGCAGGTATTTGGCTGTAGCCGCTTTCCTTGTTACCTCTTCAAGGTTGCCATTTGCTTGTGGGATATCAAGGTACTTGTAACTGTCCTCAAAATCTGCTATTGTTCCCTCTGGGAGTGACACCCCCTCTGTGTGGACTACCTTCCCTCTCTTTGTCACCATCCTGCTACATTTCTCAAGCCCGAATGACATCCCAATGTCTGTACTGTAGATCCTTGTGGTGTGGATCAGTGAGTCGATGTCTCGCTCATACAGCATGATGTCATCCATGTAGAGGAGGTGACTGATGGTGGCCCCTTTTCTGAGTCGGTATTATCCATATGTGTGTGTGTGTGTGTGTGTGTGTGTGTGTGTGTGTGTGTGTGTGTGTGTGTGTGTGTGTGTGTGTGTGTGTGCGTGCGTGCGTGCGTGCGTGCGTGCGTGCGTGTGCGTGTGTGTGTGTATATAAAATTATCTGATTAGAATTTTTGAATAGATAAACAGTAACAGTATAATTGCAATTCCAAATTGCAAAAATTGATTTTTTTTCTTATTGTCTTATTTGTGAACATCCCAGAAGAGTTAACATTGGGCACTTGTAATTTTGCTCTCCCTCTTTCTGTCTGTCTCAGTTGACCTGGAGGTGAGTGGCCTGTACAGAGTGAGGGCTGTGGACTATTGGGGCAGGCCTGGTCCATACTCCCTGACAGAGAGGTACTCACAGCACAGCTAACAAATTACTTGAATTTTGTTAATTGAATGTTGTGAATAAATATTTTTAAATAGTTTTTATATATTCTTGTATTTTATGTTAATAAAGTTCCACAACTTAATAAATGTAAGGTGTATCAAATCAGATTTAAGACACAGACATTAAAGTTGGAATAATTTCCTATTCCAGCTAACTAACAAGTTTGTTGTAGTAATTCATTTATTTATTCTGTTTTATGATATTAGACTCATTTAATGCCTTTTATTTTATAGAAGTAATTGCCCTTAATTCAGTGGAAAGCTCAGCTATTGTGTTTATGTGGTATCTTAATCAAAATTTACCCTTTTATAAGATGAAAATATTTAAACAAATTGTGACAACAACAGCAGCACATCAGTAACAACATTTATTGTTACCAATAACACAAGATGTTAACCATCACAACAATCTTTCAATCATGTTGTCACAGTGGTGGTAATTTTATCACAAGAACAGTGTGAGCAACAAACAGATTCATAATGGGATTATTGAACCAGTTGCATCTTGGATAAAGTCTTGTTTGGGAAGTGAATCAGGTAATATGTTTAGTGTTGTCTGGTGATGGATTTAGCAGGCTCCTGAAAGGACAAGAGTGAAGCAGAAAGATCAGTAATGTATATATCCCAAAGGTCTAATCAGGTCTAATCACCTATAATCCTTATTGTTAAGAGCCTGATAGGACTATAATAAAACAACCTTTTAGGGTAACAGTCATATCCCAATACATTATATTAAATTACACTGGCCTGATCACAATTAATTACCTATTTAGCTCAGTGTAATTAAAAAAGATCATCTGATCTTTGTGATGTTAGGGTGGTAATAGCATTGAAATTTGTTCAATTCTAAACCAAGTCAATCAAACCATCAGAATTGTTTTCAAATGGGGTACTGACCAGACTGGAGAACGGGCTGGAACTGTCCACTCATGCAGATCTCCTCCTGTTTCTGGCGGACAACTCTCTGGATGGCGGGGGGCAGACCACGGGGGCTGCGGCTGAACACCAGGGCATAGCCATCATCACAGGATCCATCCTCCTTCAGAGTGCGGCAGGCGTAGGTGATGGCGTAGTTATCATAGTCAGTGTCAATCACCCAGTAGTTGTCACCTGGAGGATTAAAAGGAGTTGGATTTTGTTTTGGATATCTTTAGCTCAACTGATTAACTAGATCCATACAACATAGTTAAATTTATCCAAGTAAACCAAGACTAAACCAATGTGTAATTAGTTAATTTGTGAAAAAGCTTACCTCCACTGGACAGGTAGCTGGCAAGTCCTTGGTAGTTCATGAACATTTTGCCAGGAGTACCAGGGTCGGGCACTGTGTACTGGGCGGCCATGTCAGCACATACAACCCAGAATCTGGAAAGAATAAGAAAGAGAAAAAAATTATGAATACTCAGTGAAACAGGACTTAAAGACTACAGTACCAATGTCCTGTGTACTGACCCAAACAGTGTGACTCTGCCCCTGGAGGAGGCCACCATTGCACCATCATCTCCAATAGTGTATTCAGCAGAGATGTTGTCCTGAAGGAACAGCCCCTCTGGGTCCTTCTTCTGCAGAGCATACCACTTTCCTGCATACTGAAAATATAACAGGACCACATAAAAATATTACTTACAAGTACAAGTAAAACTTTTTCACTCAAAATTCATTTCATATAAACTCAACAAATAATACATTTTTAGAAGCCGGTGTTGATATTACTTCAGATATTTTTTATGATTTGAAGTGGCTATATTAATAAAGTGGAATTTACAACCTACAGCAAAACATTTTGACACTTTCTAATCATAAGAAAAAAAAAATATTTTACCCTCTTGGGATCAAAGTCCTCCTTCACTGTGAAGCTTTCCACAACACAGGAAGCTAGGCTCTGCTCCACACAGGCGAGGAAGAGCATCACCAGGGCAAACATTTGGAAGTCCATCCTAAAAGACAGTAGATGAACATTCATCAGGATCATGAATAAGACTATTGTATGTGTACATATTAAAATTATTCCTTACCCGATGTGAGGTTTGGGTTCTCTGGAGAGCTTGTTATGGGCTAGAGTTGTTAGCGATGTTGTGAGAAGATGCGGTGAGAGCCCTTTTATACTAGGCACAGCCAGGCTCAATGATTATTTTCACTTCTTGAACCTAAATGCAGACCGTAAATCTAGTACTAATCCAGTTAACAAAATCCCCAGTGTAAGCCTGTGAACCCATACATTCAGTAGAGTGTGGACTTTATATAATTGTTTTCTTGGCTGCATAATGGGATCCATAACAGCAGGCACTCTGAGGTGACAGCACCCTGATCCTGTCACAAGGATATGGTTGACATGACGACTGTAAACACGTGTTATTGAGTGTGAATGTTACATGATTTGTAAATTCACTGATGGTAGAGGTATTCACAGTACACTTCACACTTTTATTCTATTGTTTTGACCAATGAAAAGATTTAAGGCAGTGAGACAATAGTGGGGAAAAAATCTACTTTTTCCATTTGTCATAATAAGCTATTTAGAATTCAACACAAAATGATAACAATAATAAAATTTTAAAAATAATAGGGCCAAATAACGTTTTTTTGAAGTTTCAGTATAGCAGAGTTTCAGATGACATCACTGCATTCCATATATTTTTTGAACATTTATGAAAATACAGTATTATCAATAAGAAAAGCTGGCATTTGCCCCCCATCTGTAATTATAATATCTATTTCTAGAATCTGAAAACCACCAGTAGACCCCCTTAGAAGGCAATCATCAGAATCTTAATAATTTTGGAATGGAAGCAACCAGAGACAAAAGTGAAGAAGACCACCACCTCACATATATTCACTGATTAACTGATAAGGTTTAAATGCTATGTTTAACTGCTAATGATGATGGCTGATTTTAATTCTTTATAACAAAAAATAAGCAACAATTTTGAATTAGTATATTATCTAGCCTCAAAATTCTATTTGAGTTGCACAAGGTAAGGTAAATTTTATCTCTGTTGATAAAAAGTATTATGGGGTCACTATTTCCCAGAACACCCCTTAATTTTTCATATTTTGTGATACTGTTTTTAATCCCACTTAATCAATTTCCATTCCCATTTCCATTTAAATGTAATTATGTTCCCCTTCACTGTTACCTCCATACCAGAATTTATATTTATTGCACTGTATTAACAGCCAATATTACAATTAACCACTAATTTCTTTGGATCTTATATATACTAAATATATAGTTTAATGTTGTGTTTATTTAGTTATTTCTATAGTTAAGACATTTTCCATTTGCAGTTAAGATGTTACTGGAAGAATCCCAGAGGCCAAAATGCAGATTTAATCATGTTACAAAATAAGATAATGGCTCTTTAAGATTTTACACAGATAAGGGGTTACATGAACTACATACAAAGAAATGTAGATTGTATTTTTATTTCAGGTACATTTATTTAAATAGGATGCTTCTGAATCACTTTGAATGTACTAAATCTGTGTGTGTGTGTTTTCTTTGAGGTAGTGGCTCAGCTCCAAATATAGATATGCACTGCCGGTAATTCCCTGATATTTTTAGCTGACTTTACTATTGTTGTGGCTCTGTATTTACCTGTCTAAAACCTACAAGGTATATAAGGGATGAATCTGCTTTAGGACTTTCTTGTATTTACATTTCCAACAAATTAAAATAAAGTCACCTCACACTTTTGAATTGAATTAATTTTATTACTTGTCTCATGTGCCAAAAAGCACTAATCTATGAGTCAAATGTGAATAAACAAAGAAATGTACAGGGATGGTGTATTTCTGTTCCCATAATTGTCAACCAGCTTCACTGACAGAACAACAATGAGTGTATGGGAATTTGATGAGAAAGATGTTTATGAGCAATAGTAATTTGCATCCTTTTATTCTTAAAAAGACTCTGCAGAACTGCAGAAATAAGCAGAAATCTTCACTCAGCTTTACTTCAAAATGGTATTCGTTTGCTGCAAGAATGAGAGACATTATATGAGCAACACAGAATGTAGTTTGTACACTGTGCTTAAAAGAGCTGATCAATATTATAATGTTGTTTCCACATCCTGGAATCGAGTTTTGTTTCATTCACACATGTTTCACACAAACCCTACATATTTAAGCTGAGCTCTTCTCTTGAACAGAAAACACTCTGTTCCACCTTGTGATGTCAAGTGTTAATACAGGAACTGCTCCACTGTGTTTTAAACCTCCACTAAAATTACTTGGATGAATTCAGCTCTGGAATTACCAATCTCTACTGAGCTGTCAACTTGAAAATTACATTACATGACAGCACAAGGTTGACTAATAATAAAGGGTTACTCAAACGTATGTATGAAACACAACACAACTGAGGTATGTTTTTGAGGAGGTAACATTATAACATGGTTTAAAAACTAACAAGGGTCAAACTGTATGTAATATAGGATCTTTAAAGATTCCAGGAGAAATTCAGTTGTTTTTTACCTTCTGCTAGCTCCTTGGCAATGCGTGCCTGCTCATCACGAATCTTCTTCTCTTCAGCTTCTATCCTCTTCTCCTCTGCAGCAATGGGCTTCAGGTACTCTGTACAAAAGGGTGATTGTTGTTGAGAAAAATAGTTATACTATGACAAATACAATCTCAAAGCACTTACCATATCTCTTCTTGCCATAAAAGATGCCAGCAATCAGAGCTGAATACCTTGCAGTCTGCAGTAAAAGAAGAGCATTACTGATGACAACAAGACAACTGTGCATGCTACATCTATATAATTTACAATTATAGTTGTATAGGATGTGCCTTAGAACAGGCTTTAGACCGCGTTTTGTTTGAGGGCACATTTCGAGAGCTGACCATTTCAGTGACCATTTGCTCATATGTACATTATTACTCTTTGTTTAAAGTAACATAATATTATATGCACTTGTTACAATGATCACAGGTGTTAAGCTGTTATATCGCTTGTCAATGACAAATGACAAATGAATATGCTAGCTTGATTATCACCATTTTTTATTTCTAATCCGTCATGCACGACAACACTAATTTTCTTAAACATGTTCAGTGTTATCACTATCCATCATGTAAAGCAATGTTTAAGGTTTTATTGGTTTTATTAGCATCGTATTGACAGGAACACCTTGTAGGCTAAATGTCCACTTAGCATGCTGGCTAGTAAAGCTTAGCATTTTCACGTATGCACAGCGAGTTACTTTAAAACACAAAATATACGCAAAATTTTACTACTGACAAAATACTTTTATATTTAGTTTTATGTCACAAACCTTAATAAGAGGCGATACAGCGACTGGAGGAGCCATTGTAGAGATATTTTAGCCTTTAGCTGCAGAGGTGACTTTACCACCGCTAAGCACTATGGGAGAGGATGGGTTTGTCTGTGTTTTATGGTAAAGAGCAGTGAGCCAGTGCTGCCCCCCCAGTGGACAAAACCGTAACAGGCAGAGGGTTTAGTGAAGCATATGCTGGGCGCAGGGGTCAGTGTCGATTATAAATATTACCACGATGTGCTTTTTGGCCAAGATCTGTGCACACTGCTGGAAACCCGAAACCCTTGGTGCGCCGGCTGTGATGGTCCAGACCACATGCGATGGCATCAGGTAGAATTATGAAAGAGAAAGTATTGAAGGAGTAGATTTAGCAGAGATCTCTAGCAGTTGCAGAGACTCTACGTTAAATTATATGCCTACCCCATAGTCTACAAACTATATTAGCTTTCTACACTTCAATATAGAACTTTCAAGACCTTTACGGTTGTGTGTTATGAAGAAAAAAAGGAAAAAAAAAACTAGTAGCGCTTGCTTGTCTAGTAGTTATCCAGTAGATGTCAGTAAAGATGCACAAAGTTCTTAACATCATTTTTTTATAAAGATAATTTAATTAGATTACAAAATGTATCAAATATAAAATAAAAATACATGGGATTTAAATATTACAAGCCATGTACAAAGTGAGCAAATTAACAGGTTCTTCTGGAAAATCAAGCATAGCATGTAGTCCTGTTACTCATGTTTCAAATATTCATTCTTCAAATGTATTGTAGTTGACTTTCACATGCTGTTACAATTAAACAGAATTTGCTAATTATATAGTAGGTCTATATATAATTTCCATCATACAATTGCAGTATTTTCATCCAATTTTACACTTGTAATGTAAACATTTCAAATCAATGTGTATTCCCCAGAGCCTTGCTGAGTGAGTCCACGGTCCTCTTAACAAATCTAATTTTGCCACGTTTCTTTTGGTGAGCTGTGTACTGGTTGGACTTAAGTTTGGAGTAATAGTCAGAGAATTTGTTGAAGAGGATTGAGATGGGCAGACCGTTAAGGATGATCCCAAAAGCAATGCAGATGAAAGCAAAGATTCGGCCCAGTATGGTCTCGGGATATACGTCTCCATAGCCCACAGTGGAGATGCTCACCTGAGGGAGATCAGATGGAAAAAAAATAAACTTTTAATGGCATTCTGGTATAGTCTGCGTTCATGTCAGACACTTACATAGTACACATTTCTGTGGTAAGTATTTTGTTTTATCTAGGACTAACAAGGGTGAAGACAATATCACTGGAATTAATCTTATCTAATTTTAAGAAGAAGAGAAAAGCAAAATGACAATCATTAAATGAAAAGTAGTCACAAATAAGTAGGTATTGTGCTATTAAAAACCCAATAGTACCACTCATTACCCTTCACCAATGACACTTTTGCATCTACATCAACAGTTCTCTTCTAAAATATGCATAATCTTTGGCATGTATGTCAAGTACCACAAAGCTGATTTGTTTTTGCTATATAACTATGTAACTCTGTGCAGTGAACAGATTGTATAGCGGCCTGCATTTCTTTAGGGTCAAGGAAAAACGGCACACTGCCTGGGCACTGCAGCAGGAGCCCATTACTCTGATTATAAGGATTATCATTTCCTTCTCCGGGATTAGAGGCAGAAATAAGTATAAGCACCGCTATGACCTGTTAACTAGTTTTATAGGAACTAGTGCTGTCACGATATAAAAATTTCAAGATCAGTTTCAATATTAATGTAAAAGTTGCTACTTTATATTAATTTCAAAAACACAGTGAAATAAAATATATATTATACTAAATAAACAAATATTTTTTAATATTACCTTGTGGTCTTAAACTAGTTCTAATGGATCGATACAAAGGCCAAAACTTTTCAGAAAGTTCAATTTACCTCTCTTAATGTTTTAAGTATTCATACTTGAGTATCTAGTTTTAATACTAGGTTTAGTGTTAGTATCTGGATTTTGATCCTTTATACAAAAGTACTCTGTGCATCTCCATAGGCTAAGTCCCCACAAACATTAGGTGTTAAATTGTGATAAATTAATTGAAAGGCAGTGTTAAACTACCCCCTTGAAAACGAGATGGTGACACATCTCAAGGGGCTTATCCTCCAAACAAATAAATTCAAATTCAAACTAACTTACAGCTCCTCTGGTCATACTGACTTAGTTACTCTTGCATCCACATTGCCATTTTGACTTCTTTTTATGCAGATTAGTCTGACAAATATGTTCGCCTGGCTGTCCACAGTTTCACAACATAGACATTGCACAGAGATATATTGTCTTCATCTGTTATTATTCATATATCCTGCAGCTCTTGGCAAGGTAAATCTACTTACAGCAGCCCACCACCATGCATGAGGTATACTGGTGAAGTTTGTTTGTGGCATGTCGTGCTCCACAGTATACACCATGGCGGAGAAGCTGAATATTCCCATTGCTATGAAGAGAAAGAGGCAGCCCACTTGCTGGTAACACTGACGCAGAGTGAATCCAAATGCCCTCAACCCAGTGGAGTGTCTGGCCAGTTTTAATATACGAAATATACGCATTAGTCTCATTATTCTCAGCACTTGCCCAAGCTTGCCCACCTGCCCTACTGCCTGCATGTCTGCCTCGTGTTTTATATAATTGCCACTGCTGTCAAAAAACTCCAGTATGCCTTGGAGATAGGTTGGTAATATAGCAATCAGATCCACTGTATTGAGGACACTCCTGCTGAAAGATTTGAGGTCTGGTGTGGAAACTAAACGAAGTATATACTCCATAGTGAAAAAGGCAATGCACATAGACTCTACATATTCCCAGTAGGTTTTGCCACTCAGGTGACCACTGGGAGTCTTGTACTGCATCTCTTCAACTGTATTTAAAGTCATGGCCACCAGTGAGATCAGCACAAAAAGACTGGAAGCTACAGCCATGAGTTTGGCCTTCACAGATGAAAATGGCTTCTCCATGAGGTTCCAGATGGCTCGTCTTGGCTGGCCCATAAACATGTCATGAAACAGCTCCTCGTTCTCCTCAGTCTCTACCTCCGCCTCCAGCTCCCTCTGGATTTTTAGTTGTTCGTTTAGTTCATCCTGTCTCTCCTCAAAAGAAATCCTACAACAGCGGTTGGTGTTTTTGATTCGTACCCCCCAGTAGTTGATCTCCTCCAGAAAGTTTCGCGGACATAGCTCATCTTTGATCCACAGTACCCCAGTTCTGTAGAAGTTAAAGATGCAGTGGAAAACATCTGGGTCCCGATCAAAAAAGAACTCATTGTTGGTCACAATGTAGTCATCACAAAGGTCAAGTTTCATATTGTGGTCAGTGTAGGTAGCCAAGCGCCCTATTCTTGTCTTGGGGTACTTGGCTGCCATCTTGTATGCTATTTGATAGGGTTTACCTCCCACATTGATGTTGATCATGTAGTTCTTCTTGGATGGTGAGATTTGTTTTATCTGAGGGTATGCATCATCATACTCTTCTTCATACTCGGCATAGATGTCATAGATATCCCGACTTAGCTCCTGCAGCGAGTTCCAGTTCTTCACAGAGCTCTCCTTGGCCAATGGATAAGCAATCTCTGAAGGCCTCCTGTTCAAACCAGTGTCTCCTACTTTGTAGTTGGGGAAGAGACTCTGCCTCCTGTTGAAGAAGGTAACCACCTTTCCTGTGCTCCCCATTTCGATCCCAGAGCACAGTGCAGACACAATGCAGACTATACAGGCATTACTGTGTCTAATACCTCTGCACCTAAGCATAGGACATGAGCAGGATGCCTCATGGCCCCATTAATGTTGCTGACTGAGAGGATCCGCGTGCTTACAGGACATCTAAATACCATTATCCTCTGTTGAGCTGCCTCCCTCCCTGACATGGCATTGGCTGTTGGGCATGGCTCAACATATGCCAACTGTAAATGCACTTTTAAAAATACATTTCAACCAATTATGAAATTTTTAGCAAAATCAGACACACAATAATCATTCATGTTTTGCATATTTGGTTACTTTTGAATGTATAGAGATCACTACATTGCTTTAATCTTCTTCCAATCCCCACAGATTATTCAAAGGAAGTCATATTGGAAGGCTATGATTGAAAAATGCCATTGCGTGTCATTACATTTTTTTTTTCTAATTTTATCTGTGTCAAAGGATTGTACAATGGTGTTAGAAAGGAGTTGTGTTTTCCATGTATATCTTAAAATGTTACATTAATACAGAATTATCATATCATGTGTGTGCCCAACTGTAAGGTAAATGTTTGTTTTTGGCATCTTAAAGTGCACATATAAAATGTTTTTGTTTTTTTTCTTTGTTAGGTTTACATGACAACTTACTTGGACCAACCACACTTTTCAACATGTTTAACGTCCTGGTGCTAACGTAAATTACATATTCTAATAATCGAAATGTTGAAAGTGCTAATGCAGTGACATTTAAATAGAGTCACCAGACTTACGGTAGTCTTATTAGGGCAGTGTGTCATAAGAGCAGGGTGTGAATTGGATTTGTTATTCAAACCAACACATAAACAAAAACTACAATAAAGGAATTAGTTGAATAAAGTTTATACTGACCCACAGTGAGAATGTCAGTGCTTTAAGCAATGGTCCCCCAACCTGAAGGTCAGAAGTTCGATTCTCGTTCTGACCAAGTTTTGTCATTGATATGAGATACATTCAAGTATTACAACAATTATTATTTACCAATAAATCCTCTCATCACGACTGACCCAAAATAGGGATGTAAATGCATATAAACTATATAAATAATATGCACATATTTTTGGGAGGATTACAATAATATTATCTAGTCTTCAGGTCTGCTGCAGTTTCCTGCCACTGTTGTTTTCAATGTTTACAGATCAAATGTGGTCTCTTCAAAGCAGATTAGTAGGAAAGAATGTAGATTATAATCCTTCCTGTAGGCATGTAAATCCTTGTGCCATACACTCCCTCATATTTACAGATGCAAATCCAAACACAGATTGTTTTCTGTTACAATAATCTGACCATTGCACTTGACCTTTACAGATCTGCTTCAAATAGGGTGTAGTCAGAGGGTCATCATCATCACAGGTACACTTGGTCCAAAATGCAAAATGGAATCTGGGGGCTCAAAGTAGATGTGCCTGATGCTTGTAAAATATTGTGAACTGTAGCCCTTTTTTTTTTTTTTTTTTTTACTCTTGATTGTATATAAAATCATGTATGTATGTACCCATATTGTGGGTCAATAACTGATATATCTTGCATATACTGCCTGTTAAGAAATTCAATTATTAAATAATTTACATATTTCACATATTTTTTGAACTGGGCTGATTTTGTTTTCTTTTGAAGGACAAAAAAAGACATAAACAATGTAAAATACATATTAATATATTTCTGTTATGTCTGTGGATGCATTCTAGCCTATTTCTTGTGTTCAAATAGTTGTACATAGAGATAGCTCAGCATACAGAGGCAAAAAGTGATAATTGGATGTTTTTGTGCAAGGTTATCAGAATATCTGCACAATAGCCTAGAAATAGGCCTCTGCTACCCTTGTGTATCATAGGTTAGTATAAATTATAGATACTGAATTACGAATCATTTGTTATAGATAGATATAGCTATAGATATAGTGGATTGATGGATGGACTGGATATATTAAAATTGAGCAGAAACTGAGTATTAGTAGTAGTTTGCTCTTTTATTGTGAAACTCCCAAGCGGATGTTATTCGCGAGGAGCTCCATCTACAAAGAAATTGCCGCTGTTTTAAAGGGAAACCAAGGTTGTTGAGCTGTAGGCTTGGAGTAGCGGGCTCCAGGTACGTATCATTTCATCTGTAGACAGTGCTTAGATCGGGTTTTGTAATATCTCTGTCCGGTTACACTGTTGGATCCTGCATCTCATTGCTTAGTTTTGCGGAAATATTGATGCGGGCAAGTGTCAAGTGGCGACAGCTGGTGAAGTGCAGCCCACCGGCTAGGTAGCACGAAGCTAACCCGGATAACGGTCATCAATGGCTTCAGTTTACTGTAGACAGCTGCGCAACTCGGTTAGAACATGTAATATAACCTCAATTTACCATTACACACTGTGCCTTTATAGTATATTATTGTGATGTCAACTGGGTAAAATAAACCAGTGTCCTTTGGAATGAAACGCATCGGAGTAGATGTGGTCATTTGAGCTTGCTTACATCCATAAATTGCCACACAAATATTACCTTTTGCGGATATGAACTGTTTTCCGACTTGTTATATATTACAATCAAAGAGTAGAAAAGCAATAGTATATTTAGGCTTCTGTCTTCTGGTCTGGCTGACTCCATAAGTTATAAACCAAAGTACCAAAATATTATCTAATCACACTGGATGTAGGAGCTTCCTTTTCCATTGGCCTACTACAGGAGCATTGACTGTCCTGTCCCAATATTTTGAGTTCTTTTGCAACAATAATTTTATGTATTATGTTTTTGAGTTATTTATATTTTTACACATTTTATAGTCCAAGCAATGCACTAGGTATTAGAATTGTGCAGGTCATGAACAGGACATTTTGGTTGTTGGTTTTTTATTCATAGCAATAACTAGTTTAAAATAATATGGATTGGGATTGATGTTCACATTTATCACACTTTTTAGAAAACTATTTCATATAGTTGGTGTATGAGTAACTTTTGGAACAAAACTTTTTTTATATTATTATTATTATTATTATTATTATTATCATTGTATTGTTAATATTCTTCAAATAAGTATTCTAAGGGTGTATGGAAATGATGTGGTAAACAGTTATGAATTCAAAATGGAAATATTAATTCATCTAAACAATGGCTTCATTATGGCTTAATAGAGAACTACTGTCTCGTGCTTTGCTGAGTTCAAATGTCCATTATGTGTGGCAGTTAAAGGTTGGTTTGTTGTGCAGATGGAGTAGTATTGAAGCAGATGGGGGTGGTGACTCATTGTCTTCTAGAGTAGGGGGTCTCATAATGGCTACTCTGTCCCAACAAGCGTGTTCCGAAAACCCTTAATCACACTAAAACACTTCCCTTGGAAATTACATCCTGTTTACACACTGTACCTTCAGCTAAGCCTGCACAATGGCAAATCCAGGAAGAGGCATTTTTGATGCTCATTGATTTAAGTTGACTAAATTACCAGAATGTCACGTCATATAATTTGTTCTTACTTACAGATTTAAAAACATATCTGGACACAAAAACAGGACTAAACTTGGTGGCAGTTCTCCTGTATCCCTTTTAAAATCTGGTACAAAAAAAACTGAAACAATTGCAATTACACTTCATTTAAAGGTGCATTGTGTAACTTTTCTGGTGGAGGATCCATCAAATGCTTTTCTCCATGGAGATGATGTGGAGTTTCACAGTATGGCATTAAACATTTCTGTCTTCATGGAGGCCAAACCAGACCAAATTACAGGTCAGATCTGTGGAGAGGCAACCCCGTTCACAGTCAGAATGCCTGTTTTTTTTAGGTATTTTTGCGCTATAAAACCACCTGTTACTGAATAAATGTAAGGTTTAATGTCATACTGTGGAACATTCCAGGCAGAGCAATGACATCTCCATAGAAACAAGCAGATGACGGACCCCCATCCAAAAAGTTACACAGTGCATTAAACATAATAAACCATAACAAAATAAAGCATGGTTGTGTATTTAAATCTTTCTCACATTATTTATTTCTGCCCCATTATCTTGTCTACTGTGTATTGCCTCATGACTGGAGGACACACTTGTAACTGTACACGCCGACTCCCTCCAAAGACCTGACCTTGACCAAGTCCTGGGTCTCTCTCTGGTCCTAGCAAGCAAACAAGAGCCTTTGGCAGCTTCACTGTTTAACAATGAGCCTGTCATTCTTTGTTTACTTCATGTAGATATGTGTTAGCCTGGACATTTGCCTCAACGTTTATAAAAGGAGTGTGTTTATTTTTGGTTCAAAAGTGAATATGTGCTCCATAGCAATGAATATGACAACTTGATTAAAAGGACTGGTCATGTAACAATAACTTGATACATTTACCATTAGCTTGTTAATGATCTACTGTGTTATTACTGTTTAGATGGTTTTAATTGTAATATTCAACATGGATATTGCCCAGTCGACTTTGTAAAATAGGGTTACAGCTAAACATATATGTATTTTTTCAAATATTGTTTTCCTTATTTTTCAATAAGAAAACAGAATAGTAGAAGGGATTAGATATATGAAGTTATTAGTTTAAAATGTGGATATTGAAATATGCTGACAAAGGCAACATTATTTGTGTAGCACAATTCGTACACTAAATAATTTAAAGTGAAAGACATTAAAATCACAATACAAACAAATCAAAACATAAATAATTATCATAAAATTAACATTAATACAGAAGAGAGAAGAGTGCAGAATAAAAAACTTTCACTCATACACAGCTTAGCAGAGCTGGATTTAAACAATCAAAGTAGAGGCCTATCTCACATTTGTAATTTACTATCCAGTCAGTTTATACAAATGTCCTTTTAATTCAGATTCTTGCTCAACACACCACAGATTTACAAAGTTGTGTGCAGGTCTTGAGTTACCCCAGCCCCTCCTGCTCTTGTAACCCTATGCTCTGTTCTTTCTCTCAGTCTGATGCTGGAAGCAGGGCCCTGTGGAGCAGAAGAGCAGTGCGGCCGGTCTCCCCTCTGTCCTCTCATGCCTCCCCCTTTGTGTCCCCCTGTGTGTTAGTGACCCCATCACACCCTCCACCACCTCCTCTACTGCCCCACCACCCACCTGCCCCCTGCACGCCTGCTCCTTCCTTGTGTTGTGCCCCCTCTCACCTCATGCTCCGGACACAGTCTGCTCACTGCCAGCTCAATGACTGCCTGGATTGTCCTGCCTGTCAGCCTGTCTGCCTTCTCCATCACAGGGATATGGATCGTGTAAGTCCCTCAAAAAAATCAATGCCATATTCAATTAGCCAGGGATATGTGGTATGTGCTTAGTCAGAAGTTTTTTGCACTTCAAGTCCTGATTTATTTTCTATAGAGAAATGTCAACAAATGATATGTAATGGATATAAGCATGTATTAGTTGTTATATCAGTTGTTTTATTATGAGATTAGGATGCTTGATTAATTGCTTACTTGATCATCATTGTCATTATTGTAGATTATATAAATAATTCTAAATTGTCTATATATTGATTTTCATCTCATTTACATCATTATTTCATAAACAATGGTGGGAAAGAAAGCTTAAACTCTTAATGATGATGGACAATGTTGCATTCCCTAAATAAGCCCCAGTCCACAAACAGATGAGAATAAAGCAGACCATTTATTGTTATAAATGGTTTGTGACTAAAATAAAACAAAATATTGCTGTGATTTATCATGGGGATACCCCTGATGCCCTTGAAGATGTCCTACTTTAAAGAGAGAAGTCAGTCCAATGTGAATGGGGCTTTTCTATGCTGCTCATTGCCTGTGAAGCCTCAGTCTCTGAGTCATGCTCCCATGTTTGACATTTGCCTTTTCCTGCTTTGACTTATGGAGTGTTTTTCTCCCCTCAGTTACGCCATGGCTGTGATGAATCACCATGTTTGTCCTGTGGAAAACTGGTGAGTGTCTGATATGCCTCTTAGAAGGAAATGTTGTTAAACACTATTTTCTACAGTACTTGTGCAATGTAATCATCAATTTTCAAAATATATTAATCTGTCAATATTGACAGATTAGTATATTTTGAAAATTGCTAGCTAGGGACTTGCTAGCTAGAGATGACTCTGCCTAGACACTGGTCTTTAAATATGTCTTTTTGCTAAAATGGGGCTAAATTATCTTCTCATTTGACCGATAATCTCTTCAGTCATCTTTTGTGTGATGTTGATTCAATGATTGCAACAATATTCTGCAGTTATGAGTTATTACTCCTAGTTATTAGCACCTTAATCTGAACAGGATTGTTCTGCAGGTCCTACAATGTAACATGCATGGAGGAGCTACCCCGTCCTGGCTTTCCCAAAACATGTTGCACCCTCCAGGACATCCCCCTCATCAGGTTTGTTACATACCCATTTATTCTGTCTATGAAACACAGTCTGTCAGCAAATGTCCCCAGGCACAATTTTACACCATCTTAACCACATTTGCATTTGTTGTATTTGCTTAATCTGCAAATCAGCCTCCAGCCTCTTCAAAGCACAAAAGAGCTCTTCTGAAACTGCGTCATGAGAATTTATGTGCTCCTCCTCTGTTTATAAGAAAAGAGCCAAAGTCAAGTTTTACACCTTTTTGTAATGCATATTTAGAGAGTACAGCTGTACAAAATTGTGTAACAAGTGATTTTGAAATTACGCAAAATTACCTGAATCTACCCTGTATACTTACATATGCCAGTATCTCAATCACTCAATTCTAAACAATTTAGTGCCCTTTTTAAGTCTAACATAAGTATTTCTTTAGATGGTGCGAGCGAAAGGCTGCAATTTGATATTTTATTATTCCACATGGATCAATGTTGCGACTCCAAACACTTTTTCAGCAAAATTCAGTAACTATCCTATACTCTTAATGTCCAGTTAATCCAGTAAAGACATAAACAGAGACAGATGGTAGGATTGGGTTAAGAAGCCATACTTAAATCTTCTACAATTTTAATACTGTCTGCTGCTTGCTCTGTGTGTCTTGCAGTAAATGTGGTTCGTACCCTCCGGAGAGCTGCCTGTTCAGTCTGATTGGGAATGTGGGAGCCTTCATGGGTAAGACCTTGGTGTGATGGGACATGTACTTATATAGGTAGTTAATATGATTAACTGAGATTTAGGAGCAGGACCACGTCTCAGCCGCCCTCTCCTCTCACCAGCGAACCACAACTCACCTCGACCACGCCTCTAATTTCCCAGAAGCCTATATGTAGTAGCCTTTCCCATCATCCCAGTTTGTCTCGGCTAACTCGACCCCACCCTCCCATCCCCTATTTTGTCTTTCAGTCATAAGACCCCTACAAGGGGGGTCCCGTTCCGGCTGGACCAATTGTAGATTGAGACGGAGCCGACACCCATAGTCTCAACCCAGCCATCTCTGCCTCGCTTCATACATTATCAATAAACTTCTTCGCACAATGTCGTTGTTGGCGTGGTCCTAGCTAGTGAAATAATAGTTATTGTGTCTAGAAACACAAGTGGAGCATATGTAATTGATTTGACCAAGTGGTTTGGGCCATAGTGGTTATACTTTTGTCTGGCCAAATTGATGCATTTATATGTTGCGTTATATGTTGTCATTGGGAGGGATCTTTTATGTTTATTAACTATTGTTTGCCTGTAATTTGTAATGTCATCTTCAGAGAATAAATGATCTTGGGGTGTCCACTGCATCACATGTATACAATTGTATTACCAGTCATTAATTTTGGTCTCAAAATGCACACTACAAATCCTACAAAGCCCAAATGTTGTCTCCTCATCACAAACATATGTGGAGTTGTTTGTTTAATTCACACAACCCCTGCATATTTAGGCTGGGTTCTTCTGTCAAACAGAAAACACTCTGTTCCACCTTGTAATGTCATGCGATAATACAGGAGATGCCCTACTGTGTTTTTAAACTCCATCTTCACCTTCACTAGAATCATTTGGATCATTTCAGCCCTAGAATTGCCAATCTCTACTAAACAAAAGGTAAAAGGCAGCTGTTAACTTAGAAAAATACCACTTCATGAGATCACACTGTGGAATAGAAACAAAACACAACTCCAGGTATGTTTTTGATGAGGTAACGACATTATAACATGGCTAAAACCTCACAAGAGTAAATTTAGCATAATATAAGACAATTAATTATAAAAATATTACTTTTGAATTTGCTACTTAAGTTTTGTTTCTGAAAACATTCACCCCCTTTGCCCCTACTGTCAGTTGACAGGCTGATTCACATTTCTGAGTGATTTTACAGTGTAACAGTAGCAGTGTAGTAAGTTAAAACCCATGTGCAATGTTATTAATTCTCTCCAGTGCCCGCCGACGTCAGGCTCGAATACAGGGGCCTGAAATAGCCCGGTCGCTCTAATCAATAATGAATGCAGTTTTCCTTCCTCTTCCCCCTCTGTCCTCTCCGTGTCTCCTCCGCGGCCTCCCTCCATCACTCCTCGCTTTTATCACCTTCAGCTCTGCCCCATTTTCTCCAGATGCCTCTGCTTTTCCTCTATGCCTTAATTACAGCTGATGTTTATGTCTGTCTGCCGCTTCAGATTTCCAATTGTATTTATCATGGCTGTTTCTTGTCCAGTTAGCATTGGACCTTTGACTCTGCAGTTAAATGCCAATGCTGGAAAGTTTACAACTTAACTGCGTTATAGAGAGTATTTTCCATGCAGGTTTGCAAATTCAAGGTTGTAACAAAATTGTATATAGTTCTTGTATAGTAAATGGTTTTAATGTTTAAGAAAATCTCTTTGCAACATGGTAAATATTGAATGAATCCATAACATTGTCAACCCAATCTTCTGCTGCATTTTTGTTTTCCTATACTAATTATAAATGATGATGAGCAATAGTTCATTTCGTTGTCACAAATGCCCTCATCTATTCTTGTTTTATAGTCAGCTATGAGCCTAATGCAGTGTTTAACGAGTTCATTCATTTTACTAGCCAAAATAAATGGTTTGTATTGCTCTCACAAGAAGACACGTACCGCAAACACAGGGACATTTGTCTTCTGCCTTTGACATATCTGAGCCAAATGAAATAGAAAATGCTCTCCTTGTGCTCCCTTTATAATGAATGCTTTTCTCTTTTTACAATATGTGTTTTTCTCTTTCTTCCAGTGGTGATGGTGTGCCTTCTGCGATACGCCCAGGTCATTGAGCACAGCCACAGATGTTGGGTCAACACCAGTGCCCTCGTGTCCGGCTGCACCAATGCAGTCGGCCTGGTCATGGTCGGCAACTTCCAGGTAAAACTGCTACATACTTTTTTATATTTAACATGCTGTCAAGTGCAATGTCCCCCCTATGATATTACATAATTATTTTCCATTCTGCAGCTCCCTCACGAAAACAAAATTTGAAGTTCAATATATTGCTACAGAAAATTATGTGATAAACGATAATACTGTTACTACTTTGAAGTAGAATAATCCCTTTCTAGATATGTAGCAGTGTTAAAGAATAGCAGAATGAAACACTGTCGTTAGCATCTATAATAAGCCATAGATTACCCAACTTTCAACAGCTCAATTCGTACTACAAAAAATGCAAAGAAACTGTGCACATGATAGCAATATTTTTTTTTAAATACTCCAGCTATAATTTATTGAACAGTAAGTGGATATAGTATCCACGGCGACTGACCTATGTGCTTCCGTATTTTTGTAGGTGGATCATGCCAAGTCGCTGCACTACGTGGGAGCAGGCGTGGCATTCCCGGCCGGTCTGTTGTTTGTGTGTCTCCAGTGTGTGCTCACGTATCGTGTGGCTGTGACAGCACTGGATTACTGGATGGCTCATTTCAGAGTGGCCCTGGCCCTCGGAGCTATGGTCTCCCTTGTTTTGAGTATCCTTTTCAAAGACTGATGCTCTGCTGGTACAGCTGTAGTAGTGCTGGACTTTGTTCTCACACATTAGCACTGACAACTAAGTAATTATTCATGATTCATTGGTTACACCTGCTCCACAACTACAAGGATTATCTGCTCTTTACATCGGGGCTCCATTTTTAGGTTCAACATCTGTTTTTATGGAAATATCTGTACTTGGTGTACGTTTTGATTTTTATTGTCATATTTTCACCAGCCTAAAATGTAAATATTTATTACTTATGATTACTTTGTTTTTGGATTATTCAGTTTTATCCTGTACCTACCTTTTAGAGAGAGGAAAAAAAGGGAAAAGAGAAAAAAAAATACATTTTGGACTTGAAGAAATCACATTGACTTGATAATGTAATTATACCCCAGCAACTTCACAGTAAGTTATTTCGGAATCAGCCATCTGTCCTTTTTATAAATTGCTCAACTAATCTAACTTCATTTGCAGAATTTGACCTCCGACCTTTCTCCAAAGTAATAAGTTAGGTGACAAAACATTTAGAAACTATGTTAAGACTTACTTGTACGTAGATCTTTCTTAACTGGCCCTTTCTCAGGTGGTATGTTTTTCATCCATGAGAGCTTTGTGCTTCAGCACGCCGCTGCCATCTGTGAGTGGGTTTTCACCGTGGACATCCTGGTCTTCTATGGGACCTTCACCTATGAGTTTGGCACCGTCACTAGTGAGACCCTCATGGCTGGCCTCCAGCAGACCCACCATCACAGCCCAGGGGTCATGATGGGGCCTGGGTCCAGAGGGGCACTGGGAGGAGCCACTAAAGGTCTCAAATCCCCTGGAGGCAGCAGCACATCCACACATCTCAACTGTACTCCTGAAAGCATAGCCATGTTGTAGCTCTGTGTTGCATCATGGGAAGGTAATAATGTATAGTAAAATATGGTATATCTGGCGCCTGCTAGTGTTGGCCAATGGCATTCAGTCTTGCCACTACAGCTGAATGTTTGCAGCCAAAGTTCAAAGGATTTATAAAAAATATTTTCAAATGTTTCCCATGTTGTAGCTTTATGTTGCAGCATGACAAGGTTAACAGCACAGTTTTGTCTGATACCCCCTGGTGGTGGCTCATGGCATTCAGTGTTGCCGCTACAGCTGAATGTCTGGAGCTCAAGTTCTAATCTAAATCATGAATGATTTTTTTTTTTTTACAATACAAATTTACTCTTTCTGAAAATCTTAATTGATGTGGGTACAAATATGACATTCCCTATAGCTTGGCCCACCTCTTTTTTGGCCTTTTGCTTCTTGCTGCACGGCACACTTTTATGAATGAAAGACTTATGTTCAAGTTTTAAGTTTTTGTAGTAGGTAGATTTATTGAATGTGTGTCAATAGTTAGTACTTATTTTTGTCATAAATGTGCTGTTGTCTTACAGCCTCAACCAATCAACAGATTTTTATTTTATTTTTATTCTATTTCTGCACATTTTAATGCCTGGTAACTGCTGAATTTTATGCCAATTGTTTTTTTTTTTCTTCAAATGTATGATTATTGACTTGATAATTTCTGATGTAAAATCCAAGACAGCTTTTTTTTTCTTTTTTTTTTAACCCATAATGCTGTTCTACTTCTAATGCATGCATTTTAAGTCCTGTCATACTGCCTATTCACATCCAGTGTAATAATTTGTCTGATTAGTTGTGTCACGAAGTACATTGCCTTTTTTAAATGGGGCTATTTGTTTGTTTTTTAATGTCAGCATGTTTATTTTAAGTGACCTCCATTGAAGACAATTGGATCTTGAGTTTTTTTATTTCGAATATTCCAGGCTGGACCCTTGGAAGCCTTATTTTCCAAAACTATGTGTGCCATACGTTTAACACAGTGGCATGATTATACAAATACATTGAGGTGTGTGTGTTGAGTTTTGCCAATTTAACATGATTTACTGCCATGAACTAAATATAAATGGCATCTCTTTGTGTGTTTTCAACGTGCTAATTTTCTCCTCATACTGTCTATAGTATTAGAGTTAAACCAATGGTTTTTAAACTGCTGTCTGATGCTTAAAGATGTTTCTATATGCCTTTAAACTACTTAAATCAACAGATTAAAAATTTAAGGCAAATCAATTTTAAGGCAGTTATGTTAAATGAAATGGTTATTGTATTAAGATTAACCTTAAAGTTTGGAGAAGAAGAGATCAATAAAAATAAACACAAATGGATCAATGTATGGACAAATGGATCACTCCGATACACTTGGACTGTACATAGTTCAACTTTTTCCTCATGAATGGCCTTTTCATCAAATTTGGCCAAACATGGCTGCTAGACAGGAAAGCTTTAAAGATCTGGATGAGATTGGAGAGCATGGACCTTCATATGAGAGTTTTGAGAACCACTGGTGTACACCATTTTAAAAACCTTGGATGCCAGCAATAGTAATATTAGTGATGTTGCCTACCTCTTATTTACTGTGGATTGTTATGTCAATGTTTAATTCATATAAAGGGGGCAGTATTGGATACAATGGAGGATCTACAATGTGTCATGTGTCAGTTCAGGGTTCAGTTTCTCTTTTTTTCATCCAAATCTTTTCAGTTGTTTTTAATGTGCAAAGGTTGTGTCAATAGAGACAATAGAAACCTTTTCTTGTACATGTGTTGCCAAAAACACTATGGTCTGGTTTTTCAGTGGACTGTTTCAGCCTTACACACATATGGTGCGGGGAGAATGTTTAAAAATGTTTTTGTTTTGTTTTTAATTAAAGTTTTGACTTTTTTTCTAGTTTAGCAAACTGTTGTTCAAAATTTAAAATGGCAGCTTGAATGAACCAACAATTTCAGCAACAGGCCAAACTGTCGTATTTTTTTAATTTCAGTACATGTAAGTTATTACAGATGCTTGATCTGTTCTTGTCTTTTTAAATGCAAAGTCACATCAACTGTAAATTAACCACTGAAGAATGGAGCAGTGGAAAATATCCCTCAATAACCTGGATAATTCATTTTCTTTTATAAATTGTGTAAATATGTATGATTTGTCTATCATTTAGGTATTTTGATTTGAAAGAGATTTATATTCAAATAAATGAAATAAAAACTATAAATTATTAGCAGATATGTGGACTCTTCCTTGCACACAAAACAGATGAATTATATAAGTTATAACATTTTTATTACCCAACATGAGTTGGTTAACTTAATTTTTGGTCCAGAAGACATTTTGTTACATTTGAACAATTAAAATCAATATTTTTATACAAAGTAGAAACATTTAAACTCATCTTTCAGTATTATAATAAACATTTACTAGAGAGGAGTTGACAGGACAGTAATTACATCTTTTCCTAAACATTTGTATCAAAAGTCTTTTAAAAAGCTTTGAATTGCTTGTACTCCCACAGTAAGGTCAAGTGTACATGGCTCCATGAAGGTCCTCTAGTCTGTGCTCCCTTTGTCGTCTTCTCTCCTGACCAAAAAAAAAAGTTGTGATAATTCAAGAACCAAATTCAAAAGTAGAAATGATCACTGTTCCATATGAAAGTATTTAGAGGTACAATTGTATACATTATCAGGCCCTTCAACAGAAATTTAGGGGCACAGGGCAAAAGCGCAACATGGCCCCCCTCTAATATAAATTAATAGGAAGAGGATCTACTGCGCTGTACAGTATGCCCTACTAACCTTGTCCTTTTTGAACTCCTCATAGTCAGGGTCATCTGTTGGTAATTCATGACGACAAAGTGGACAGGAGTTGGTCTAAGGAAAAAGTAAAACAATCATAAAACAGCACACACAGTTTGCTCATTTATAAGCAAGCGAAGATGAGTAAAATGAAACCTTTGTAGTAACTCTCTTGAAGTTGAAGCCTAATTATTTCAATGTGTTGCCCATAGAATGTACAAAAAAAGTGGACTAAGCGAGCATTCAGTGCCACACAAATGAAGCTAGTAATGCTAATGGTTACAGGAGCGAATTTGGAACTAAACTCTATATTATGAATAGGATTTTGACAGACAAAATAGTGAAAAACAAAACAAAAAAAACCCCCACCAGGATCATATAGAGCGGGTTAATGCAAACATTTTAAGACCAAAATGATGAGGCTCACATCATCGGTTACAAAGAGAGGGGCCACAATATTCCAAGTCAATGGGAGCCAGGGACAGAAGGAACCAGAAGACCCCACATGCAAACTTACTTTTTGGAACGTGGTGACTAGCACATTAACTATGTCCATTAATATATATAGTCTATGGCGCTTCCATACAAATTTGGTGTAGTTTGTGTCTGTCTGTGTCTCCAAAAATAGATACTTATAGTGTTAGAAAATGTGTCTCTACTATACATTTTCCCATTAACAACTTAAAAGGTGCATTGTGTAACCTTTGTGGTGGAGGGTCGTCAATTGCTTTTCTCCATGAAGATGTTATTATTTTGGAATGTTTCACAGTATGGTATTAAACCTTTCTATCTTCCAGACCAAGTTGCAGGTCAGATCTGTGTCAGAATGCCTGTTTTTCTAGGTACAGCTATAAAACCACCTAAAATTGGATAAATGTGACATAGAGCTGTTTAATGTCATACCGTGGAGCAACCCCAAATCAAAACTTTTTATAGTGCATCTTTAAAGTATGTGTATGGTGTCCAGTATAATGGGTAAACCAATACCTTTTTTAACCAGGGAAGAATGCAGCCTGAGTGGAAGAGATGTTTACAGGGCATTTCTCGAACTGTCTCTTGTTCCTCAAACTCCAACAAACAAACTGGGCACTTTACACCTTTATCTGTGAAACAAAGAGAAGCATTAATTATTCTAAATCATGGCTTGCAATTACCTTGAAAGCAGAAAGTTTGAAATAGGAAAAAGGAACAAAACTATATAACTATTAAAATTCCTTACAACCTTTTGTGAGATATACTTTTATTTCTTTATTTCTATTTATTTGTACATATACATTTATATAATTATGCCTTATTTGACACCAGTTTCTTCCCATTTTTGCCAATTCGAATTTGTTAACAATTTATATATTTTTCTCTGTGTTATTATATTATATTGTGATGTGTGAGCTACTTTGTCCAAGGAATTTCCCTTCTGGATGAACAAAGTTTGTCTAAATCTAAATAAAAAGCAATCTAAAGTATACAGAAACAAAGGCATGAAAAGAGAAACATGGGAAGGCTATAATTCCAATATAGTAATACAATACAATAACAGAAATACATGAATGAACAAGTGTGGGAGCAAATGGTTTTCTGAATGAAAAAGAGAGTTGAATGTAAAGATTTTATCTCTTGGTCTCTTAGGAAAGGTTTTTAATAATAAATTAAGTAGGTAAATAACAGTATGTAGGTAATTTGCAACATGTATTGCCTGTATTTTAATTGCTATGGTTCCCATTTATAAGCCAAGGCCGGCTACAGGCGTGTTCTATTTACAAAACGTATTTGTTAAATTATGCTTAATATTTTTGCTGTATAATTTTGTAATTTTGTAATAATAAAAAATAATAATAACACATAAAGAAAGAAAGAAACTATATGCATATTTAAGGCACCTGCTTGTTCTGGGGAGATGACAACGGCGGGCAGAGTTTGAACAGCAGCTTTGGCGGCAGGAGGAGGGAGTCTCTGGTCCCAATCAGTCAAGTCAAAACCTGAGTCAAACAAATCAACTCCCTGCATCAAGGACCTGGAATGTAAAAAAAAAAAAAAAAAAAAAAAAAACATTAGTTATTGTTCATAATGTCCCAATTGTTTGTGTTACTATGATAAGTACCTGGCAAGTTCAAGTAAAGCATTTTGACGATACTGTTCTTCTGGATTGGTGGGCTCGCAATTGTGTTCATCAAAATAGGATGCCATTATAGTGGTTCAGTCAAGCTTTGAACAAAAATGATAAAATATTAGATATGCAATATTAAAATGCACATAGTAACAGATCACTGAGGTTTAAGTAAATATTTAGAACTTTGGCTCAACTAAAACACAAATACATCATTAGAGATGCCTAAACAGAGAGGTTCAGCAAGTCTTTCCTTCCTGCTGCTGTCAGACTGTACAGTGAACAATGCTAACCCTGTACATGTGTCTTAGACAAACTTTATTGATCCACGAGGGAAATTATTTAAACAAAGAAAATTATTTAACAGGTCATCCACCTGCAGTAAGCCTGCACAATATTGTAACACAATGTAATCACCTGTATAACGCTCTGAAGTCTTTAGCTGCTTGTCCATATGGTGCATTGTATATAAGTGCCTGTTTAAATTCTCTTGCTGTTCTTAAACTTTGCATTGCAACCCCATAATTTCCCCATTGTGGGACAAATAAAGGTTCTCTTACCTGCATCTAAATGAGAAACCCAAAAGTATTTTGTGAATACTAGGTACTCTTGACATAACGTGTATTTTGCTAAAATGCTAAAATGTCCTTTAAACCGATTTATACAAAAAACATAATGATTGAATCCATGGTTTTGTATGAACAAAGAACATGAAAACAATGAAAGTTCACTGTACTTGAACTGTATTTTCTAGTCGTATTGCGTTGTTGTATGTTATTCTAAGATTACTTTTCTGAAAAAAAACTTTATCGTGAGTGAAAATGTGACAATACTATAGAACTTATTTAGCTTTAACAGACAAAATAGACCTACCTCTGCTTCACATAAAATATCAATAAACACTCTTGTCATTCTTCCGGGTGTGACGCATGGACCTTTGACCAATTAGAGCCTCCAGGAATTTTCGCTTTGTCGCCACCTACTGCACAGGGTCTGTTAGTAAAGCAACGTGTTTATCTTTAGCAATCTGTAGTCATTTTCTCAGTGAATGCACAACACACTATGATTTAATAGCAAAAGACTTTATTTGCATAATTGGTGTAAAGGTGTGAAATCTTACTATACAGATCTATTAACAATCAACCCCAAAGGAAATACAGGACACACAAGAAAAACAAGAAAGCAACCAAAATGTGTATGGCTTTGGTTAATAGCAACCCACCAAGACCTTAAAGACCATTATCACCAGTCTGTTTAAATAAACTGAGAAAGAAATTAGGCTCCAGAAGTCCCTGAACATAAAACAGGTCCAATACTTATGCATTATAGAAGTACTAATAACAGACCCAGAGTTATACAGTAGACGTTGCCCATACACTGAGAAATCAACCAACCATTTAATAGAAAAGGCCACCACGCTTTAATTTTGATGCCTGCTTTTTAATATACTCACACACAAAATCTAAATATTATAGAGATTTTCTTTAGTAACAGTTCATTACTAAACTTCCCAGTGTTGTTTGTTAGACATGATACTGATAAATTTACACAATTGTACACAACAGCTGTCATACAAAAACTTCTGACACAGTGGGCAATAGTGTTATTTAAATATCATTTGATTATGATAACACTTTATGCCTAAATGAGTGGTTCAGATAAAGTTTTATGTACAGAAACATGAAGATGTAAGTGAAAGTATACAGAGGCTAGCCCCACGTTTTGTAACTTCACATCACAGTAATACATGAGATACTGTCAAAGAGCTGAAAACAGGAATGGTTTTGCAGATTCACCACAAGTTTGTATAGATCTACTGCAAAAAAATTGATTTCTTTTTTTTTTTAATGATTCATACTTAAAATGCCATGGATCATGTGTGATAAATTGGCCCAAACCTTCGACCAATTCTAAACCAATGCTTCCTAATGACTGGAAAAGAAGTCATCAGCAATAGCTAGTTTTGTGCAAGTATACACTAAAAGAGAGAAATAAAAACATTAATTGGCTCTAAAAGGACACTCAACCAGTGAGCAATATCAAACACACACCTTTACAGTGTTTCACTGCCAAGTAAAAAGAATTAAAGACAAAATCTCTAGGTGTCATAAAGATGATAAAAAATCTTGAAAAAAATATTTAGGTGAAAATCTATAGTTTTGTATTAATCACTCTTGAACTCATTTACACTGCTTAAATACGGCAACAGACTCTTCTTTCAAATATTGTTATAAAGAAAAGTCCATACAGAGACTTCCCACAACAGTCACTATTAAAGCTGGTTATATACCACCCTGACTATTATGTTGCTGGCAGCTGTGAGGCCTGAATATAGTTCTGTTGGCAAAAAATATATCTATATTTTGTGTTGCTTCAAGATTTTTAGCAATTTAATGATTTAGCTTGATCACCTTAAAGGATATCTTTGTGGGATACAAACTTGACTCTAACATAATTCTCACGTTCAACATCACAGACGACCTTCTCTGACAACTGTCTCTCTAAATGCCACCTAAACTGTAGTAAAGGCTCTCGTGCTTTTTCCTCTTTAACTGAACAACTTGATGAAACAGCCGTGGCAGTAGGGTTTGTCATTCTGTTCTTTAAAAGTGCCTTTGTTGAGCTGTTTGAGGCAGAAGGCACAGACAAAGTGCTCAGGGTGGAACTTCTTTCCCATTGCCGTGATGCAGCGTCCGGTGATGGGCTTTTGACATCCTGAGCACAGAGACCCACGACGCTCATGGTAGTGCACCTCACAGTATGGCTGGCCATCGTGTTCAAAGAAACTGCCATTTACAAACGGGGTGAAACACTCCTGGTGGCAAAAGAGAAATAATTTCATTAAAACAACAACAATATTATGTGATGATGAAACTGATGGTGAAATACTTCCACACATTTTAAAGGTGCACTAGGTAATGTTTTTGGTGTGGGGTCACCTGCTTGTTTCTATGGAGATATCATTGCTCTCTCTTGAATGTTCCACCGTATGACATTAAACAGCTCTAACTTACATTTATTAATTTACAGGTGGCTTTATAGCTGAAAAACACCTAGAAAAACAGGCAGAGTTGCCTCTTCACAGATCTGACCTACAACTTGGTCTAATTTGGTCTCTACGATGATAGAAAGGTTTAATATCTTTTCAAATACAAACCCTGCAGACGAAACACTCCGGATGCCAAAGACTGTTTAGAGCTGAAATGTAGTTCTCCAAAATGGCTCTAGCACAGCCGCCACATTTTGGTGCAAACATGTCAAAGTAATCCTTTCTGCAATAGGCCTTCCCATCCTTTTCATGAAACCCTAAACAAAACAGGAGATGGTGAGTAAAGAACATCAAGCTGTTTCTGTGGTGTATGTGGCTCTGTAGTACCTTCTGGGCCAAAGAAGGATCCACACTGGGCACAGAAGAAGTGTTCAGGGTGCCATGTCCGATCCAGTGCCGTTACAACTTTCTAAAAAGACAACAAAACATGGTTAAAGCTGATCCTGCATGAAACACCTTTCTCAAAACCTACAAAACTTTAAGAAAGCATTGTGTAACTTTTCTGGTGTAGGGCCTGTCAAATACTGTTCTCCATAGAGATGTTATTGCTTTGTCTGGAATGTTCCACAGTATGGTTTTAAACCTTTCTATCTTCATGGAAACCAAAACATACCACGTTTCAGGTCAGATCTTTGGTGAAGCAACACTACTCACAGAATGTCTGTTTTTCTAGGTATTTTTAAGCTATAAAACCACGTGTAATGTAATAAATGTCAAGCTGAGCTGTTTAATGTCATGCTGAGGAACATTCCAGGCAGAGCATATATGCAGATACACCTTTAAATATGGATAGCAACAAAACTATTTTAAATATGTGTGGTCTATATAAACAATTTCACATTTTAGGCAAAAGTAACAACTGAGCAACTACCTCCCAACATTCATTATGCTTAATTCATAACTTTTGCACAACTCAAGTGTGTAAATTAGAGATAAAGCCCAAGTCATTAGTCCACACAGAAACGTTTAAGTGAAATAAACTCACATCGAGGATAGGGCCATTGCAGTAGTAACAGCGTGGAGAGAACAGGTTGTGATAGTCTTTCTCACAGTAGGGCTGTCCTTCACGCTCAAAGAAATTCCTGGAGCCAATTTCTTCTTGACAGTGTGTGCAAACAAAGTGTTCGGGGTGCCATGTGCGGCCCATAGCAGTCACCACCTAAACACAGAAGGGAAACTGTTCATACTTACAGGGCACATATTATGCTATTTTCTGACCTATGTTATACTGTTGTGTCCTCATCAAAAACATACCTGGAGCTGTGTTTTGTTTCATTCACACATTTAACGTACAAACCCTGCATATTTAGACAGTGTTTTTCTCACTAATGGAAAACACTTGTGATGTCATGTAATAATATAGAAGAGCTCCACTGTGTTTAAACTCCATACACCTTCACTAGACTCATTTGGATAATTTCAGCCCTGGAATTGCTCATTTTTACTTAACTAAAGGTAAAAGGGTAGCTGTTAACTTCAAAATCACAGCTTCATGACATCACAAGGTAGAACAGAGCATTTTGAGCTTTGGAGAGCACACAAGAATCCATTTGGAGTAATACAGGACCTTTAAGGAGAAGCTGAGACAGCTGCAAATGACTGAAGAAGTAAGGTTTCTATAACAATTGTCAAACCAAGCCTTCTAACATTCAATTGTGAAAAGTATAATATGGGCATGCCAAGATGTAACTTTGCAATCTCTCACCTGTCCCACAATAGGTTTACAGCAGGCTCCACAGACTCCTTTAGCTACAGTTTGCACTCCTAGTTTATTCAAGTCAGACTGCAGGCTGCCCAGCATGTTGTCCAGCTTGTTCACCTGAGTCGGAGGTCCACCAGGGACGCCTTTGCCTTGGGCCATTATCTGAAAATTTAAAAAAGAGGACTTAATGTTTTTCTATCATTCTGTACCTTCGTATCCTGCTTTTTAGGGGCAGGCAATTTTGATAAAAATTTTTTTATCTGCAATCAGCAATAAGATATTTGCATAATTCACAATAATTGTACTAAGATTTATAGCATAAGAAAATCAGTGCATAATCTTCAAAATCAAATCTCTAATGCACTGGTCTTTAAACATTAAAGATTTACTCATTATTGTTTGTCAGCATCATCTAAAAATACATCTCCCATCTCTGCTACTTGGTATATGATTATGAAAGCATTTTTGTGAAAACCAAACGTGCAAAAGAGTGCTGGGAGGTCCATGCCTGCATTGGTGGGAAGACTGGGTCATATTCAGTCTGGCAGGCTACAGATACCAGGATTTTAGGTGGTGCAGGTGGGTCCGCAGGTGGGACAGGCTGTGGTGGGGCAATGAACACAGGGGGAGGAGGGTCTGGTTTGGGGGCGGGTGGCTCTTGTACAGGGGCTGGTGGAGGGGAGGGCTTTTTCACAGGCCGTGGGGGGGCAGGGACAGTTTCTGGGATGTGAATATTGGGCTGTGGAGGGGCAGAGGGAGGTAGAGGAGGTGGAGGAGGGATTGGAATAGGTTGGTGTTGCACCAGGATTTTTTTTGGTTCTTCTGTTACTGGGGGGCGACGTGGGGCGGGGGAGAGAGGGGAGGGAGGACCTTACGGACTGGTACAGGTGACTCTGGGGGGATAATGATCTGAAGAAAAGGAAAAGAGAAACAGGGAGCAACAGATAAAGAACAGAAAAAATGAAATGTGGGCATTTTTGGGGCACAACACCGGAGCAAACCTTGTCGACATCACTATTGGCCCCCTCAGGTCGGAAACGCTGTGGTTTGGAGGTGATGACCACACCTTCCGTGAGCCAGTCGTCTGCTTGTTTACGCCGGTTTCGTTCTGAGCGACCAATCCCAAGTTTTCCCTGGAGCTCCTCAATGAGACGGTCCTGGGATGTGTTTTTATTCACAAGGATAGGTCCCATTTTGCGACGCAGGACTCCATCTCGATACATGGGGTGCACGTTTGAGGTTTCCTTGGTGCGCCTAATCACTGACTTTAACTGAGAGGAAACGGTGATGGTTTTACTATAGAAATTTCCAAACATGAAGAAGAACAAAGCAGGCATCTTTGGCTGCAGGTGATGCAAGTTTGACAAGCATGGGCCAAAATGCTGTCAGTTGGGTTACATTGGCACACACTGCATTTGCATATATGGTATCTAAAAAGTTCAGAAAATGCTGCTTTAAGTTCATGAGATGCTTCTTTTTGTAGCTGTTAGTCTTTCACATGCACCATGTCATGCTGAATCTTAAGTAAAAGTTATTTTGTCCTTAACAAGTCTCCTCCCACATACAAATTCTGCATAAAAACATACCATAATTACTGTTAGTCTACTACTAAATACTGTATTGCCTGGTTGGTTTGTTTATGTTAAAACATAAAATTTGTTACACTTTCACTTTCAAAAAGAAAGTATAAATTATCATTAACAAATTACTCAGTTTAATCTATATTCTTTGACAGGCTAATGTATTTGGCTTTTTCCCATTAATTTGGAGGTCGTATGTTTGAATGTGCGAGTGTGAATGATGTAAAATGCTTTGTGTCTAATAGAGGTTAGAAAATGTTAATATGATCATTTATTCCACTAAAAGAATAGGTGCATCCCAAAGCAAAATTGTTACTTGAAGTGCACACAAATCAGGCCATGCTGAGCATACATGTCCGGAGGCAGACACCCGGTCTATATTTGGAGAGTGCATGAGGGGCAGGTCCAGAGCCACGTCTGGGGTCCCAGGACAAGAGGAGGGGGTCATGCACTCATCCATCCAGCTGGCCTCAGTCAGGGGGGTCATGCTGCCATCTGTGTAGAGTCTCTCCGTGTACGGTGTCAGCGTCCCATCATGGAAGGACATGGAAAGCTCCTCATCGGCCCAGTCTAACTCCCCATTCCCATCCACAGATTCATCTGTGACAGTATTCGTAGTACTAGCAAATGTGTCTGGCTGTAGACTATTTCTATCCATAGGCAGAATGAGTTCTTCATGTACCATCCCTGTTCCTAAACATGGGGCATCCATTTTTAATTGGGGATCTTCTATATTGGTATGGGCAAAACTCATTGCTAAAAGCTTGTCTAATTCATCATCTAAAGATGGCTCAGTGTGCTGTGCTGAAGAAGGCTCTGGCTCTACACCATGTCTACAAGAGACTGAAGGACTACTAAAAACCAAAGAAGAGGCATTACCACCATTGTATGGTGATGTTGATAGTAGAGGGACAGCAGGCAGAGGTGAGGGTGTCTTTGGGGCTGATGTGGGCGGAGTTAGGTTTTTAGACGGACTTGGACTTGAGTAATTCAGATCATGACTGGAAATAGAGGTCTTGTTCTCCACAACCAAAGGTGACACTCTTTCTACAGATGGACTTGGTGACTTTGAGGATTTATGATCCAAAACTGTATTTACAGAGGTCATTGAAGGAGTAGTAGTTGTAGTATTGGAAGAGCTGGAGTTACTTCTAAGCAGATTTGAGTTGGGAGCGGATTGAGAAAGCACTACAAGATTTTTCATTTGGGATGACAGCATGGAAGCAGAGACATCTATAGCACTATCTAAATCCAACTCGCTGGTTGCCGAAATAGAGGACATAGGACTAATAGGTTGTGGAGGGCGGTTCATACTGCCATCTCGACCATCTTCATCTATATGAAGTTCAAAACCAGGAAACAGAGGAGACGCACAGCTGGAAGTATTGATCAGGTTTAGGAAAGGTGGAGACACTGGAGGATGAGGGGGAGAGCTGGAGCAGGGTCCCATTGGGTCGAGCACAGAGCCCAAAGAACTGGGCTGGAAAGAGGACAGAGAAAGACAGAAATAAGAAGGACTAAAGGAGAACAGTAATGAGATAGTGAGATCTTGAGTTGGATTTTGTACCTTAAAATCAGATAAAGAAGCCATGAGTTCGTCTAGCTCTCTTGTGGCGCAGGAGGCTGAGATTCGGGCTTGCTGCTGAGAGGGTGTGTCCAAATCACTGTGGTGAGAGGAGGGGCTGGAAGACATAAATTAAAATGGGGTATATCATTATGGGCAATCACAGAAACCTTATTTAGATAGAAATGTGAACCGCCTTTGAGCAGCAGAGGAACAAAAGTCAATAGCTTTTAATCTCAAACTGGCATATTGAAGGCCAACTGAAGGCAATCATACTTAACATAGCATTTGAGCAATTACAATGTTTAATACTGTTGACACTTACACTCAGTTTCTTCAACAAACCACACTAAACATTCTTAAAATGAATAGCATGTTTTGCGTAACTTTTCTGGTGGAGGGCACCCTTTTTTCATATTGCCCTCAATATTCCACAGTGGGGTTTTTTTCTCCTTTATGTGTGTGAAAAATGACTTTATGACTTTAATATAAATAAAATGACTGAATGATGATGATGGTATCAAACTTATATATACTTAATTGAATAGATGTGAAAATATTACTCAAATATTACACAAGCATTTTTAAAGTAAGTGGGTCACCTCTCCACTGATATGACCAGTAACTTGGCCTGGTGGGAGTTATCTGCATCTCTTAGTGGAGACAGATAAGTTTATGTGGAATGTTTCAGGCAAGGCAATAGCATCTCCATGAAGACAAACAGGTGGTGAACCATCCACCTGAAAAGTTGCACCTTTACAAAAGCTTTCACATTTTTTCAAGAATTTTATAAAATAAACAGCAAAGAAAGGAAATAGACAGTTCCTCTTAAATATGCACAGTGTTATGATATGTGCATGCTACCTGGGCGAAGGCACTGACCCCTCCAGCTCGTCTAGTAAACTCTCCACAGTGGGCCTCTCCTCTTTCGCCCCATTCCTCTTGGGCTTATCCTGAGGTGGGGGGCTCACCATGATCTCTGGACCACTGCCATTCTCATAATGAGTGATGCTGCAGGATGGTAAAGGGGGAGCAGCCTCTTCTGTGGACACAAAATACTCCAGCTAAATCATGGAGAATCATTCTGTAATAATAAAAAAGTCTAGCTATAACAGAAAATAATGAATGTAATTTTATTATTATTTTTTTTAACTTTTTGAGAAGACTTAGCTCAGAAATATGGTAGCTGTATCCATATTGTTTATAATTATATTGCTATGATCTGTAAAAAAAAACTGCTAAAGAAAAAGTATTAGACTATTAACAAATAATAACAAAAAGAACACTGAGCCTAAATCTCATCACCACTATCAGTATAAACATTTTTGTGCACCTGTAGTGGGAAAGGAGGGGGCACTCTGCTGCACAGCATTGAGCTCCAGCAGAAGTCTGTCGAGCTCAGAGAGGTTACTGCCCAGAGCTGAGGTCATGGCTGCTGTGGAGGGGTCTGATGATTTCTGTTTGTTTGGAAAACTAAAACAGACACAAACAGAGCACTGTCAATAATACACAAAGCACATCTATTTTTAGCGGGTTTTTAAATGTTGTAACTACCTGTAAACGTGGTCCTCTTCACCGTGAGACAGAGGGGAGCTGCTACTGTCTCGGGACCATGAGCTCTTCTGTGCTGAGCCTAGAGACTAGACATTACAGAGGACAAATTACAAACATGACTCAGTAGAAAAATACAAGGTTTTTGTTGACACTACCTGCTGTGAAGAGTGGTGCGAGTCTGGCGGGTCGATCAGAGAACCATTTAAAGCATCAGCTGAGGGTGGAGGAGGGACAGGGGGCGGGGCTGACACATCCTGATATGTGTGCCCTCCAGTTGGGATGGAATAGGGGGTCTCCTCTGGGAGAAACACAGGCCGCTTCGAAATATGTGAAGTGGTGGATTCCAGGTCCGCCAGCAACGCGTCTGAAAAGAAAAATACAAAAATAATTAAATAAATGTGAAAGGAATTTTGAAAGAATTATGGGGCTATTCTGTATATTTATGACATGTTCTGTTTGCAAGCATTGTCTTTTTAATGGGAGTTTTAGCAGCTGCATGGCGACAACAAGGGGAGTGGGAGGAGACTATAAAAAGTCAGAAACAATGCATTCAAGTCTCAATCCAGTCTTTTCACAACAACAGTCAACAATGTCTTGAGTGCACCAAGCTAAACCATTGTCAAAACATAATCCATTGTACCTTTATTGTAAATCCACCTTAAATCCTTGACTTGTCTAGACTAAAAACACAATGTGTAACCTGTCATCAGGACTATGCATCAGTTGAATACTATACTTATGTATCGTTAGCAAGTAGTCAGTACTAGGCCAATTATTACAATATCAGTTTATTGTTCAATATATGAAACCTGGAAGAATATAGTTTGAGGCTCAATATTATGTCATTTTTATGTAATAATGTAAGGTGTGTGCTGTAGAGAGTATAATTAATATTCTCTCTACAGTATTTAAAGGCTAGTTATCAGTTGATTCTGCCTTTTTGTGGTTGCAGCTCAGACGTTTTAAAGATACAGTATATTTAAAAATTTGTTTACTGGGATTATCTTGCTTTGTGACAGTGGCATAAAGTAGTCTCAATATTATCTGTTTTCACAGTATATTTTTGTAGCCATATATCATGACAGGCCTAGTCAATACTCAAGTCTTTCCAAGTTATTTATTTATGTCAATATTAGCACAAGAAATAAAATGTAACTAAATGAAATCACCTTAACTGTAACAGAAAAATCCTGAATTAGCACATGAGAAATGTGAATAATAAGTAACAAACTCATCCTCCCAACCACAAAACACTGCTAATTCATGTTCCCAATAAGAAATGTAGCAGTTATGTAATATTAATTTATCATATTATTCAGTACCAGGACTAGACAAAGCAGAGGAGAGTTGGAGAGTTCCATCCAGGGTTGAGGGGGTACAGTGTGACCCCTCTGAGGCTGGACGAACAAAATAGAGGCTTACATCACACAATCCATCCTTCGTCAGTCTGACCAGAATAGACTGCAATCACCAGTAGCATACGGTTACACTACAGAGGCCTATGAGATGATAGAGCCTGTATCAAGGAAACAGCTAAACTCTCACAGACAGACTGATCATAGGGGAACTACTATAACTAATAAAGGAACTGCAAAAATAAACAATTCATCCAATACAGGACAAGTACAAACACAGAAAAAAGGATTCTATACAACAACTACTCGAACTAGTATAGTATAGAGTATTTGATATTGAAATTCAGATGCAAATGTTAACTATCATTCAAACAATAATTTTAACTTTTAAAATGGATCACGACTTGACTGTAATAAAAAAACAAAACAAGAACATTTAAATCTTCCAACATCCCTGTGTACACTGTCGCATGTAAAGTTTCAGCCTATATTAGTAAAACAATCCAAGATATTATCACAAATAAACACTGATCCCAAATTACAGATCCATCATTAGGAAGTTAATCACCTGACTAACATTTTGGCAGCTATAGCAGAACTCACATTATGCACTCCTTCCACCCCTCAGCTGATGGTTGTCCTGGCGATGGAGTAATAATACTGTAAGTGTCAGGCAGACAGCCGTGCCCAAAGAACAGTGTGAAAGACGAGGATTGCCAACACGCTGCCAGGGGTGGGACCTACGGGTTGTGCTTAGGTGAAAATACCCTTCAACAACTGTAGTCCTTCATCAATCTGGCACCCATACAGTAAATCTCTAGAGTGTTGTGTTTCAGTCAATTAGTAATTAAAGAGGAAAGAATATTTTTATACCAAGTATAAGCCCCAAAATAGGGGTTTTCCAAATGCTAACAGCTAAATCCTGTTTAAACCAGATCTAAAGAGGTTTGTGAAAACCCTCAGTCATCCAGGTAGGATCTATAATAAAGGAAACATTTTATTCTATCAACTGGACCAAAGTTTTTTGATCAAATAAACTTGTATAGTTGACAGAATTAAATTTCTCCTTTGCTACAGGTCTAAAACTAAACATGGACAAGGGAAAAATGAGGGAGGACTCATTGTTTTCAGAGATGACCAGTCAATGGTACTTCCCATATTAAAGACTAAACTAGGACTAAAGCGCGTTCTTGACTAAATCAGGACTAACCATAACTAAAGAAAGTAAGTACTTGGACTGCTAATGGCTTAACCTATGAGATATAGAAGTCTATAGAAGTGCATGGATTAAGTGTAAAATAAACATTATACTTAATGCTGTTATTAATCAGACAATGTGGAGGTCCATGCTAGGACTTAAATGTCTATGAAGTTTGACATAAACCACAAGGGGAGTACAGGACTATTTAAAGCCAGCGTAGCCGGTGTGTGTGCAAATGTGCTGAAATATCACGACCAGGCTCAAAATAATCTGCACCTGGTGTGGACATGCTAAACCAGGCCTTAGCGAGGTCCACTTTGTCACTTACAAAACAAAGAGACTCCTCACTCCAACATACCGTGGCTGGTTTTAGGGCAAAGGTAACAGATTTAAAAACAGTGTAAGAATTCCATGTGGATTTACACGTTTCATGTTATACACTATTAAGGCTGTCAAATAATAAGTTTAATGTCAGGGGACTTGCTAATTAAGGTAATGTATTCCACGAAAAGTCAAAATGGCCTTGACAGAAAGGATAGCAGTGCAGCCCGGGACCTTGAAACCACATGGAGAAGTGGGAGCCAAGTTTTGGAAGATTTAAAATAAAAAGGTCTGCCTCCTCCCACCTGCTGATACAACAGCCTCAGCGCAACAGGAGACCACAATTAACAGTCAGTGTTTAAACCCAAGTACTACAAATCAGTTACAAGTCAAGCACTTTTTTCAAACTTTTATGTGAAGATATAAGAGGCTTTAGTTTATGGTATGAAGGGAGCAGACAATGTTTTGTCTTTGGCTGATGGATTCCCTTTTTACATGAAACAAGACAAGTCAAAACTCAGGCCGACAGGGTTCTTTCTAAGAAGTCTGCCATTTGAAGGGAAAACACGCCGCCTGCTGAGCCTCTGCACTTCCTGCCTTTATGGACAAGCTGTATCAGAGAATGACTAAACACAAATAAATGAAACAAGTGGGAACAATCAGTGGTTCCAGCCTGAAAAAGGAGAAGTGTGATTCATAGATCATGTTAACCCTGGGGAAGGAAAAGACTCATCACTGATTATAAAAATAAACATGTAAGAGATATTATGATTTACTCCTTTGCCTGAGGAGGGCAGCAATGGCATGAGGCTGGACAGGTTATTTTCACGTTTGGGCCCTGAAGAGTTAAAAACATTAAGAATGCAAACACACACTGTAATCTTTTCCACAAAACAGGGGGCAGGAGCTGAGTGGACAAAGTCCAATTCTGCTCTAGCAGCATCCACACTCAATAGTCCATTGTACAGGGTCAGGAGGAATAAAGCTGTCATCTAAACGGATATGACCGGGACTAATAATTCAAGATGAGTCCATCAGACAGTAAACAGATTGCACAGTGTCAGGGGAGCCATTAGTGGTGGTGCTGTGATAACTAATCTCCATATAGTTGGACAGTGCTGTGGGTAGTGCAGTGTGTGGAGGGTGAGCACATTCTTGTGGCAGTGGGACTTGTACAGTCTTGTTGTGTGCAGCCCTTGGCTGCTGCTGCCACAGACTTTATCAGATGGGAGAGAAGGTGCATGGGGAATTCCTCACATTCCTGTGTCCACTGAAAAGAAAGAAAGCAATCAAGCTGCGCACGGAGAAGGTGGTTCAGGGAGAGGCCCCGCCCCTTTTCAGTGAAACCATGGACAACCTGTCTTTAAATGGCAACACAACAAAAAGGCACAAAGTTAATGACACTTTACAATAAAGGTCAGAAATGTGTCGACAATTACAAAACACAACTAAAAGGCAGGGTGCTTTGAATTCCAAGATGAAGAAAGACATTACACATTACTGCCCATTTCCCACTGAGCAGCCAGTAAAGAACAGCTATGGGCAGTGTTGTATCTTTTCTGATAACATACAGGAAAAGGTGATGGGCCAGTGGGGTCTTCAGCTCACCTGTTTATAACCAGGATGGGCACTACCCCAAACCGAAACTCGACCCATTAGGCTAACGCCAAGGAGATATTTTTATCAAACAAGACAAGCAGGGGCCAAGTGGTCAGCCAGACAAACATGGCTTGCTATTAAAACACCAGTGGTTAAGAAAGAATGCTGTTAAATGTATCGAGGCAGCTTCACAATATGTGCTTAACACTACAGAGTAGAACTGAAAGATTCAAAATGATACAGTTATAATTAAGACACAGCTGCTTTATTTGGGAAAAATAAGACAGTTTTTGTAATCATTACTGAAATACAGACAACGTTGGTTTATCTGACAGTTGAAATGATAGTGAGGAGACTTTTTGGGTAACATTCAAATACAACCTAAAACAGTTCAGCACTTACTTAGATTCATTGCACAGCCTTAAATTACAACTGCCCCACATACTCCTCAATGAAACATTGTCTCCACAGGGTATTTAATGATATACCCACACTTCTAAACATGCTCTGAAATGCAATTGCAATTCCTGTATTTGTTTAGCTTTGGCAGTTCCTATTTCAGTCTTCTCTCACAAATGTTAATGGTCCTTAATAACATAAATTGTAACTTTTAATGTCATATTTATATATTTTATTGAACCAACGTTAAAGAGACAAAACACAAATGCTCAGGTTCAATGAAAACTATAACGAGACGACATTTGAGTAGCAGGAGCACTTTAGGTTGATTACTTTCAAATAAACGTCCCTAAAAGTAGTCCCGTATCCGAAAGATGACACCCCCTGGAGAGAACAGTGCCCCAAAATAAAGCTCTTCCCCGCAGAGCTGTAAATCAGATGACAGGGAAAGTCTGAGGCTGATGTAACGAGTGGTGTCTGAGACCACATTCACATAAAGGCATGTGAGTGTCACAGAGCCTTTTGTACCACCACAGACACAAGAGGGATGAGTATAGGCCCCTCACAGAAAGACCAGCTTGTCCTGCTCCAGAAACACCACCCAATAGATGTACTCCTGCAAGACACTGTCCCGTACAAAAACAGGACATTAAGCAGAGAAAGAAAGAAAGGAAGAATGAAGGACTGTGACTACAAGCATAGCCGAGCCAAATTTACTTTTACAGTAATATTTCCAACCGTGTTATACTGGTTGCGTATTGATTCACTCCTCTGCACTTATTCTGAATTACTGAACAGGAAGTCAATGTTTCTAACGGAACAGTAACACATAGCCTACGCCTGTTTAAAAAAAGGGTGTGATAATCACAATTAAACTTGCTGGGTTGTCTCATACTCAGTACACAGACAATGTCTCATGTGAAAGAACAGAAGCTCTAGAATCCACTCCCTGGGCTGCAGAGGCTGCACTAGCACTCATTCTTGATTGGCTGCAGGTGCTGGGGTTTCAGGCCACTAATACGACCTGGAGTTTCCCATCTGTTATGAAAAATAATCAAAGTATAACACACTACAGACATGGATTCCTGCTGCATTACCTCAACATGACAGTGTCCACTGATCAGATCTGCTCCAGAGTGTGTACAGGGTCAGTGAGGAGCAGGCGTGGACTCAGCGCAGCATGGGAAAGAAATGTAGAGTCAAGGATAACCAGGTTTAATGGGTCAACTATAGACCAAACAACAAGGTGACAGTTTAGACTGGCTTCCTGTCACACAACCACCAAATACTGTGTCAGCTGTAGACAGGATAAAGCCCGTTGCCAGGGACACAACAGAAGAATATGCTTTTGTCAAATCTGATGCTTGGTTCATCAAACTGCTGAACTCTAATATAAAAGTCTCACTGTACAATCCTTGTGCAATATTTTGTTCATGCCTCTGTAAAATTGTATAGTGTGTAGTATTGTATAGAGATGTAAATATGTTATGAAGGTACTATATTTTTTGTAATTTAAGTTAAAACACGTGTTTATTTTATTTTCACTGGGGGTTTAGTTGATAAAGACTTATTGTACTGTTTTTCTTTATGTTACTGATATCAAAAATAAAGTTAAGAAAATTTAAATAACTATTCTTCAGCTGGTTAGCTGCATGTCTGTAACAAAAAGGATTTTCTTTTGGGGATGAATAAAAGTAATTTTGATTCTGATCCTGTTATATAGCAATTTCTATTCTACTTCAATACCAACATAAACATTACTTTTGGTTTCAAATTTTGGACTGTCGGTCAGTATGTTTTTTAATGGAGTTACTTAGCTGCAGTGTGTTTGCGGTCTGTACACAGTCTAATGTTTAGCTGTGAGTCATTTACAGAGCTTACTGCATCATTACCCAATCAATGTCAAGGAATTTCATCTCCATCAAAATCTGTTTCCAATCCATTACACAAAGGAAAATGACTTACTCACAAAACACCACGATAGTGATAAAGTTATGACAATGTCTTTGCCAATGATTAGACAAGTCAACTTTTAAAGACAACCTTTTCTATCCCTCATGCTTTAGGGAGGAACTGTATGGCAAGTGTTACATTGAAGTTTGTGTTTTTGACAAATAATAATACTGTGCGTTATTTAAAAATATATATATACTTTAAAATACTAAAGTATAATTTTTTAGTATTTTAAACAGGTTTGTAGAGGTCTAAAGAACAAGATTAGCAGGGTTTTTTTTACATAATAAGACAGGATAATTACAGTTACATAAATAATTGAAGTCATAACCCTGTGACCATTCAGATTTTGATTTTGATTGTGATTACAGTTGATTGCCAGTCTTTTAACATTCCATCACTGACAATAGCAAGCACATGTTTTTTCACTTATATTACAACCCATCTGCTAGGATCAAACCTACCCCCTACACCACTGTGGCCTTTTCCAGCCTGCAGCCCTGAGTCCGCTCATTGTTTTTCGCCTGCGTTTCCTCAGGATATGGGGCAGGGTCTGTTGCCTAAGCGATGAGGTCAGCCACGCAGCTCTCTCTCCCCCTCTTTGTCTCTCTGGCTCTCTCTGGCTCTCTCTGGCTCTCTCTGGCTCTCTCTGGCTCTCTCTGGCTCTCTCTGGCTCTCTCTGGCTCTCTCTGGCTCTCTCTGGCTCTCTCTGGCTCTCTCTGGCTCTCTCTGGCTCTCTCTGCTTCTTTCTCTCTTTCTCTCTCTCCCAGCGTGTGCAGGACAGGATGGGCGTGGAGCTCAAAAAAACTAGTGTCTGATTTACAGTTAGGCGCTTCCCTTTAGTTAATGCAATAGACATGGTTAGGGCTGGTATGCACTAGCCTTCCTCCTCTCATTGGGTGATGATAGCTGTGCTGGTAACAGTAACTCGCCTGGCGGGCACACAGGGACACAGGAGCCCCTCCAGGCTTTCTAAGAGCTGCTGGTATGCTGTGTGTAAGTGCTACAAATATTCAAAACCAACGTTGCTTCGCCTCAGATCTGCAAAGTGATCACTACTTGCATAGTACTTACAAGATACGAGACTGTAAGCACTAGACTTCTGTGGGTTTTAAATGGAGTGACAGGATAAGTCACCAGGATGAAGACATAAGAACTTCCGATAGAGTTTAATATCTCATGGCAGCCATAAGAAAATTTAATTAAACAGATCTGAGTGTATATCTCAAACTAGTGGACAGTGGACAGCATTTTGAAGTAATTTGGTATAATATATTACATTTATCTAAATCAGGAAACTAAACTACCTTTCTTCCCCAGCAGGAAACATGTGAGTGAGAGATAAGGAGCAAATGCCATGGAACAAATTGGCCTGGGCTTGAATTCAAAGCTCAGCGTTTCAAATGTGGTATGCGCTCTATCAGGTGAGCTATCAGCGCATGCAGGCTTCCTAATATTTGGGCAGCAAACAGTGAGTTAGTGCTTCAACTGCAAAACATAGCTCATAAATTATTATGTAGACATCAGCAGTCTGTGATTTTAGAGCTGTGTCAGTTTTTACACAATCAGCTTTTTATCAACTTGTAAACTTATAATTTTTTATTTTTTAATTTGACACTAAGCAAGACCCCTGTTATTGAGTGTGTTAGGATGTGTGTATTACAAGCTGGAATATAAGATAACATGATATAATAATTAGTTTGAAATTTGATTCGCTATGGCCACATCCTTTTTTTCCAGTAGGAAATTCGTGGATGGTGGAGTAACACTTTCATAAAAATAGGTTGATAAAAATTACTCTTTATAGCATTTTAATATTTTTTGCAACAGACTGTAGAATCCAAAAAAACTAGTAGAAGTAGCAATGATCAAGTACATAGCCGTGCAGTGGGGTTTGTTAACCTCCAACTTATAAAACCCAGTTGCTGCGCCTGTATTTACTTCAAACTAAATGTCAACACACCCAGCCTCCTCTTTTTGGATCTGAAGAGAAATAAAAGAGTATGTAGGCGTATATTAAGGGTAGACATAAGAAGAAATGGATGCCTATTAAAATCACCAGATTAAAAATATTGTCTTCAATGGCATACCAATATAGTAAAAACTTAGCATCCTCTTTTCAAACAGTGACCATCATAAGACAAGAAGTTCGATGCACTTATAAATACCTAGACAAGATGGACTTCAGACTAATCTACAGGAATGGATGATCTCCTCAGAGCCAGATATCAGTGTGAAGTCACCATACTATATTTTATATTGCCTTTTTTTTATTACTTTCCATTATTTATATGTTATTAAAATGTAGTTTGCTGTGTTTACATAAAGAGCAGAGTCAGGTTAGACCACTTGAATCTGACAAGCCAATGAGGAATTTGTAGAGTCAAAGGTGTTTTCGTACATCACGCTGAGCAGCGCATTTTGTGCTCAAACCCTTATTCCAAATATAAACTTTTTTAGTGAGTTTTAATTTATTTTCAAGGTAAACAAAACTGTTCAAGCTGCAAGGTGTTTCTGAGCAGATGTTCTTCCATGTTTTTCATCTGGATTTGTGTCCTCTGGATGCTCTTGTTTCATCCATCAAGCCAAAAACATTCATAAGGCACTAACTTAATCTTCCAGATAGTGTGGACTAAAATCTAGATAAGATTTCTGTGCCAAATAATCATCTAAAATTCCTTGATAATAACTTTTGGATGATGTCTTGTTTCTCCACAGCTGATTCCTTTTACAATAAGCGATGACTACACAGTTTTCCTCAAATACAAAAGAAACCACTCACTACATTTCCACATCTGGATTTGGCCTATTCCCCTGGGCCACTTCTCCAAATTAAACCCAGGTCTGTCTGCCACCTGGTCTGTCCCATGCCAAGCAAACCTCTGGGAAAAAGTGACTCAGACAAAAAGCGGAGGAGCGTTCATTTTCGTCTTCGAGGGAATTCCCTTCTGGAGTAGAGTAGAAGGATCAATATCCACAGATTAAAGACACCGCTCTGGTTCTACAAAGTATGGTCAGGTTTCCAAACAGCCCCCCATCAGAGGAACCGGACCCCTGGGAAACGCTCAGCTGCTGCTTTACTAGAAGCACCATAGACCACAGGCAGAAAGGGGCTTCAAAGGCCAAGGAGCAAGAGACACTAACTATACACACAACCTAAAGCAAGCATGATAGGCTAATCCACAAGGAAGTACTTTTGACCATGAGCCCAGCACAGAATCTGCAGAATGGCTTTGCAGTTGCTGCTCCTGATAGGATGCCCCAGTGGGATTAAAGGGTAGGTCAGAAGTTCTAGTGCATGAGGGCAATAATACAGTGTGCTTGATTGATGGTCAAAAAATTAAATAAAAGAAAATTGAAAATATGTGTTAAAAATGTATAATAAACCTTGTATTTTATAATAAATATTTACCCATAAAATGCAGTAATTGTTAGTGCTTTCTTATAGCATTACCAGCCTTGTTTATGCAAAGCACAGATCTGACAATTATTCAAGTTCATTTCAAAATGAATCATATTTTATTGAATTTATAAACCAAAGCAAATCATGCATAACCATTATAGCTGGATACAAGGCAGTGAAGAAAGTCCAATTTGGGTTCTACTAAAAATGCCATAATCATATTGTAAGTACTGAGGTTGAAAAGTACATCAATTAATTCTGGATATTTGTTGAAAAATGAAGACTTGCTTTATTAACATCCCACTTGGATTACTGCCTCGGCTGCCATATGATTCTCCATGAAGAGGACTATAACTGTGGGAAAGTCTCATATAGAAGTGAAGCACATGTCACCGTGGTGGGACGGAGCACAGCAGCAGGAGGCGAGCATTTGGCCTTGACACAGACTGATGCTAGAAATTCCTCCACTGTAGCTTTACTCTTGTTTAGTGAACCAGCCAATGCAAGATACAAAGTGCTGTTAGGCTACCCAACAAAATCTGGGATATGTATACTGTAAATAGCTTTGTAGTTTTTATTAGTTTATGTCAGCTTCTTTAAAACAAACTTCAACTGGTTTGTAACATCTTTTTTATTTAGATTTTTTTCTACTGTTGTTATCTGCCAAATTTGTTTCTGGGACAAAACACTGACTAATCTTCTCTGCCATCAATAACAGAGCTATATTCAATTTTTTTTTGTACTACTGAGAATGTACATCAACAAATGCCTTAAAATATAATTTGTCAAAGAAATGTCTAGGATAATTTCATCTTGAACAAAATCTAGTTCTGACTAAGCAAGCAAACAATTGTCTAAAGCACAGGTGTCAAACATAAGGCCCGGGGGCCAGATCCGGCCCTCCAAGACGACTGATTTTCTACTAAAATATTTTAATTATATCTTCTATTTAAATATTGGTAATTTTGTCTCCAGCGTCTCTGAATGTGGCCCCTCCCACCAGAGCAGCACAAATGAAGACTTGTCTCTTTCCAAATGCTCTTAAAGGACGATCGTTTTGACTGTTGACCATGACATACTCATCAGCAAAATGTCAAAAATGAGAAAAGTAAACGCAGAGTGAAAAATTTACTTATTCCTATTTGCATACGAGTTCATGTTAAAACATTGTGTTGAAATTGCATTTTTCTTAAGGTTTCAGGTTGTTCATAATATTATAACATTTTGTAAAATAAAGAGTTCATCGATTAAAAAAGATTTTTGTAATAGATTTGCATTTCTCTGCACAAATATTTGAACTTATTGCTATTTTTGGGGTATATATGCCATGAGTTTTCTGATCCGGCCCCTTTGGGATCAAAATAGGTTGGATACGGCCCCTGGACCAAAATGAGTTTGACACTCCTGGTCTAAAGTCTTACATCTAAAAACAGTTTCTTTTTTCCCTTTTGCACAATGCATCTTCTGTAATTCTCTAAAATCTTACTTTGACTTTCCCTGGTATTTAAACAAACATTTTATTCTTTTACAAAACACTATTGGTGTCAACACAAATTTGAGCAACATAGGAAAAAAGAATCTGTAGTTTTTGCCTATTTTGTTGTTTTTCATGTCCACTACGAGCTGTGCAAAAGGGCAGAACGATTTGGAGAAAATATCTAGTTGCAATATTTCTGACAAACATTGAGATTTAGATTTGCTCAAATTTGTTCAAAGTTCACATTTTAAAAGACATCCAGAAGCTTTTGTGATTTTCTAATTGGGTCAATCAGGGACAGTCTGGAATTTTGGACATCGGACCTCATTTCCTAGTTAGCCAGTGTTAAAGACATGTGGAGACACTTTTTAAATATTCCATGCAGTTCTAGTATTTGCAGACGTCGCAGGTGCTAGACTAGCGCATGTCAATGGCCATAGTTAGACTGCCACTAAAAATAGTCTTACCTACTCCACAGTGCAACAGAGGCAAATCTATTATTACGCCAGACTGTCAATGTGAAAGTCTGTCTCAATAGGATAATTTTAGCAGTAAAACCAACCTTGCATTTGTATGATCTATGTCTGAGCAGCAGCAGCGAATTGTACTTCCTGATAGAAAGCTTGCCAGTGGCAGACTGATATCACCTAGCCGCTACCTTTCCGGCAAAGTAAAATTCCGCTGCTGCTGAGAAAATAGTCCTTCAACATTCGACGATTCATTCAAGTTTAGTTTTATTTCAAACATTATTCTATCAACACAGACATTTACATTGATAGTCTGGCATAATAATACATTTGCTGTGGGTGCTTTGTGGAGTGGATAAGACTGTTTTTAGTGGCAGGCTAACTATGGCCATTGACATGCGCTAGCCTAGCACCAGCGGAATATTTTAAAAAGTGTCTCCACATGTCTTCAACACTCTGGCTAACTAGAAAATAAAGTTCTATGTCCAAAATTCCAGACTGTCCCTTTAATCTTGCCGCCCTACTGTGCAATAAACCAATGAATAATTGAAATTATATATATACCTAATAATTACAAAAATATCATAATCGAGACACACAAAGTCTGTTATGCAGTCTGGATGGATGATATGCATTCTCTGGACACACCCAAAATTTCATGTGAGATATGTCTCCAAATTAAATGTGCACGATGTAACTTTTTTCGCTGGGGTCTGTTACCTGCTTATTTCTTGATATGTAACTGCTCTGCCTAGAATGTTGCACAGTATGACATTAAACAGATCTACCTCATATTTATTCAATTATACCTTTCAATTATAGGTTTTATAGCTCAAAAATACCTAGAAAAACAGGCATTCTGACTGAGAGGGGTCACCTCTCCACACATCTGACCTGTAACTTGGTCTGATGTGGTCTCCATGAAGACAGAAAGGTTTAATACCATACTGTGAAACATTCCAGACAAAGTAATAACATCTCCATGGAGAAAAGTATTTGACGGCCCCACCACCATAAGTTACACAATGCACCTTTAAGATTAAAATAGACAGCAGCCCTACTACTACTACAGCCACTTAAGAAACAATCAGTCCTTTCACTGACCCACAGCAGAAGGAGAGCATCAAATGTGCCCCTGAGCTATTCTCAAACTGGACAAACCAAAAATGTGAGGCATCATCTGTCCACTTAAACAATCCAAAAATCTGTCCAGCCTCATTTTACACGAACAGACTCCCAGGAGCATGGAGACATTCCTTCAAACCAGAATTAGTTCTGTGTGGCGAATATAGCCAAACTAGGCCAGGTGGGATAAATAAACTGCTAAAAGTTCAGAGAGTCGTGGAGAGGTCAAGACCCAAATGAACCGAAAAGAGAGACAAAAACACTTATCTGTGGTAAAGCTTTTGGAACAACATTGTACTTTCAAGCAAGCTCTTATTACTGTTAGAGGTAGTTTTATTTTTGCGCACCATAATAAAAATACGTAAGCAGCAAATTACAAGCTTTTATAGCTGCATGAAACACGAATACATCCCAGACCCAATAAATAACTAAATTCAGATGTAAACATGTCAAATATAAATTACAATTATATAAACTTTTAGACAGGCTTTGGTTATTTTAGAATTAAATGTTTCTGTAGCTTATTAACAGTAACATACCCATAAAGGCAAATTGTGGGTACAGTCTTCTTTTATCAAGCTGCAATCTCTTACAGATACCACATGTACTACTCCTCTTCTTTCACCATAACGCTATATCTTTACTGCCTTAGTATTTCTAGTAGACTCATTCTAAAAACTACTTAATGTTAGCTCAGAGCTTCTCACTACCCCTGTACTGGAAATGTATTATAATCTTACTTTGTGTTAAGCTAAATGGGAAGGCCTGTTGACTCTACTTCAAAGCTGGAATGAATAGCTTCGGGGCAAAAGTTGAGGAGGTAACGCAAAAAAAACCTGTGTCAAAATGTCAGCCAATTCTCTCTGCCCTCTGGCGACGGAGTTTACTCAAGATTGTACATTTATTATGGTCAAGAACATCTTAGAAGAACTAAAGTAGAGAAAGTCAGATTTAGCTTCGCAAAGGTAACAGTGGGTCAATGAAGAACTGATACTGGCTAGCCAACCCCATTTAGTCTACTACGGGGTATTTACTTTATAAAAGAGGTCCCAAGTCACCAAATTAAAGCTTCGAGATGCGCAAAAGTGCTGTTGCAATTACATATGTCGATCTCTTAGACAAAGGTGGTTACATTGATCTTAACACTCTTTCCAGCCTCGAAATCCCGCTGTTGAGTTGGGTGACTCCTCCACCCTACTCCTATCCGCTCTTCAGAAATAGCCCGTACACATGAATGCTGCGTAAACTCTTGGTCACTTACCTAAATCGTCCATGTTTGGAGCGTGGTGGACGCTTGTGTCCGTTTGATGAGCTTTAGCCCCGTGAAGTAAGTCAGATTTGAGCTGTCTAAACTTGTCCTGCGGCTGCCTGAAGTTGGATCTGTAGGTGGCGTGAACGCGCGGAGATATGTGCATGTGTACTCTACGGGAGCGCGCAAGATGAGAGGAGAGCAGTGAGCGCCACATAGCGGCCAAGGGGGGCAATGATAATTACTTGTAAATTTATCAAACGTGTTTACTGTTACTGCTTTTGTTTTGTTTTTGTTGTTTGTCTGTTTTGTTTGCATTTTTCATTTACAGAACTTGCAGTAGAAGCACACCAAGATGAACCCAGGGCCCAGAGTTTTGTGTTATACCCATTTTATATAATAGGTATATGTATTACAGGCTGATTTAAAATAATAAAATTTTTTAAAACCATAATATTATTACAATGAGATATAAGAAAAGTAGATATTCATGACTCCTCATAGTTGAAAGTGTTTTTTTACAGAAAGATGGCAAGTTCCTCAAAATGAACTGGTAAGGAGGAAGGTAATACAAAAAGAGAACTGAGAAAAAACATAATTTGCTACACACATTTATTTGTTGAAGCCACATACACAGAAATAGTAAATAAAAAAAAAAATTTGCAGAAAACATTTTTCTCAAATCAAATGCATGATAATGTGGTTTATGTTTTCACACTCACCATGTCAAATACTATATACTAAAGTCATACACAAAATAAATCCCTAATTTGATGTAAATTTATATATATATATATATATATATATATATATATATATATATATATATATATATATTATATAACCTAACAACCTAACAACCCATTTGTCAAAATTCTGGTGCTTTGAGTTTCTTCTCCTCCTTCTCTGTGAGTGGCTCCTCAGACAGTAGCTTTCCATGAAGACGATGGTGTTTGCCAATACCCAGTTTGGGCAGTCCTCGATTCAGCCCTTCCAGCAGCACACAGGCCTTACACAGCGCCTGACTGGAGATGTACCCACAGCGGCTGCACGTTCCCTGGACAGGCATCTTCACCCCGTCCCGCACTGACAGATTCTCTCCAGAGTGAATGACATCCATGATAGAGCTGGGGCGGATGCTCTCCAAGTCCTTTAAAAAAGTCCTTGCATGGCCACGGTAAGCATTAGGAGAATAAATGCATTCAGTAGAAAAGTAATCCAGTTTCTTAAAATACGCATACAGAACAATCTCTTTCTCATAAGCGTATTTGAGAGGTTTGCAGCGCGGGACTACCCCATCACCCTCACTGGAGGTGGAGATGGCAGTGCAACGCCGCAGACGAGCTATGTCTCCTCGCAAAATATTCATCAAAACAGTTTCTGCCACATCATCAGCATTGTGACCTAAAACATAATCACATCAGTCATAAACACAGATGATTTTAATGTATGCAGCTCAGTATGTATTGCAGCACTAACTAAACTAATCAGTCTCTCACTTACCTGTACATATCTTGTCCACTTTCAGCATGATGGCACCTCTGTCTAAGGCCTGTCTCCTGAAGACTCCACAGAAAGTGCAGTTATTTTTCAGTCCCACTTGCTTTACTATGGCATCCATCGTCCAGCCATACAACTCCTCATAGGACACAATCTTTAGAGGCAACTCGTACTGTTCCTGGTTCCTTTTCACCGTCTCCAATGAGTCATCACGGTAACCTGTGATGCCTTCATCCACAGATAACAGCATGAGTTCAAGCCCATAGCTGTATCTCTCATTGAGGACTTTCATAACATGAGCGAGCACCGTGGAGTCCTTTCCACCTGAAGCAGCAATGCCCACTCTCTCCCCAGGTTTAAAAAGCTCAGCGGCCACAATGGTCCGGTGCACCTCTTCTTCAAATGCAAAGAAAAAGCATTCCTTACAAAGAGAATGACCTGTCTTGGGGCGCTTCAACACAGCACGATTTTTGGTACAGCTGCTGCACTGGACAGGCATTTTATCTGTGGAAAAACACAGAATTAATGTGTATATTTTTTGTTACTTATTTAGACTTTATTATTACCATTTATATTTTGTCTCTTTGTTATTATATTATATTGTGATGTGTGAGCTACTGTGTCCAAATAATTTCCCTTGTGGCCAATAAAGTGACAAACTTAGCCAAAATTTATCAGGTTACGTTTTTATTTAATTTTCTTTTCTTATTAGAAATATGTAATTATCTAATATAGGGAAATTTGGCACTATGACATAATCCAAGAATCTGGTATTTATAATTAGATAATACAATGTATTTTTCTGGAAATATATTCATGGAAATTCGGGATTCCAGTAGAGTATAACATTTTTATTTCAAATTGTCTTCCAAAAACATCATTGTAACTGTGGAAAGCAGCCTACTGTGCTGCAAGTGTGCAAGTCTTTTACGTTAGCTATAACTACTAAACTACAGATATTTCTTACCCAGTTCTCGATGATATGGTGGTCTCAATTGATAATTTAGCAGTTTAACCCCACAATTCCCCAAAACGAAGCATTTTTATAGAAGAATAATGAAAACATGGCAGTACAGAACTTTATCATGCGCTCTCTTGTCGTTGGTTCGAAAGAAACAGGAAGTAAATAAATGCGCGAGGCAACTGCTGCGCCCACTATCGACCGGAGGTTGACATAACATCAACAAATGTCTCAAACTGAAAGGTATGGTTTTTATTTTTTCCACCAAAATCAAAATCTTTCAGCCTGATAATGTTTATGGTTAAGTTATGGATTTTTCTAGATTAATATCCCCTTCAAATTTTGATTCAGTTAGGATATCTAGATTAGCTTTCTCATTTACTTACAGTAGACCTATGCTTAAAATGTGTTTTGAGTGGCATGCATGCTAAATGTGACATCAGTATATACTGACTGTTTATCAGTTTTACCTGTATATAATTAGTATAGAGAAAAATCACACTCACACAATCAAAATGTAATCAACAAGGATTTATTAGTTAGTAAGGGTGTCACTACTGTAACAACTGCAACAGGTAGGCTATCAAAATGCAGTTTGGTGCAGATGGGGCAGGCTGTAAGATTGCAGGTCTGCAGAGGTCAGGGTTGAAATGAGAACAAGCATTTAATTAAATGCACCCCTCTGGTGCCACTGCATGTCCCGAATGCGGCGGACTGACTGGATTTGAGGGATCTGGGCTCCAAACTCAGTGCTGTCCTTGTACTCGCCCTTCTCAAATAGGTACTGGTATCCTCTGTAGCCTGGGTACTGATAACCCACCCAGCTGTGAGGAGACACAACAGTCACATTTGAGGACACAGTGACTAGAGCTAGACTACATCAAATCAGTTGTGTATAACTGAGAAAGCAAAATGACAATTAAGAGTAACTGTACTATAAAAATTGACTTTAATTATTACTCATTGTTGAGGCTTATCAGACAATAAGTAAAACAAACAACACATGTTTTGCCAAATATAAATAATTTCTATTTTATATTTATTACTATTATTACTAGACTTGTGCTTGAGTAATATCTGTGGGTTTGACTTCACATCTCTGAAGAGCATATATATATATATATATATATATATATATATATATATATATATATATATATATATATATATATATAGAACATAGGACTGTAAATGAAATAATCTCACGTTCCACTCTGCACACGCACAGATGACACCTTCTCCTGATAACCATGAGCGTGGAAGCTGGGAACATCGTCGTCAATGATTTCTATCTTCTTTCCTGCAAAACTGGGGTTTTCATAAAGCACAATCTTGTGCTCCTGGCTGTCCTGAAAGCAAATAATAGACCAGTTCATACATTTCATCAGTGCATCAAGGTCTGGGAATATATGGGGTCCATGTAACATTTTAGTGCAAAACTAAAACACACAGGTTACATATGTTACAAGGTTGCAAGCTTTTGCATGAGCTGGTGTGAGGCTATTGCATTCACTGTATTGTTACCAGACCCTCACATATGCCTTAAGACCCTGAGCCTTTGTTTTGAATATCTGTGAATATGTGAAGTTTGTTTTCTTACAACTTTAATCGGTCGGAAAGCAATGATGGTGTCACTGCGCCGGCTGTTGGTCCAGGAATCCCACCGAGGATACTCGCCCTTCTCAAACACATACTGCTCTCCCTTACAGCTCGCCTGCTCATACCCCACCCACCTGAAGAGAGAGAGAGGGCCAGGGGGCAGAGGAAAGGGCAGGTTGGGGAGTAGGCCAGATTCAAGGGAGTTGTAAGGAGAGCAAACTATAATAGAAGAACTGATCTTTTTCTGTATTGTTGATTTTAGATGTTACCTCTTCATTTTTTCATGTCTTTTAAGCCTTTGTAAAATATCCTTGAATTAACTGTGAATGAAGGCATCTGATCAAAGATGCCTTAGTGATGAAGATTAGTGATGAAATTAGAGATATAGAAAATAGATATAATCCCCTCTCCTCTCTGTTTAATACTTTAGGTTGGTTTGCCTGTGCCCCACACTCACGGTCCACACAGCACCAGTACAGAGCCCACTTTCTCCACGCCTGCCTCCTGGAGGTTGTTGCAGGGACCAGTCAGCTCATGGCAGCGTCCCTGGAAGTTTTCCTGCTCATAGATAACCAGCTGTGGACCAGGTAAAGGTAAATGGTGAAATTACAATTTTTGTACTTATGTACATTGAGTTACACCATATTAAAAAAGAACTGGGTTCCAAATTATAACTTTCCACAGGCTCAGATGAGCATGTTGACAAAACTTGGTATAAAATAAGGAACAGTGGAATAACCTTAATAATCCAACATGGCAAATTTTATATATTTGAAACGATATGTGATGCAGTTTGTAAAATCATAAATTGTCACTCACCTTAAATGCATTGGTGCCTGGCTGCTGCTGCTTGGATGCAGGGTTCTGGTGGTCTGTGGCCATAGTGAAGGATAAACCTAACAAAAACAGAAAATATTACACAAAAATGTTTTTAATAATAAAAAAATTACTAAAACTAAGAGCCTAAAACTTTTTTTGCTACTGCTCAAAATATTCGAACATTTGTCAATATAAATGAATAAGAAACTTTTAAATTCGAAGTGACAACTGCACAGCTCTTACCAGTACCTGTCTGTGCCAGTATGTTTGTGATGGCACCACCAGCTCTATATATATGGCCCACCAGGGGGGGCACTATGCCAACAGCACCACAGTGTCCAAGGACAGGGAGAGGATCGAGCTGCCATAGGCCCAGGACACAGAAATGAGGGGTCACCCATGCTATCTGCCCCACCCCGGGGTGTCACTCCCACAAAGTTATTTCATTAGTTGTCAGTTTCTGTGCAGCCAGTCATTGTTCGATATCCACATGATTCAGCACAAACAGTGCCAAGAGTACCACAGCCACAATGAGCATCAGAGAGAGAGAGAGAGAGACAGAGAGAGAGAGAGAGACAGAGAGAGAGAGAGAGAGACAGAGAGAGAGAGAGAGAGAGAGAGAGAGACAGAGAGAGAGAGAGACAGAGAGAGAGAGAGAGAGAGAGAGAGAGAGACAGAAAGAGAGACAGAGAGAGAGAGACAGAGAACAGTAGATTTAGTAGGTTTAGGTTTAGTAGTCTGGACTCCACTCAAAAACAAATACAGGTTAGTGCTAGACATTTATAAGGTTTTATAAGTGAGAGTGTAGGCTATTTAAACATAACAAAACTGCCCTAGTTTTGGTTTCTTTTCAGAGGGTAAACAGTTTACAATTACTTTTTCAAGGTACACCTGAAAATCCCTCAAGGCACTTTTATGTGTCAGGGCAAATACGGTTGAAAATTAAAATCATTACTAATCAATATCATTGCATTGCATATATCATTGCTGACAATCGGTGATCGGAAGAATACTTTGATAATGTATTTGGTTACAGAATATTGAATACCTGCATTAAAAAGTATTTTATAACATATAATGTTATATGGATCAATCAGAGTACTGTGTTCTGAATACCTGGAATATTTTCACACAGAGTTATAGTATAGCAGCTTTAGTGGCTTTATATTTGTTTCATCTTTTGTTATATATTTCCTGTCACTAATTGCAGAAGGAAAAACTACACATGCATATGCTGTAAGATTGAAGTTTTCTTTTTTTTCTCACTGATTATGTGTAGTTTGAAGCCTAAATTGTGTGATCAAGTACAGCATTCTGAATACCACCAACTGAAAGAGTAACTGTAATGTAATACAGGTACTCAAAATTAGTATTCAGAATATGTATTCTTGGTACATGTATTGTTACTTCCAGACACAGCTTACAATATGCAATTAATGTTTTACCATCAATTTTATTTTCCATTGTTTGGCCTTGAGGAAAGTTAGAGTGCAACACTGACTGTTAATAATTAATGTGAGATATTTAATGTTAAAGGTTCTATATTACACAAAATATACTCTTGTGAGTTTTAAACCACGGTTTAATGTTGGTACATCATCAAAAACATACCTGGAGTTGTGTTTTGTTTCATTTACACATGTTTGAGTAACCCTTTGTTATTAGTCTGTCTGCATCTTCAAAGCTCAGAATGCTCTGTTTTGCCTTATGATGTCATGTAGTTGTATCTTCGGTGTAGTATAGATCTGTGATTCCAGGGATGAAATTATCCAAATCATTTTAGTGAAGCTATATGAAGTTTAAAAACACAATGGAGCACTTCCTATATTATCAGATGGCATCACAAATTAGAACAGAGTGTTTTCAGTTTGAGAGAAGAACTCAGACTAAATATACAGGATTTGTGTGTTAATCATGGATAAATGAAACAAAACACAACTCTAGCCCCTTTAATAAGTTCATAGTTCTTGAAGGTATAGCTTCTCAAAAATAACTAATCTATATGCAGCTGGAAGGACGTCCAGGCTCAAAATCTCTGTGTCCACTGTGGCAACTGTTTATCTGACAAAAAGAGAACCCCCAAATCTAAAAACAAATGGTTCAACAAATATCTTGATTGATGTCTAAATCTTGATTAACCCTGCCCTCTGCCATTGCCTTATCAGTGCCACTGTACAGAGGAACATGTTAAACCAGTGGCTTAATAAAAATATATGTATTGGTAGTTTTCAGATTCTAAAATGTGATAATGTCACAGTCCTAGATGGGGGGCAAGAGAAAGTTTTTCCTATTAATAACATTGTACTTTACCATGAAATAACTAAAAGGTAAATGCACAAATTTATATATGCACCTTATCATTTACATTCTTGACTAAACCCTTGAACTCACTGTTTTACAACAAAATACTACATTTTAATAATACCAATTTGACCTGCCGCCTATCTGTATTAAATATAATTTGCCTATAGAATGTTGTGATGTTATCTGAAATCCACCAATTGTATAATATCATACCTATAACTTGTTTTTCTTTGTATTTGTCCAAAGCACTTTGAAGACACACCTGTTCTGGATTGTGGGTACTTTGAATACCTCCTGATACTGAATGGAAAGGTGACATCATTTCCTTAGCAGGTTAATGTTCTCAAATTGTATTCTTGAAATGCAAATGTGTAATAAGCAAATGCAAAAAGAAACCACATCTTAAGTTATTTCTTTCAATAAGGGCTACTTTATTTGTGTTAATATCTATAGTGTCATTTTCCAACATGGGCAATTTACAACTATAACATCACAAACAAACAGAAGGTCAGACAGCTTTTATTCAAAATATAGCACTCCTCACTGGGCATAAGCAGCATTTCTTCATGTTAGAATGGGAGCAGAAGGCAGGCACAGGGCATCTCAGTGTATGATTAGGGGTGTCCTGCTTTGGTAGAGGGTGCAGGGGGCAGGACGGGGGTGGGGTCAGGATCTGGGACAGGAGCAGGGGAGGGGTCCAGAGGGATGAAGCAGCCCCTCTTGTGCCACTGCATGTCTCGCACGCGCCGCACCGACTGGATCTGTGGGGTGGGCGATTCCCAGTCGTTCCAATGCTTGAAATCTCCACGCTCAAAGACAAACTGGCGTCCCCTATAGCCAGGATACTGGTAGCCAACCCATCTGAAATAAGTACAGTATTAGGATAAAACAACCAACATAAAAATATGAAAGAAAGGTAGACATGGAAATCATCTATTACACTTTAATAACTGTAAGATATAATTTGGCATGATTATTTTTACATAGAAAAATATTTCAAAATGACTCAAAGAATGCTTTGGCTCTGATATAGCTTTTGGTTTTGCATCTCAACAATAGTTCAGTTTTGTTTTTACAGAGCATTTGGTCTGGCTTAGAAATTTAGTATTGTATTGAAATGTTTTAAAAGTGTATATGAGTAAAATCATCTTGGAGTATTTTTACATTTATTGAATTTTCTCATTCTTGTGATCAGATATATTGGATACAAATGCATAATTACTGTCTTACGTTCCATTGAGGGCCTTTACACTTGCTACTCGATCTTTGAATCCAAGTCCCCAAAGACTGGGTACATCATCATCAACCACCTCAATCTTCTGCCCAGAAAATCCGGGGTTTTCAAACAGGTGGAGCTTGTGTTCAGCACTGTCCTGAAAGTGAAGAGGGGTGTGTAAATCCTCCATTATCCATTATTATATTCCACATTTTCAGCTGTGCAGCTTTGAACGTTAGATAGACCTACCACATTGAGAGGTCTGAGTGAGAGCAGGAATTGGCTGTTCTGACTATTGGTCCAAGTGTCCCAGCGTGGATATTCACCTTTCTCCAAAATGAACTGCTCCCCTTTGAAACCATGGCGATCATAGGCAACCCAGCTACATGCAACAAATTTGTTAGAAACTTATAATCATATACTATATTGGTTTTATTACTTGTTTTCTGCTATATGGTATTATGTGCAGCACGATAAGTTCTTGTTTGTCAAATTTGTTACATATTAGAATCTACAAGTATACCACACTGTGATAGATATGTATAGATATATTACTCACGGGCCTGACTCCACAATCACCGATGCAACCTTTTCCAGGCCTTTCTCATTCACATCTTTACACTCAGATGAAAACTCTGCCTTTTTGCCCTGGAAATTTTCAAACTGAAACAGCACCACCTGTGCCACACACAAAGACAAAATTATAACATCTTTTCATGAGGTTAAATGTTTTGGCATTAATGTCTGATCAAGCAAAATTCATAATAGGTTCCGTTTAAAACAAAAATAAGACAGTGTGTCCGAAAACATAGTGTACAAAAATGTTATGTTGTAAAATCTATTGCTAGCATTAATAGTTATCTGTATTGACCTTATAGGACGCCCCAGCTCCTCCCTGGCTCTTCCCTGCAGCCAGCTGCTGTGGGGCCCCCTGCTGCTCGGTCATCCTCCCAGTCCTCTGCTCAGTCACTATAAAACAGTTTAAAAACTAACTGGTCAAATTAAACATGGACATAGGGCATCTACATATAATGGAAAAATCTTTTGCTGGAACATATTTTTCCATTATAGATATGTGTATAAATCTATACTCTCTCTTTGCTTGTGCAGTTTTTACCGTTTTTAAGAATTTAGTAATGTTTTGAAAATATTTCAATAATAGTTGATAATAGATCATTTCGAACACAGTTTTTCCGTTTTATGTCACTTCACAGGAGTTTTCTCTTGTTGAAGTGAAATATAACCATGGAAACACAAATTAGAAATATTTTTGATCAAAGATAATAATGTCAACTAATTAAATTAATGTCTCCTGTTGAGTGGCATCCTCTCTTCCAACTACTACAAATTAGAACTTAATTGACTATGATAACAAGCATTACCAAATATATTAATTGTGTCAATAAAGGAAGCATAATTTAACAATATAATGTTTTTACCTGGATATGCTTGTTGTGGCTGTGCTATCCCTCTGTCTGTGCCACCTGGCGTTGGGTTGGTGGGATCTCCCCGCTGGAGAGCAGGGTCTGGGGGGCTATTTATGTTTTATTTCAGCCACAGCAGCAGAAACAGAGGGAGGTGTTGATACAGCAGATCTTTACCTCACATTGTGTTCGTAATGTGCCTCTCAATAGACAGCTGTTGGCACCCGCTGCTCTGCCCGCTCCACTGCCACCTGCCACCAGGGGCGTTTGTGTGTGTGTGTGTGTGGGCACCACGAAAGAGAGAGAGCCATGATGAATCAACAAACAGCAGCCCTCAGCACTAACCAAAAACATATGCCCTGGCAAACTTTACACCCAAGTACATAGAAATACAGCCAGCCTCCAAAGTCATAGAATTAAAATAGCTCTTTATGATGGGACTGATCCAATCTCAGACTCACAGGAATTTTAGTTTTTCATCACATTGGTCCTAAATATACAGCTAAGAAAACCAGGAACTCCATGCACATTTACATTTACTAATGCAGACTCTCACCTTATCAGAAAATGTTATGGTAGCTTACAGGGCATATATTTTTTATTTGGGGAGAAAAGAAAAGTGGTTATTGCATTAGCTTTTTAGTGTTTGTTTATAGTGTTTATAGTGTGTCATCTGAGCAAATGTATTTACCTTTTGTTCAGCAAAAATTGTCAATTCCTGAGTTGAAATTATGCAAATTATTTAATGAAGTGTATGGAGTTTGAAAACAAAGTGGAGCACTGTGTGTTAATACCCTGTATTATTGCATAACAAGAAGAAAGAGAAAGTTTCAGTTTGGGAGAACATGTGTGAATGAAACAAAACACAACTCCAGGAACGTTTGTAATGAGGAAACATTATAATCAGAATATAGCGTTATATAGGCCCTTTAAATCACTGTGCAGTTTTAGACAGGCGGGAGGAGTTTTCCATAGCCTGGGTCCATTGGAGAAGCTGCTGGACTGTCCAAAATATGTTCTGGACTTTGAAATTACACAGTCCCCACTGACAGGCTTTGATTGTACATAATTGTTCAAACATTTAAAAACACTCAGTGTGCTAAAATGTACATTTTCAATTGTAAAAAGCATGTTTTTGAATATCGCAATGCCACATCAAAGGCTTTCTGCCAAATACCTTGTCAAATACATTTGTTTTTCTAAATAAACCTTGAATAATTAATAGCTGTAAATATTACCCTTTTTTGGTGGCAGTTATTTGTTCTTTTCATAACGACCCAATCCTTCCACAGTGCCATTGGTGCTTGGTTATTTCTTTGTATTTTTACAAAACACTAGAATGAAAATGATCAAATCATTGATAGAGGCAGCATTTTATGTCAATAAAATTTTTATTAAGAATGTTTTCACTTTTAGACACTGGCCAGAACAACACAGTGCATTATACATCTTTACTCTCAAAATAAAAAAAAAAAGCACAAAGACAGACATAAAAATAAACCCTCACATTATTTATATCAAAGTAAAACATATTATACAGTTATATCAGGGAGAAATGCATTCACCCAAATATAGAAGACAAGACATGGCCAAATCACAGGTCCGATCAGTGCTGTAGTGCATCAAGTGACAAAGTGCTTTGAAGACACAGAGTAAAGAGAAGATAGTATTTTGCGAGAGGATGGATATGGTGCAATGATTTAGAATAGCAATGTACTAGATTGAAAATATGTCTGCAGTTAGTCGTGAGTGGATAAAAACAACACTGGAGAACACAATAGGCATATATTGCAGTTATATTAGGGTTTTGGCAAGTGGCAAAGATTTTGTTATTAGTTGTTACAAATTTGGTTAATTTTATTTACATATTGATTTAGATAGTTTTGAGTAGTAAATATTTGTTTTTCTTCTTCTTGAATCCACAAGAATGAGACAAGATTTTGACATCATATATAAAAAAATAAATTGTGCAGTTCAGCAAATTCTCAAGAGGTGTAGCTCACCAACCCTTTTCTATCCAAGCTAAATGTAAACACAAGCACAATCTTGTGGCACAAGATCTTGTCCTATCTCATTTCTTCCAAGTCATGTCAAAATGGTATCTCCTAATAATGCCACTGATATTGTCAGAATTTCTAATGTTGCATATAAGGTGTTATTTTTCTAATATTGTACAGGCCCAGTTTGTAAACCAGAAACACTTCACTCAGAACTTGTGATGTGAGCAAAGATTCAAAAAAAGGATTGTGCATGCATGCAGAGAAGACAAAGATACTGCACAGTTTTGAAAGAGAAGCAGACAAGACATTGAAGATGAAGTTTGGAGATTGAAGTTTACCAGAATATATTTTGGAGTGGGTATATGGCTTAATATTGGTAATAATATTAGTTGCAACTAAATAGCACTTTTTCATTGATAATGTTTGTGCTAGCAAGGAGTGTGCATGACTGACAGATATACTTTCACTTGGCCATATAGATCTCATATCCATCTTCATCTCAGAAAAGTAAATTAATATACAGTTTACAGCAACTGACACTGTTCAGGCGTGTTACAAAATAAATTGAAAATCTATAATATTTTGCATCTAGCTCATTCAAAACTAGCTTTGACTTTATTTACTCTGATACAAATATAACATCTCATGATTACAACATACAATATGATACAGGCCCGCAAACTATCACGTCTACAGGGAATTTTTGTTCTCTATTTTCAATGTAATCCTATGGCAATGTTTTTATGACCACAACCAACAACTACTATTATGCACATACAGTATTATTTAGTGTACTAATCAAGTAAATTAACTGAAATTGTCCATCAGAATGAGCCTATCCCATGAAAGAGGTGTGGTAGTGGTCCCAATATGTAATTTATGCTAAGTCCATCCCAAGATTCTCCCATTGACAAGATAAGTAGAGTAGGTAGATGTATTTTTTCTTTGTATGGTTTCTCCACAAGACTTTTTCATATAAAAAGGCACCATGCACATTTATTTTGACCTCAGCGGGACCAGAGCAAAAAGTAAAACACGTGAGCAGCAGAAGAGGTACCCCTCCTGGATCCCGGGTCAAATTTTTAAGGCTTTGTTTTTTTTTAAATATATTCTCTGTTAAGGCAATCTGTAAGACAAAAAGACAAAATTAGTATAACATTAACAAAACAGCATTCAGCAAATTACATATTTTTCATTCTATTTTGTTTGGTAGCTTAATTTTAAAAGATTCAGAAGTTAACCATATTTCAACTATCTATTTTTTAATCAGATACTGGCCAGTAACAATAACAATGTAGTTTTCATATTATAATTATTATCATTATCAACAAACCTGAATATGTATTAGGTTTCACTCTCATATTGGCTCAAGCGTTTCTTGGACTTCAGCTCTTTCAACCACTGGGGCGAATCCTCCTCACTACTGACACATTTCACATTTTCAACATATTTCTGTAACTGACAATTCAAAAGCCCTGTAATATAACACACATGCACTTACCCATTTTCTTTTCCACCAGGAGGGGGCAGTACACGAGTGGCCCGAGGAAGGAAAGGGGATTTGGGAGAACGGGACAGCTGAGATGGAGTAGGGGTAGAACTATCTGTCTGATTGTCGGATTCACCCCTTTTCTTTAGCTGGGCCTACAAGATGGACACAAATTTTAAGGAACAAAAACTAAACAACTTTCTTAGACAAAAGTAATAATATTTAAAATGAATTAGTTGTAATTGATTAAACGTTAAACAGACAATGCATGTGAGACCTATGCTACACAACATATATGTTTAAGTTTTGTAGTATAGGGCTGAACAATTATGGAATAAAATAGATTTTTTCTGACAAGCACTGTATTTGCGATTTGATTTGAACTGACAAAATAATTGAAGAATCACATTTCAGAACATGTTTGTACAGATCTATGGGTTAACAGTTTTTATGTAGAAAAAGATGGGATATTTTGTTTGTGGAGGAAATGATGGTACTTAAAAAATTGCTGCCTTTGCAATTTGCAATTTGTGCCGATTAATGCATTTATGTTTCGATTACAATTAATCATTCATCAGTTAATGCAGCCCTAGTGCCATACCATTAAAGCAGACTGATCCATTCCAGGAAACAGGGCGACCCTCTGAGGATGAGGGGGGGCAGGTTTGGGACCATTGTCAGATCCTCTGGGCTGCTCTTCGGAGTCTGAGTCCTCATTCTTATTTTCAACCTTCTCCTCTACAACAGGTTATGTGATATTAGTTTATGAACATGTAAAGATAGATGTATGCTGTAAGACATATAGTTCAAAAAGCAAGAATAGAGAAAATATATAAAAACAACAGCATTGTGATAGTGAGTGTGATCAAATAGATGTAATTCTTGAGGGAATTATAATTTATTCTAAACTGATCTATAAATTAAGACAATAAACGTGACTGGAAATTAGAAAGAGAACAAGGTCCAAACTACAGTTTGCGTTTGGATAAATGATACTTAAATATTCAAACAGTTACCATTAATATTGCAGTTGCATTTTCTAATATTCTAAAAACAAAAAACATGATGCATTGTGTGGCCATATAATCTGTCTGTTAAAGGTGCACTGTGTAACTTTTCTGGTGGAGAGCCCTTCAAATGCTTTTCTCCATGGAGATGTTATCGTTTTGCCTGGAATGTTTCACAGTATGATATTAAACCTTTTTATCTTCATGGAGACCAAACCAAACCAAGTTGCAGTTCAGATATGTGGAGAGACAACCAGGCTTGCAGTCAGAATGCCTGTCGTAGATATTTTTGACATATAATACAACCTGTAATTTAATAAATGTAAGGTAGAGCTGTTTAATGCCATACTGTGGAACAGAGAAATGACATATCCAAGGAAGTAAGCACAATGGTTACACAGAGCACCTTTAATATGACTATATGCTTTACAGCAAATAGTCTTAGGGAGTGCAGGGATGTAGTGCAAAATGACTTCACTTATTGTATGTACCTATACCTAAAATCATATGCATTAACCTGTGGAGTCTTTGTAGAGCCACTCATCAGAGGCCACTCCTTCGGCTGGAGTCTGTTTAGTGGCTCTTGAAGGTCGGGTCCGGGGAGCACGCTTCTTGCCCAACTGTGCACGGGATCGCTGGACACTGTTGTCTAGCAAAGTGACTTGAGCCTGGATCAAAATAAAATAGCATTAAATGTGCATTCTGTAACTTTTCTGGTGGAGGGTCTGTCAAATACTTTTCTCCATGGAGATAATTTATTTGTCTGGAATGTTTCACAGTATCTTTCCATCTTCACAGAGACCACACCAGACCAAGTTATAGGTCAGGTCTGTGGAGAGGCCGCCCCACTGACTGTCCGAATGCTTGTTATTCTTTGTATTTTTGAGCTATTTTGAGCCAATAAATGTAAGGTAAAGCTGTTTATATCATGTCATACTGTGAAACATTCCACGGAATGATATTGCCATAGAAACAAGCAGGTGATGGACCCCCAACCAAAAAAGTTACATAGTGCTCCTTTAATAGTCAATACTAGCTTTCCACAAAAAATTTATATTGAGTAGATATAATGTACAGCTTGCAGGGTTTAAGAAAAGGTCTTCTTACATCTGGGAAAGGCAGCAGCTCAGTGACACTGTCGGTAGCCTCTGTCTCCAGGTGAAGAGTTTGTGGAGAGGTGAGTTTTAAGGGTGAGGGGCTTAGGTTGCTTTCAGAGCTCGGCGTGGCTGGGGTTAAACTGCACCAAAATAAAGGTTCAGGTGTTATTATAGTAACCACAGTGACACTAAACAGCTACCGTGTTGAACTTTTCCATTTTGTAACATGCTGCTAAAGGTATCATTTATGACTGTGACACATTGGAAAACCCTGTGCACTCTGTCACCATGACTGGACTTGACCAAGGCAATACAGTACAAACTAAAAGCTTTTGCAAGTGGGTTAATTTTTACTATTTTACAAATTATTAGTAAAAATAAGAGGAGTAATAATTAGCCACTATACTGTGGCTTTACGTTGTAAATATTTTTGCATTGGTGGATATGATATTAATGGCTAGGTTTTAGAAAGTGCTTGTAGTTTGCTGCCATTATATTGTTTCTTTGTCCAGTCACTGACACAAAAAATCATGTGATATTATATTGGTAAATATAAATAGGGTAATAACTTGCAATATAGAGTTGTAGCCATTTTTGCATATAATATAATGATTATAATATTAATGCTTAGGATTAAGAAAATTACTAATTGCTGCTGGTGAATGCTTGTTAGTTTGTCATCCTCTCTTGATCTCCAGTCTTTATATACAGTCTTTTTGTCAAATCATATAGCTATTATTCTATTATTATCATATTTCCATTATATTCTCAATCTATTTTACATATTTAGCTGTAGAATAGTGCAATACAGCTTTAAATCACTAGAGGCCCCAGCTTCAACAATGAACATCACTGTGTTAAGCCGTAGTCAAAATAACCCGCACGGGTCCCCATGGGCAGTTCACGGGCGATTTTTGGCCAAGTCCGTATGGGGCTCGCAAGTGGCCCGCACAAGATTCCAAGCTCATTGACCGTCCGGTGAGCCCATAGGGAGGAAATGTTCATGCACTTTTTTCCTGCGAGCGGCCTATGGGCGGCAGCTCAGAGCAAGCACGTATCTCACACTTACGGGGGAAGTACGGGACAAGTACGCGTTACACAGGTGTGTCGTATAGGTTTTTCCATTTTCTCACGACCCGAATTCTTGCGAATCACGCACGGGTCCCAGATGGGCCAATTGCGTCGTTCCTATGGGTCACATGCATGCCTCGTGTGAGCTACCAGGGTCGTGCAACCCTTATAAAAGCTGATGCGATGCCTGTGCAGGCACACACGAGTCGTAGCAGCCATACTGTACACACCAAGTTTTCGCCAACAAGATGCCACCCAAAGGGGAGGCAAAGGGCAAGAGCATGGGGAAGGGCCGTGACACTAAGGGCCCGGAGATTGCAGCAGGGGCAGCCACAGCAGTCACAGCAGGTTGCCAGGCAGAGGAGGAGGTAGTCAGAGAGCGAGGCACTAGTGGGGACAGCAACAGCGGCCATAGCGAGACAGCCACAGGGCCCAGTATTATATAGCGATAAGAGCCACATCTCAACTGTTGCACAGGCCGCGGCTTGTACTTGCCTGGTACAAACGACTACTGTAGAGTGCGTTGCAAGTGGCCAGTACGAGATTTTGACTCGTACGTGACCCTTGCATGGTACTTAAGTATGGCGTACTATTGCCACACGACACTCGCATGCCCCACTTTGCCAAAATTTCTCCCAGGGTCCCGTACGAGCCTCACGGGACCCGCAAGCCACACTTGCACCACCCTTACGAAGCACTTAGAAAACTCTCTCTCTTCTACAGAACCCCACGGGCCTCCACAGGCCAAGAAATGTCAGCACCCATACGAGTGAATCGCCCTTGCGGGTTATTGTGACTAAGCCTTTACTTGTGTAATAAAATGTGAAAGCAGTCCGATGCTCACCTGTCTTCAGAACGCAGGCCTGTCTCCCAGGTTCCGTACTGACTGTCCGTCTCATGGACTGGAGTCTCTGGGTCCTTTGACTCATCTTCTGTGCTCCCATCTTGTTTTTGTTGAACCTGGAAAAATAATCAGAAAAGACAATGCAATCAGTACACATTACATATTTGCATGGATCTGTGTGTGTGTTTTAACATAGTCTATAAGGAGAAATTCAGATTATATGATTATCTTTTTTACACCAGATGCCCTTCCACCAATATACATTTATTACGTGTAAGATTAGCCCAATTTGTTTGACCCATTTTATACAGTTTGATGTTTTCTTCTAAATGGTGAGGAGATCAACAATTTTATCTCAAGTGACGTACAATAACAACATTTAATTGTAATCACAATCAGCTGAATAAATAATGGAGTGAATGAAATCTATCAAAGTATGAGTTTATAAAGTTTGGACAATCACTGGGATAAACAGGGCGACACTGTGAACTGAACCATGTCCGTTTTAATGAGGCCGGTACAGAGAACACACTGTCTCAAAATCACACTCTGCTCACACAGGCAGGTCCAAGCATGAACTGGTAACCCTGGCCTACATACGAGAAAAGACACTCCTGAAGAGACTCCCTCTGTCCTCTGCTGTGGATGCCTCAAGGCATGGATGAAGAAATGTGATCCAACTGGCTTATTCTGATCATCCTGGATATAGAAGTCGTAGTAGTCCCTTCGACAAGTGATATGTACAAACAGCACTCCCTTTTTCTAAGTGGGAGCTGGTAAAACAACTAGAATGCATAAATAAGTAAATCATCATCATTTGGCAGTCCCCTCTATTAGCTAATGTTAGCCTAATAAAGTAGAATTTATGGTCATAGTGAGACCATAACATTTTACTATTTAACAAACCAGTCAAATGAGGTCTAGAATAGATCAGTGGTTCTAAAACAAGTACAATACAGTATATTTGGCCTTCTGATTACCACCAAAGCTAAACCGGGTGTAAAACAGGACTATGTAAGGTCTAAAATAGTGCTAAAACAGTTAAAATTGGATAAATAGGACAACACAATCAAAAAATCTAAATAAACTCAAAGATTGATCTTATTTTTTCAGATTTACTCAGCAAATAGTTGAACTACCACAAATATTAAATTAATTAGATTGAATATTAGATAGAGTTTTTCTTGGTATTACAAACATGATGAATTGTTAAACTGACAAAACCATCTTGCTTATTTATAATTTGGTGGCTAATGCAAATTTTTCAACCGAATTTATGGACTGCTTTCCTTAAGGGATTATTTGGAAAAGAGCTACTGTGTTGACAATCTCCAGCACTACTACTTATCAATGGGTTTCAAATTGATAAAAAGTTACGCCCATAGCAATTAACAAGTCTAAATATTTAGAATAATCAACTGTCCTCAAAATGGTACCATATAACAGGAAGCTGAAGTCAAAGCTTGTGTTCATAATATAAGCTTGCACTTTGTACACCCTCCCATGCAGTCCTCCTTTTGCCTCTTGTTCTCACATTCACTACACAATGAGCTGGCACCAGCCTTCAGATAAAGGAGGAGCATGAGATTAAGGTAACTCTAGTTTAGACGAGTAGCACAACAGTAGCACAGGATGTCATTTATCAAGAAAAACCTTCTCCTGGCAGGAAGCTGAGCAGTGAGAATGGCATTGGGGATTGGTCCCAAAAGGTAGTTGCATTATTGAACAGTAATGGAGTCTCAACTGGAGATTAAACATGTTCATTTTAAATTTTAATGAATACATAAGGAAAATCTATTTTAAATGATTTTTAATCTGTATTTTCAAAAGGTCTGCATCTCCCAATGAGCTCCCCAGATCCCTTGGACAGTTCTAGAGTTTGTTGCTCCTGATAAATCCATTCTATCATGTAAGATTACAAAACTCTGTCCTGATGCATACCAGTCTAATCCTATCCTCTGCAACTTTTAACTCTAGCTAACTTATAAAAAAAAATAAATTAAAGAAAACAAACAAACAAAAAAACAGATATATGCAGTAGAAATTCTGGTTTGCATCTGAGTTTCATAATATCCATGTATTCACCATGTCTCCTCTGCAGTCTCCCAGTCATTATGGGATTGAATTGAATAACTACATGTCATATTTGCAGTGCGTATAAATAAAATAAAAAATGTAATCCCAGTACAAAGAAAATCGTCATCCTGGGACTTTCCATATAGCATGTCAAGCACACATAATAGGCTAAAACAACACATTAAAGCTACTTAAAGCTAAACCAGCTGTTGATCTGTTACCTAACATCAGCTGAATGTATAGTTTAGTCTTGTTTTGACCATGCCTCACCTGCACAAACTTTTCCTCACTGTCAATCATCATTTAACAAGCAGTGAGCTATCTGTCATCACTACAAACAAAAACAAATAATATAGAGGCCTTGTCAAAAATTGTATAATAAAAATTCCTATGTTGTGTGTAAGTATGTATTAGTCAACCGAAACACACCCACATGATCCGCATAAAGAGAAATATTTGCTCCAACATGTCACAAGCAGCTACCATTGTACAAAGGCTTAGGGCACTGAGTAAGTAAGTTCACTTAGGCTTATTCGTAATCTTGAAGCTTTATTTTATGGCCAAATGCAGTGATGTAAGTCTATATCAAACGGTACAAATGTCATTACAACTTTGGTAAAAAGACCTCTGCAAAGACACTAAAACCGTAATGATGTCCACACTGATAGTACTTCAGCAAGTATCTAATTCTGCAATAATAAATACTAAAACTAACCTATTAATTTTGAAAGGCAAGAAAGTAATAGAAGTCCCTAATAAGGAGACAGATCCACAAACCATCATTATCCAGCCTCTAAGACAATCAAAAAGTTCAAAAAGTTCAAGTTCTTTATCAAAAAGTTGATAAAGTACAGTATACTGACTGTAAATTGCTCAAGTTCAATATACATTATTTGGAGTCATATGGATTCACACCAAAATGTCAAAATCATGGCCTGAAAACTTCGTTACTTTGTGTATTAAAGAACAATAAATAAGAATTTTTAAAAAATGGATAGAAAATTTTAATTCTGCATTTTTTCCACACCCTAACCCTAGTAAGAATGATTAAATGCCATTATGACCATTACACTAATAAGACATGTAATACATGACTTACCTACGTGTAATGTGATTGTCACAGACATAAAATAAGGGGCATTACTAAGGCCTCCTGTAGCAGTGATTAACAGCTGAATTAGGGACACAGACTTTTCCTTAATAACATTATCCAGTGCCAGACGTGCAGAGGAAGGGTGCGTTCGGGTAAAGGGAAGAACAAAGAGCGGATGAATGGAGGGATGAAGGAGAGAGTCTAATCACTGAACCATGTTAAATGACAATCTTTGAAGGAAAGGGTAGGGACAAGGCCTTGGAAACTTCAGGCTGATAACAAACCAATCTGAGCACCCTGCATTACCACAGACAAGCTCCGACACTGCCCCACGCCTCAGTGACAAACTGAAAAGTGATTCACTGAATAACTGTGTGGCTACAAGGGAAAACAGAAAGGCTGTGGTAAGCTAAGGTAATAAAAGTGATAACAAGTTTACTTGTATATGTTTTGTGCACTCCTGCTTGATGAACATGCTTCATTGCCTTTTGACATTGACATGACATTTGATTATCATGATTTCCATAAATAAGAGTCAACTTGTGACTTGGAGTAGATTTAAATTTATACCCAAAACAACAATGTTTTATCATCTTTCCAGTTTGGTGTTTTTTGTTTTGTTTTTGAAAGCCCTTTAGCAACTGTTGTTAAAAATGCTGACATTTTACCTGCTTTGTTCTCATATCATTTCTCAGGCAGAGGGAGGAGCACAATGTAAACACCTCACACTTAAAGTACAATGTTCAATTTCCAAGTGCTTTCAGATTTGTGCTTTGGGTGGAGTGGGAAAGTCTGCTCTGTGTGCACTCAGCACTAATCAATATCAATATCCTGGAGATAGCCACAAACAACAAGCCACAGAAGTCAACAAATGGACATAAGCTGCATGTAAAGAATGCTCTGGTCTAAAATGGACTTGGGGTAACCACGCTTTGGTGTTTGCATGTATAATAATTATGTACAAATGCTGCATAAGAGAAAATGGTTGTAAAAGTTTAGTGCCAAGTTAACCCAGAGGTGGAATGTAAAACCTGACTTGTCTTAAAACAAATTATGACTCAACGGTTTATTTTCACAGTTTTGGTCTGGATCAATTTTATCAACTTAAAAAAAAATAAATCAATATAAAGTTTTACCAATAAGTTTTTCTATCTTAGTTGTCAACTTCTCTTTTACAATTTGGTGTGTTGTTTTTGATTTTCCACTCAGATTAAGAACAACTTCTCCATTTCCCTTACTTTTGGTAATAAATAATTTTGTGCATCACTGTATTTCTAAACTGGCTTCATTATATTAACTGCTAAGACTGTAATTTTTCTGGCAAGTGGTTTTAGGGCTTGGGTAACATCAACAGTTGGTGGTTTATATTTATACATACATTTAACATCTGATATGACACAAATGGCATGTGAGAACTTAAAAGAACCATGAATCTGCTCTCTGTCACCCCACAAAGCTAAGAAATTATGTCACTATAGACACACTAGTCCCATAATTCATGTTATCCAAATCCACTTTCATACACAAGTAAATTGGTAAAATTGCATTGTATTGACACGCAAATATAACCATACATTTTACACTGACAGTTATTACTAACTTAATTCTCTTTTCACTAATACTAATAATTTCCCTAAACTTCATAACTTTTAATTGAGACACCTGACAGCCGTAAGATCACCATCAAAACAAAAGTATCTTTAGCTGCTCTGACTCAGGAGCAAACAGGCGTAACCTAAAGATAGGAATGACTACAGTATTGCAGTGGCCATTGCCGTAAATGGAGGTACAATAAAGCGAGTTTAAGAACCAGCATTTGAAAAGATTAACTAAAACTGACAACCAAATTTGGCAACTACAGGAAACCTTTAAAAAGTCTACTAAACACCACATGGACAAGAGGCTGTTGACACAAAAACTAAGAAGGGCATAACAAGACAGATGGAT